CAACCCCCCGCCGTATCCGCCTACTCCGTACGCATCCGAAGGTTTCGACACGCTCGAATTTCGCTGTTGAGGCGCTGAAGGGCCCGGAAGAGCAGCGACGGATGTCGATGGGCTGACGGAGGCGATGGCGGCTGCTGCGGCCGAGGCGAACCCGCCGAGCGACGAGAAACGGTCGAGGTCTTGCTCGAGGGAGGAGAAGTCGTAGTCGACGGGGACGTGGCGGGACTGTTGAGCCGAGCGAGGAGATTGGGGTTGCGAGGACGGAGGAAGAGTTGATGAGGAGGCCAGGCGGGTGGAAGGCAAGGCCGGGTTGTGCGAGACAGCGGGCGAGACGGCGGCGCTCGAGGGGAGTGACGAGTATGGCGACGTGGTAGAAGAAGTGTCGAGACGGGCGGGAGGCATGGGAGGGAGCGGGCGTTTATGAGTCGTTGTGGTCGGAGTAGTCGAGTCGCCCGTCGGCGACCCGTACACCGTCGACGGCAAGGACGCAAAGTCGATGCCTGGTAGCATCGCAGGAGATGCCAAGGGCGAGGTGTGCTGGCTCGCGTCTGTCCGTATCCGCTGAGGAACTCCAACAGGCCTGCCCGATCCACCAGCCGACAATCCCAGCGCCGACTTGGCCAACGCGCTCGCAGGCCTGTGACCCTGTCCCGACGCCGCCCTCGAGTGTGCACGAGGTGACGAGGCAGTGGATGAAGACGGGCCCGCCTGCTGTTGCTGCTGAAAGAAGGCGAGGTCGAAGCCGGACGGCGTTCCCGGCGTCGACGAAGTCTGGCCTGCCGCCGCGGCCGCGGCCATCCTCGCCTGCGCCTCGAGGCTGGCATGGAGAGCGTAGAGGCTCGGGTCGATCGCGCCCGCGGGCGAGGCGACCTGTCCGAGGTGGTTGAGCGACGTCAGGGGACTTTGGGCGGAGGCGGCGACCGCGGGCACGAAGGGGGATTGTCCGGCGGTGAAGGACGGGTGCGAGATGGGCGTCGTCGTGCCCGAGTAGGCTGGCGCTGCGCTGTGCGCCGCAAAGAGCCAGTCGTGCGGAAGCTGGGCCGGGTACGAGGCGGAGGACGATACAGGTGTGAGGGGAGCGATAGGGGCGATAGCCTGAGGGTACGATAGCGCGCCGAGCTGCGCCGTGTACGCAGCGACTCCGTGAGAGCCCTGTGCGCCCGCGAGAGGGTACCCTGCCGCCTGCGCCGCCGCTGCCGCCGCCTGCTGAAATGCGGCCTCTGCCTGGCGCGCCGCCTCCTGGTGGGCCTGCCAGTTGGCGGCGAGCTGCTCGAGGCCGTCGGGCAGCTTTCCCGCCGGGTTCATGGCCGCAAAGTGGGCCAGCTGGGCGTTGCGCGGCGAGGTCGACGCCGAAGTGAGGGCCGTCTCAGGAGGAGCAGCGGAAGGGGATGAGGTGGAGTCGCTCACGCCGGGCGAGTTGCCCGACGAGGTGGACGCGGTCGGAGTGCCTGCCTGGGCACCCTGAAGCTGTCCCGCCCTGCCCTTGCCCGCGAGCGCGTCGAGGGCAAGACGAGGAAGCGGGTGGGAGGCGGCGGGGGACTCGCTGTCGAACGCGGCGTCGTCGAGGAAGGCGCTGAAGTCGACGTCCTGGTCCGGCACTGTCCCGCTGAAGCCCTGCATCGACAAACCCTCCTGGGCCAGCGCGTGTGCGAGCGGCGAGAGCTGGCGGGGTCGAGGTTGAGATTGTGAGCAGGCGTCGCTGGGCGGTTTGCTGCCAGGGCAACGGGTCAGCCGGGGTGTCTGCACCTGTAGAGTGCTGTCTGCTCACTGTCTGGCTCGCTCGTTGGGTGTGAGCTGCCGTTGGGTCGACTTGAAGGATGTTGCGGGGTGTTCCTTTCCGCCTCGTCGCTCGCTTGCAGCTCTACAAAGTCAAACACTGGCAATACACGCAACGCAGTGCCACTGGAACCCTCAGCATCAACCAGCGAGCGTGCCTAGCCGCGCCGCTCACTTCGCACCTTTCTCTCCGCCTCTCCTCCTCCGCCTGCTCGCTCGCTGAACTCGTGCAGCACAGCCAGCCAGCCAAAAGCTTTTCACGACGAACAACGATCCGGCAGACCCCGCAAGCGAGAGCAGATCCTCCTCCTTTGCATCTTTTCCTCCTCGAACCCGCACACATACAAGTTACAGCAGCGACTTTTTTCTGTCCCCGCCGGCGGGTGCTCGTTCTCCACGCCTTCTTGCTTCCGTCCGAGCGCGTTTGTGGGAGCCCTGCGACGAGAGCGAAATCAGGAGCCAGCGAGACGAGCGCCGGTCGGTGGAGAGCACAATCGACTGCGCTCAGACAAGGCGGAGGAGCGACGGAGCGAGATTCGCGAGCCGGGAAGGAGGCCGAGTCGCCGTCGCCGTCGTCGGCCGGTGAATCGTTGAGCGCCGACTGGTACGTCCGAGCTGGACAGCGGGCGACGAGGAGATGCGAGTTGGGATAATCTGCTGAAGATGCAAGCGAAAGGATGCTAGTGTCAAATGCGAGTGAAGGAGTCAGAAGTGGGTATCGCGGGCGATAGAATAGGTTGCCAGGGGTAGATTCATGATTCAGGGGTCGGCGTGCGATAGAGTCGAGTCGAGTCGTCGGTGGATAGGCTAGATCTACGCGTTGGACGCCTCGCCGCTCCAGCGGTCTCGTAGGCGTTCGGCGTCGGCGTCGTCGCGCCAGTCGCGGGAAGGCGAGGAGAGGTGCTGGATCGCGGCGAGGCGGGAGCGAGCGACGTCGGGCTTCGAGTGCCAGAAGCGCACGAGGTTGTCGTCCGAGCAGGTCGCGAACTGTCGAGTGAGAGACAGCGGGCAGGTCAGCATCCTGACCGCCTGAGCGGCCGACGAGAGGAGCTGTTCAGGCAGACTCACCGACTCATGCGCCCAATCCAATCCACTAACCTCCGCCTCGTGCCCCACCAGCCTAACCACCTCCTCGGGCCCTCCCTTGCCCTCCGTATCCCACACGAATACGCTCCCATCGCTCGAGCCGCTCGCGAGGAAGCGCGAGCAGGGGGATACGGCGCAACGGATGTAGAAGGATGAGTAGCGCGCGAGGGGGGTGTGGAAGGTCGTTAGAGGGGCGGAGTGGGTCAGGTTGGTTGGGTCGAGGGCGTAGATGCTGTCGGAACGCCAAGGGTCAGCCTTCGAGTCCCGATCGTGGATATGGGCCGTGGGCGACGCACCGAGAGTCGGTCGACAAAGCGCAGAGCTTCCTTCCATCAGGCGCGAGCGCCATGCTCGAGATGCCGTGCGGACGAGTCGTCTCCATGCTCGTGAGCGCCTCCTCGTTCGTCTCGTACGAGGACGGGTTGACGCGGCTGCGGTGCGAGCGGCGAAGGTCCCACACCTTGACGAGGCTGGAGCGGGACAGGTAAGCCAGGTGAACGAGACAGGAGATGCTGGAGGCAAACGCACCTGTCTGCGGAGCCGGCGGACGCGATCAGGTTGTCTTGGTGCTCGAGATAGGTCACGGCCGTCACGCTTCGAGTCGCAGAGCGCTGAGTATTGCTCTTCAGTTAGCTGTCGTCGCACAAAGCGGTGAATAGGTGAAGGCGGCCGACTCACCCCCTTGACCTTCTTCCCCGGCGCGCCATGCGCATTCCGGATCCGATTGACCATTCCGACCGCGTTCGTCCCCTCAACACCACTCTCTGCATACCCTTTCAGTCGCTTGTCCCAAACGAGGATACTCCCGTCCCTCGAGGCGGTCGAGAGGATGTCTGCGGGTGATTGGGAAGGTCAGTCTGCGCTGGCTGTGAGGTCGCGATGCGGAAGACGTACGAGGATTGTGAGGGTCCCAAGACATGCTTTTAACGGTGCCGGTGTGACCGCTGAGCACGCCAACGCAGGTCTGGGTCGCCGAGTCGACGAGCCGGACAGTGTGGTCGCCTCCTGCGATGGCCTGCGAGCAGAACTCGTTAGATTACCCTAGCGACTCGGGCGAGAGTCAGCGAGAATACTCACGAGCACCGAATCGTCCCGGCTCCATCGCACATCGAAGATCGCGCTCGCGTGCGCTTGGAAAGAATGTCGAGTCGGACCTGCTCGCTCGCGACTCAGTCAGTAACGCGTCTCCGGGGACGAAGGATCAAGGTTCTGACACACCGCCTTGCCACTGGTCGTCGTCCCCGTTCAGAAAGCTCAGAATGCCTTCTTCGTCGCCGACCGCAACAAGCTTCTTCCCGCCTGCTTTCGCAGCTGTCGTCGCAAAGGCGTCAGTTCGGCGGCTCACCTGGACGATGAAGAAGAAGAAACGCACCGTGAGAAAATGCAAGCGAGAACGGGGGCGCCCAGGTTCGGCTGGCGTGCTGCGAGGTGATCCGGGTCACGTCCGCCTCGTTGCTGGAGACAATTGTCTGCAGCCACGGTCGCATCGACACTGTACGACGGGTAGCGTCAGTACAGACCGCGGTGGAGCGATTCGCAAGTACGCACATCGTGCTCGTCCAGCCCCGAAACCCAACTCTCGCCGCCGCATCGCGTCAAAGACGCTGAACTGCTCGCCCGCCAGCGCGTATGTCGCGGGCAGCTTCGCCCTTCCGTCCAACTCCCACGCTGGCGCGAACGTCGCCAGCAGTCGCGCGTCCGCCTCGTCCTCGCTCGCCCGTCGCGACGGAGAGAGGGAGGAAACCCGTCGTCGCTTCTTCGTCCGGCGGTCCGCCTGCTCCTCCGCGTCGCTTGACCCATCCATCTCGTCGAGAAGAAGCATCTGCGCGTCCCCGTCGTCTACACGAAGCGGTGATGTCGCGCAGGTGCTCGACGACGCGCTGGCGCCTGCGGTCGGGGCATCGCTGCCGAAGAGGGCGGGAGACGCGGGCGAAGTGAGTGCGCTGGACGACGGCGAAGTCGGACGGATGAGAAAGGCGTCGGAGAGGCTGGTCTGGCGGTAGACGGAGGGTCGTTTCGGTCGCGAAGTGGAGGGAGCGTTCGTGAGGTCGGTTGCGAACCGGCTGGGCGTCTTGTTCTTGTCCGCCATGGTCGTGCAGGTCAATGTCGACGCTGTGGACGCTCTGCAGACACGTCCAGCTGGTGGCGAGGTGTGAGATGACGAGTCGAAAGGCGTGAGGACGCGAGGAGGACGCGAGGCGCGAGGAGAAGAGAGGCGGTGCAAGCGGGGCGCGTAAGAGCGTGCAGGCGACGACGGGCAGTCTGCGAAGCCTCACAGCAGCTGCAAAGGCGACGAGCGAAGCGCGAGAGCGAGAGGAAAAGCGGTTCGCGATGAGCGAGGAGGACGATGCGAATTGCAAGCGAGAAAATGCAAGGAAGTGCGGTGCGGCGAACAGTACAGTACAGCTCTACAACTAGCAAGAAGAACTCAGCCACGGATGCCGATGCGATTAAAATGCGACATCTCCATCGTGCACAACTCGCTCCGGCTCTTGAAGACGGTCGAGACGACCTTGGACCGCCCGACGGCCTGGAGGTCCTGATGCTTGAGGTTCGACGAGGTCTGCGCAGTGCGAACGTTGCGGAGGTCCCACAGCCTGGCGAATGAACAAGGAGGTCAGCCTGGATGCGCGAAGCCGCAAGATTTTTCGCTGCGCAGACTCACTTGACGCCCGTCTCGTGGTCAGGGAACGCAAAGACGGTATCGCACTGCGAGCCGCGGAGGTAGCGTCCCATGTTGGTCGGAGCAAGGGCGCCGGAGGACGTACGGTGCGGGGCGAGGTCGTAGCCGAAGGTGAGGACCGCCTTCGAGCCGGCGGGACGGCGGATGTCGTAGACCGCAAACTGGTTCGAGGGCGATCCCATACGAGCGAGGAGAAGGTGGGGATCTTGAAGACTGCGGGCAAAGCGAGGTCAGCGAGACCGTCTCCAAATTCGCCTCGAGCACGCACACTGGGTCGACGGTCATGACCGGATTGTCGAGCAGCGCTTGCCACGTCGAATGCTGGTTGTCGACGTCGTAGACGAAGACCTTCGGCACTCGCAACGTCAGCGAAGGGGCTGGCGAGGGAGTCGGGACTTGAACGCACCCGCTTGTCCTTCCCGCTGGACATGATGCGGTTCTCCTCGCCAGCGAGCGGCGCAAGGCTCGTGATCATCGACGAGTGCTCGGAGCGGATGTTGACGGCGGTGATCTCTTGCGTCGCGCGCGAGCGAGTCCAGAGGAAGATCCTGAGGAGACGCTTCTGATGAGCGATGGGAACGGCTTGACGGATCGAGCGGACTCACTTCTTGTCCTCCCCTCCTGTCACGAAGCGCAGGCGGCCGGTACCGGGCAGAGTCGTCAACGCCGTCACGCCGCCAAGCGTGTGCGGCTTCGTCGGAACCTTGGTCTCGATGAGCCTCGCGCCGAGCTGCGAGTTCGTCAACGTCAGCAAGCGGCGCGTATCGTAAAGACGGACGCAACGCACCCTGCTGTCCTGCTCGCGCTTGAAGAGCACGACCTGGCTCGGCGGCTTGACCGTCTCCCTCCCTTCCTTCGCGCCGAGGTAGCCGACGATGAGCGTGTCCTTCGAGTCTGACCAGGCAAAGTCATCGACGCGGAACGTGTCGTCCTTCGAGGTCCAGAGCTTCTCGACTGTCGAAGTGAGCGTGTGGGGCGGGCAGCTGAACTGGACGATGTCGCCGATGTGTGAGACGGCGACGAAAGAGGGACCTGTGTCGATCATGTGCCGCAGCTTGTTCGAGCGGCCGTCGAAGCCTGGGGTACGTCGGAAGTCAGCGAGAGTGCGCACGGTAGGCGAAAGCGGACGCACTATGCAGCTGTGAGTGAGACTGCGTGCGCAGCAAGATGCGACCGTCGTCGACGCCGAGACCCGTACCGAGGTCTGGCTCCTGGGCCTCCACCTGCTTCGCTTTCTCCTTCTGCACCTGCTTCGCCTTGACCTTCGCCGCCTTATCGACACGACGATCCTTCTCCTTTGCAGGCTGACGCTTGGCAGTCGCCACAGGCAAGGCAGCCTCCTCGTCATCTGTTGACCTGGCCGAGGTAGATCCGCCGCGAGCAGCGAGTTGAGCCGCGACTTCCTGCTGAACCAGTCGCCTCAGCTCGTCCGCCGACGGCGCCTGACCCGCCGCCGCTGCAGACTCTGTCACGCGCTGAATCGCTGACGTCGTCGCACGCATGCTGTCTGTCTTCTTCTTCCGCCGCTCCTGGTTCGAGCCCGAGTCGGCATCCGAACGATACTCGACCGCCGGGCGCTTGCCGAGACTCGTCTTCGAAGGCCTCGACAAAGGACGACGCTCGACTTCGGGAGAGACGGAGGTGGACGAGTCGGAGAGAACCATGACATCGCCTGGCTGTTCGGTATGAAGCGAGTGCTGCGCTGGCGCGGGTTCTTGATATAGAGGCTGAGGCTGCGGCGCTGCTGCATGCTGATGGGCGGACGAAGCGCGAGAGGTCGAAGGAGGTGGGACTGCGGCAGGTTGAGGTGCTGTCTGCGCGACTGGCGGCGCAGGGACCGGCGCAGCGACCGACGAAGGACCGGCGACTGGTTGGGCTGGCTGGGCAGGGGATTCGGGCGCTTGCAGGCGAGCCATGCCGGGATGCGGCTGGAATTGTGAGAAGGGTCGTGATGGAGCAGGTGCCGGAAGGGCGACCGGTTGTGCTGAAGGCGGAACAGGCTGGGCGCGAACGGCGGACGCGGCAGTCGTAGAGCTTGCGGAGGTGGAGTTCGCGGGTGCGATGAAAGGGTAGCGAGACGGCGAGAAGGGAGTCTGCAGAACCGGCAGCGAGAACGGCTCGCCAGGGACCTTGTGCGAGACGGTGAGCTGGTCCGAGTGGACCCAAAACTCGGTCTTCTCGGCACCGTTCACGCCCTGCGCGCGACTCTTTGGCACGATGACGAAGGTGCGGCTGAAGAGGCGGATCGTCTTCTCCGGAAATTCCTCGTAATCGCCGACGAGGTGCAGGACGATTGGAGGCGGCGAGCGGCTCTTGACCTGCAGCTCGGGAATGGAGCGGGCTGTAAAGACGGTTCGGCCGAGGTCGTGCGAGCCCGTCGGGAGGAGGCGGATGGCGTTCGTGATTGCCGTTGGCGTCGAGGCGACTTTGCCGGCGTTGACGAGCCAGCTTTTCGCGAAAGGTATTGGCGGGAAGGGGAGGCGAGCGGGCGTCTTGGCGTCGACTCGGAGGGAGAAGGTAGCGTTGGGCGTGTACATGAGCTCGAGCGAGCTCCGTGCGCTGTCGAAACGGCGGAAGTACCTGCGCAGGGAGATAGATCAGCGTCGACTGCATGGCTTGCGCACGGCGGGGAAAATGACGCACTCCTGGACGAAGCTGTTGACAATCTCGTACGTCTCCTTCGTGTCCGCACGGCTCGACAGCATGATCGGCAACGGGAAGCGCGCGAGATCCGGTTCTGGTGTAGGCGTCGCAAGCTGGTCGACCTCGTCGTCAACGTCCATCTGCTGCGGCTCGTCTTGTCGAGGTGGCGTAACAGGCTGAAGCTGTCGGAGCTCCTCGGGTTGCGCAGGTCGAGGAGGTTCGGGCGCGCGCTCGATGACTGGCTTGACATCCTCGTCCAAGCGAACAGGCTCCTCCGCACGTACGACGGAATCGGCTCGAGCAGGAGCCGCGCCCGCAGTCTCGACCTGCGCCTCCGCCACCCGGCCCTGGCTCTCCTCGTCCTGCATGAAGCTCACGACGACTGAGTCGCCTTCAATCCGGCTGCCAAGCACGATCTTTCCCTCCGCACCAAGTCTCTTGACTTGCGAGACGAGGAACGACCGCTTCTGTCGGGCGGCGTCCGGAGCGGTGAGGGCGGACGGAGGGACAGGTATGCGCAGGGATATGATGCCGTCGTCGTCGAGCGTTTCGGTGACGGTCGGCTCGGTTGATTGCGCCGGCGGAGGAGCGGCGTAGGCGGACACCTGCGTCTCGACGGGCCGAGGGACAGCTGGAGGAGGTGTTGCCGGGATTCGAAGGGGAGCCGGCTGGACCGTCATTAGGGCAGCTTCGCTGAGCACATCCGGCTTGACGTCCATCGCAACGTCGCCATCTCCGTCTGCGTCCGCAGCTCCTTCGTTCGCGTGTCCATCGCCTGATCCAGCAGCCGGTCGAGAAGCTGCGGCTTGAGCAGCCGCACCCTCTGCAACCTTCTTGGCATAGTGCGCCGCTGCTCGATCCTTTGACTTTTGCTTCTGCTTCTCCGACGGCTTGCGTTCGCGCGAAAGCTGCATGACCGTCTCGGGCGGGACGACGAAGCGTATTTTGATGGTATGCCGGGTTCGCGGGTCGTCCTTGTGGCCGAGATGTGCTTTGAACACGCTCATCCCGCCGGAAGCCGCGACCTGTGGCTCTAAGGACTTGGCGAAGGCCTCGACGTCCTCACTCGCCGCCGCGAACGCTTCCGGCGGCAGTTCGTAGGTGCAGAGATACGTGATGCGGCCTTTCTTAGCCTCGCGGTAGCCGTATCCTCGCGAGGGAAGGGCGTGTTGCTGGTAGTGAAGAGCTGGTGGTGCGATTTTGCTATAAAGAGATTGGTGAGCGAGCGGTTTTCAGTCTCGTTCGGTTTGAACTGACCTGGCGTTTTCCTTCTGAGCCCAGTCTCCGGTAGGCATTCCAATCTGCCCATCCGGTACGGCGCCGTTCTCCGTACCCTGCACCGCGGGCTCCAGCGCAGCAGGTGGAGCATTCGTAGGCGCCGGGGCCGCGGGTTGCGCCTTCTGCGGGCTCGGATCCTGCTTGAGTTGTGTCTGGCTCGGTTCTGGCGTCTCCGGAACGCGGAAGAGACCTGCGGGTGTAGATCCGCCGCCCGAGACCCGTCTCGCCTCGCGTTCGTCCGAAGTCTCCGCGAACACAATCTTCATCCCCTTGCTCGAACCGGCTTCAGCACTCGAGGCGGGTGAAAGAAGTGTCGGCTGTCGGCCGTCGAGCGCTTCGAGAGCCGAGAGAGCTTCGTGGGCCGAGGAGAAGACGATGTGGGCGAAGACGGGCGCTTGCGTGCGAAGGGAGACGCGAACGAGGTTGCCGTAAGGTGAGAACGTGGCGCGCAGATCGGTTTCTGTGACGGTGGAGGGGAGTTGAGTGACGTAGAGAGTAGAACGAGGGTTGGCGGGAACAGGGATGGGCGTGGCAGAGACAGGTTGCGAGGAAGTCGAGGTTGATGCGAGGTATCCGGTTGATGCGGCAACTCCTCCCGACCCGCTTGCACGTCCAGGTTGTGCCGCAACGACGCCATTGGCGCCTGTCGCGTACGCATTACGCCCAGGAGGAGCAGATGACCCGCCGTCTCGACCATTCGCCGGTTGAGGAGGACCTCCTGGTCTCGCGCTTCCTCCTGGCTGCGCCCAGCCGCCCACCGTAGTCTGGCCCGGTTTCCTCACTGCATTCGCACCCGTTCCCCCACCAGTCGACGGCGAAGAGGCCCATCCTCCCACAGTTCGCGGCGGTACTCCTGCCCTCTCGGCTCGAGGCGCGACCGGGACCTGCGAGAGCGGGAAGACCTGTGGCGGAGCAGTCGGTCTGCGGTTCGGCGGCGCCGTCTCACTTGGTTGCGCGTCGTCCAGCCGAGGTCGAGGAGCGGACGGTTGAGGCGCTCGATTCGGCGGGCGGAACGGCGGGGGCTTCGAGGGAAGCATCAGACACGCTTGTGAGCCCACGAAGAGCGCCTTGCCAGCCAGTCAGAGCGTGTTCAGCGAGCGGCGAGTGAGTCTTTGTGAGTTGACCTTCATCGCGACACCTTGAGCGACGACATCCTCCCGCTACACCGCTCTGCTCGCTTGTTGGACCGCTTTAGAGGCTTTCAGGCTCGTACAGGACTGCCCAAAATGGTGCGCCTTGGTCCCACGCCCGCCCGTGTCGTCGCTCGCTCACACCCCGCTCCTCGACACGCCGACAGAATCTCCACTTGAACATGGTAACGGCGGTCATCCTGATCGACAACGACTCGAACCGCGTGCTCTCGAAGTTCTACCAGCCCGCCCACCCCGACCCGAAGAACCCGAACGCGTTCAAACACCCGTTCCAGACACTCAAGGAGCAGCGGGCGTTCGAGGCGGCCATTTGGGAGAAGACGCGGAGGCAGAATGGTGCGTGAGCGCGACAGAGCTTATGGGATCTCACGCATCCGAGCGTAGGCGCAGAGGCTGACTACCGCTCGTTTCGTCCACTCGCAGGCGACATCCTCCTCTACGAAAACCAGCTCGTCCTGTACAAGCAATCGATCGACCTGACGTTCTACATCGTCGGACCCGCGGGCGAGAACGAGCTCATGCTGCAAGGCGTCCTCACCGGTTTCTACGACGCCGTCGCCATGCTCCTCCGGCATCAGGTCGAGAAGCGGTCCATCCTCGAGAACCTGGATTTGGTCGTGCTTGCGCTGGACGAGACGATTGACAACGGGTGCGTGACGTTCCCGGATGCCTCATCAGCTGCGAAGAAAGGCCGCTGGCTTAGCCTTACTGTGTGCCTGCACGGACCCGCGAAGCTCACGCTTTCATATCTGCAGCATCGTCCTCGAAACCGACCCAGTCGCCATCGCATCCCGCGTCTCCCGGCCCAAACCCGACGCAGGCGTCAACCTGGCCGACATCCAGCTCAACGAGCAGAGCATCATGCAGGTGCGTCGGATCATCCCAGACTCTTCCTGTAGTGACGCTGACGCGCCACTTTCACAGGCCTTCACCACCGTGCGAGACAAGATCGGCCAGCGGATCCTGCAGGGTTGATCGGCCGGCCTCTCCCTCCGTTCGCTCGCACTTCTCCTTTTCCAGCGCGCTTCCCGTCCGCGCGCCTTTCCAGTCCTTCGTGTCACCATCCGTTGTCGCAGTCACCCTCGGTCTCTCTCGCCTGTAATCCATACCTGCATGTCTCGCTTGCCTAACCTCGCCGCTTGCTTTCGAGAGATTCGATTCGCTTGATCTGACGAGACGATTCGGCAGTCTGCCTTCGCGCTAGCGTGTCTATCAAAGTTTACGCCGTCCTTCTTTGAGTGCACTACGCCTCGCGTTTTCTATGGAGCACCCCGACGGTCGCCTCCCCTCAGAACGGCATCCTCGTCCCCAAACCTCTCCTCTCCGCCTCCTCCACCACCAACCTCGCAATACTCACATCCATCCCACCAACTCCAACACACTTGAACAAGCTCCGTCCCTTTTCCCTCAACCTCGCTAGCTTTTCCCGTGTAGTCGAGGAGGGGGAGAGCGTCCCGTCTGCGCTAAGGAGCGAGCCGAGAGGGATGAGGGAAAAGGGAGAGATGCGCGCGTGAATAAGCTCGCCGGATTCGGAGAGGCAGGCGGAGGGGGAGTCGACGAGGATGGTGGGGATGTGAGGTGAGTCAGAGGTGGAAGAGGAGGTGAGAGGAGCGATGAGTGCGGGCGGGAACTCTTGCATCGAGGGTGTGTAGGATCCGACTGCGAGACAAGACGAGGACGGGTAAGTCGGCTGGCTTTACGGAAAGAAGGAGGTGCGACACACTGGCGTTGATATGCACGCCTGGCTTCAGGTCGTGAAGGTCGAAGACGGGGCTTTTAGAGGGTACGCAGCTGCGCGAATAAAAGGGTGAGCGAGTCGCGACAGGCGAAGGGAGACGAACTTGGGACGTACGTGCAGATAATGTCGGCCTCCTTGACCACCTCACTCGCCTTGTCGTCCGTCAGAGTGTCGATCTCGACACTCGGCGCCTCTGTCCATAGCCGCTCGACAAGGTCGGTAGCGCGCGGCGTGATCTTCCGCACGACGACAGTCGCCTTCTTGATTGACGGGAAGAGCTGGATGACCAGACCTGCGGCCCTGCGAGCGTCAGTGACCCCATAAAGGTATACTGAGAGTGCTGCGCGCACGCGCGTGGTAATAGGCTTGAGTGCCGGAACCGAAGACGACGAGATTGGTCGATGCGGGCGAGGCAAGGATCGTAGTTGCAAGAGCCGAAGCCGCTCTGTCGACACAAGGTTCAGTGGCGTTCATCCGATGAGAGACAGCTTGGACTCACGCCGTCCGTAGACCCGTCAACTCTGCCGCATTAACGACAGCCTTGGTCAATCCCGTCTCTTCGTCGAACAGAAGTGTTGTGGCTGGCAGGCCAGGCAGGGTGCAGTTCGGCTTCGGGACGGAGACGACTTTGATGGCTGTCGCTGGGCCCTGCGGAGAGTATGAGAGTGAGCGTCCTGACGGCGGAGGGCAAAAGCGAGAGACGAACGTCCGCGGTCGTTAGTCGCGAGGGCATGTAAAGGGTTTTGTGGTTTGCCGACTCGGTCGCGATGCGCTGCAACGTCTTAGACTGTCAAAATTGCCGCGAAGAAGGGCGTTGCATGTCGCAGGAGCGAGAGAAGGGGACCTCTGAGGCGAACCTGCGGGTTTTGCACGGGTGCCGGCACCTCCTTCGAGTCCTCGTTCGCATGGATGGCAGCCATAGTCTTGCCAATCACGTCGCACTGTCAGGCGAGGCGCGCAGAGCCGTGTGTGAGCGTGTACAGGCCATCCGAAGTGTCCCAGGTGGGGAGGAGGAGAGGACGAACGAGCGAGCGAGCGGAGAGCGTCGCGGTGAGCTGGGCGACGTCTGCAGCACTGACCACGAGCACAGACATTTTTGATAGCTTTGCTCAGCCGTACGAGCGCAAGGGGACCTCGCCAACCCTCGCTCGCTCGCGTCGCTCCTCGACCTGCGCACACCTCGCTCACCTCGACTGCGCTGTACAGCTTGCAACTGGACACGGGCTGACTGCTGGCTATCTCCTGATTCTGACAAGCTCACTCCCAGCGCAGGCCGCACTCGTCCCATGTCAGTCGACCCCGCTCACACCCCCGCGCCATCAACCCGCGTCGACTGGGCTTCAAACGGCCAGGAAGCGAGACTGACGAGCTCGAGCGTACTCCCAGGTCTTCATTCTTGTCCTCGATGGGCATCGGCAGCCGCGTCAACGCCGGACGCAGCCCTTCACGCCCCGCCGCCCCTCCCTCGAACACCCAGCACCCTCCCCAGCAGCAACAGATGTCGCAGCCTACTCCCGGCTCGGGGTACTCGAACGCACCGCTTCCTCGCGGATCGTCGAACGGCGCGCAGGGGACTAAGGGACAGCAGCAGACGGAGCGGTTGTACCTTTGTCTTCCGTTCGTCAAGGCTGCACTCGTCAAGGGAAACTTCAAGACTATCGTGGCGCTGCCAAAGTGTGAGTGGGTGCGGCAGAGGCCGGGGGAATCTGGCAGAACTGACGAAGGACGGTTTCGCAGATGTCGACGTGAACGAATGGGTCGCCGTCAACCGTGAGTCTCGCCGTCCTCAGCTTCTCTCTCGCCGGGACTGCCTGAGCCGCGTCAAGTATGATTTGTCGTGTCGGACAGCAAGTCTCATCAATGGCAGGGCTGACATGAGCTCACATTTGGCAGTTGTCGACCTGTTCAACAACCTCAACCTCTTCTACTCTGTCGTCACCGAGTTCTGCACCGTCGAGAACAACCCCACCATGTCGGCTGGTCCAGGGTGAGTCGCCGCGATCCCTCGTGGGGTTCGCTGCACAAGCTAACCGGCTTCGCGCGCAGCATGGACTACACCTGGATCGACGCGAGCCGGAAACGCGTCAAGCTGCCCGCGCCGCAATACATCGACTACGTCCTGACGTGGGTCGAAGGTCTCATCAAGGACGAAGCGGTCTTCCCTACGAAAGCCGGTCGCGAATTCTCGCCCAACTTCCCCTCGGTCGCGCGACACATCTACACGCAACTCTTGCGGATCTTTGCGCACCTCTACCACGCGCACTACGACGTGTACCTCCATCTCAGTATGGAGGGACACCTCAATAGCCTCTTTGCGCACTTTTTGACGTTTGGGAGGGAGTTTGATTTGCTCGAGCCGAAGGAGTGTAGGGCGCCGAAGGAGGGGTGGCCGTTCGTCATTGGCGACTTGATGGATGTGCGTGCGCGGTTCCTTCTCGGAGTGGAGATGAGCTGGCCGTCGTTCGCGGTGGCAGATCTTCTCCATGTCCCGAAGACTGCGCTGACCCTAACTTCGCCCGTCTACAGGCCTGGCGAGGGCTCGGCATCCTCGAGGCGTGAGTCAAGAGTGTGCCGGTTCCATACAAACACTCGCATCAGCTCCGGGTGAGTTTCGCCGCGACTCGTTCCCTCTTTTCCCGCTGCTCCGTTCCGCGACACCTCCACTGACCCTCGTGCTCCTTCGGTCGCAGCCTCTTGAGCATTCTCGACGTCGACGCCTGTCGATTCGCCCATCTTCGCCCTCGCACGCATGACTCTACCTCGACCCCCCTTTAACCCCTTGTGCATCCTCTCCTTGACGCATCGACGACCTCGTTCCGCTTTCTCTCTCGCTGTACCACGTTGTGACTGTACCCAGCAATGCATCGCTTCGCCGCAGACCGAGTCTGATTGGTGGATGGGTGATGACTGGCGAGAGGACCCTCGCGGTCGCCAAGTTGCGCTCGTCGTCGTTCGCTCGCTCGCCTCGTCCGCGTTCAGACTCGCTGCTGCTCTGCTAGAACATGGTGAGCAACTCATTCAAGCTACTCAACGCATGCCCGCTCACTCTCACCCGCAACTCGCACTCATCGCTCTTCCTCTGCCCCTCTCCCAGGCCGACTCGAGCTGTGGGTCTGGCTCGTCCTACAACGGCAACCTGGACCTGCGAGTGGGAGGGCTCTTTCTCATCCTCGTACGTCGCATGATCTCCAGCTTCGAACCGGACCCGCTCGGGGAGGAAGCAAGCCTGGTGACCTGGGACGAGACGAAGGGAGGACGATGAGCTCACCTCGCTGGACTCGCTCGCAGGGGACAAGCGCAATCGGGACACTCTTTCCTGTGAGTCTGCATTCCGTACAGAGACTCGTAGCGAGCCCCGGAGCTGACTTTGCCATCGTTCGCTTCGTCCCCGCTCACCCTCGCTCTTTCCCTCCCGCCTCGTCTCGCCAGATCCTCTGCCGAAGAAGCCGGCTACGGATATCCGAGCATGTCTACACAGCGTTCAAGTTTTTCGGCAGCGGAGTCATCATTGCGACGGCCTTCATCCATGTGCGTCTGTTCCCTCCCTCCCCATCTCAAGAGGGCTCGCTGACACTTGCTGCCGCAGCTCCTTGCACCTGCCTTCCAAGCCCTCGGCTCCGACTGCCTCCACGGCGCCTGGAAAGACTACGAATGGGCACCCGCCATCGCCATGATCGCCGTCTTCGGCATCTTCCTCGTCGAGCTCGTCGCAACTCGCACAGGCGCGTCGTACCTCAAGCGACGAGGACTGCGGCATCATGATCCGCATCATGTGAGAGGCAACGAGGTCGGTCATACGGGTCATGGGACGCATCCGCCGGCGGATACGACCACGACTGCGTTGGCGAGTTCCGGGACGTCGGTCACTCAGGTGGAGGGTGCGGCGGCTGCGGTGGAGGCCAACGAGGTGGATCTCGAGGCGGGAGAAGCCAAGGCCAACCAGCGGCACGACCACGGCGTCCTGGAGGAGGACGACGACCTGCACGAGAGCGCGGTCGCGCAGTGCATCGGCGTCGGCATCCTCGAAATCGGCGTAATCTTCCACTCGTTCATCATCGGCCTCACTCTCGCCGTCAGCAACAACCTCGGACCGCTCCTCGCCGTCCTCACCTTCCACCAGACCTTCGAAGGGATCGGTCTAGGGTCCAGGTTGTCGTCCCTCCCGCTTCCGCATCGCCTCAATTGGGTGCCGATCGTCGCGGCGGTTGTGTACAGCTGCACGACGCCGCTCGGTATCGCCGTCGGACTCGGCGTGCGAGAAACGTGTGTCTCGCTTCCCTCGCTCGTCTTGTCTCGCTTGACTGACGCCCCGTTCTCCCTCGCAGCTACAACCCCGACTCGGCAGCCGCGAGCATCGTCAGCGGTATTCTCGACGCTAGCAGTGCCGGTATCCTCCTCTGGGCAGGACTCGTCGAATGCCTGGCGCACGACCTTGTCTTCGACCGCAAAAGTGAGTCGGCCGCCTGCCTGGGTCCGTCGCTGAGGACGCTCGCTGACCTTGCTCGTCCTCGCTCGCAGTGGCGGAAGCGCCACCTCGCGAGGTCGCTGTTGCCGTCTTCTGGGTCTTCCTTGGAGCGGGCCTCATGGCTCTCCTCGGTCGCTGGGCTTGAGCGACATGCCTCGCCTTCCCTCGCCAGCCTGTACGAGTATCCCGCTGTGCCTTCTTCGTCCATAGATCTCCCTCCCTCTGCCATATCTCGCATATATCCCCTCCTCCCTCTCCCTCTTCCCCCTCGAGTTGGACAAAAAGCCTTGTAGACTTAGACTTGTATACCCGGACTAGTACTCTGCATCGCATCCGCATTACGCAGAACAGCCTCGTTCCGCTCGTCGAGGTCCAACTTCCTGCTCGCTCAACTCTCTCTTTCGCTCGACGCACGCCCACTCGTCGCTTGTGCGCTCGCTGCGACAGGCGCGCTCTGACGCTTGCTTCGGTCTCCGTGTGCTCGTGTCGCGCTCCGGCATGAGCGTCGACCCGCGTCTCCTGATGAACGCGGATGGTGGGGAGGTAGGGAGCGTGGATCAGCATCGCCTGCGCTCTCGGCGACGGGGTCGAACAAGGCGCCGACTCGCAGGACCCGTACGTCTCGCGTCTCGGACGAATATATCGACCAGGAGGCGTTGAACGAGTTCATCGAGTCAGGCAACGCGCCTGCAGACCTTCGTGCGCTCCGCGCTACGCCGCCGCCGAAGCGCGACGCCGAGGGTAACCTCATCTACTCGTCAAGCGAGGCAGGCAGTCCGACCTCGCATCGTCAGTCTTCTCCGGCGACGACGGCGGCGAACGGTGCCCAGGTTGGGTTTGCGGGCTCGGACGACGAGGACCAGGAGGATGTCGACATGGCAGGAACGAGTGGACAAGCTGCCGTCGAGCAGGCTTATCCTTTCGCAGGGGCGGCGCCGGACGGGCAGAGCGGTTTCGCCGGGAGCGGAAGTGAAGACGAGATGGAGGTCGACGTGGCGGACCGGCACACCCAGGTTCGGTACGGCTTTGCGGGAGACAGCGACGACGAGCCGGACACCATGCAGGCCGAGCAACAGCCGCCTCTCGCAGCAGCAGCAGCAGCAGCAGCAGCAGCAGCAGCAGCACCGCCAGGTCCAGTGGCAGGCGGCTTTGCGGGAGACGGCGAAGACGAGGAAGACCACGACGCCGGCTACTTTCCCGCCCTCACGCCCTTCCCTCCGTCCTTCTCTCGCGAACCGACTTCGCAACCTGCACCGTCGACACAGAAGGGCGGCTTCGCCGGCTCTTCCGACGACGAAGATGCCGGCGATGACAGCGGCTACATCGAGCAGAGCCGAGATGATGCCGCCCATCGCGCAGGCCCAGACGCCATGCCTGTGGACGCGGCCGCGTTGCGCTCGAACTCGATCGATCAGCAAGGCTTCGCCGGCAACGACGTCGACGAGAAGCCGACTGCAAGCGTACAGGGAGCGCCCGTCGAACGACAAGCTGGAGGTTTTGCCGGTGAATCCGACGACGATGACGAGCCGGGCGGACTTGCGCATGACGGGGAGGCCCGTGGGCAGGGCTTTGCTGGCGATTCCGACGAAGGCGAGCAGCGGGCCGCGGAGGAGTCGCAAGTAGGGGGTTTCGCAGGCGACTCGGGGGAGGAAGAGGACGTGAAGCCGATGCTGCAGGAGCCTGTTGAGCAGCCAGCGCCGACGGGAGCGGAGCCATCGGCAGCCTCACCGGCGGTTCCGTCAGCAGGTGCCGTAGGCGGATTCGCCGGAAGCGACGAGGAAGAGGAAGAACCGCCGCCGCCCGCGACAGCTGCTCCGACTGAGACTCAGTCACAGCCAGTCGCTGCCGCACCGGTGCAACAAGCTGCAGAAGCGCCTCCGACGCCCGCCGGCAACAGCGCCGCACTTCTCGCGCCCATCCGCACCGGGGCCGCTCCTCCCCGACCCGTCGCGGCTGTCGCTCTTTCGTCCTCGAGAAGCCCATCGCCTGCGAAGGGTCCGATCGTGTCCGAGCAGATGTCGCCGCCGCCCGTGCCGCGTGGACCGAAGGTCCCTCACAAGCGACCTTCGCGTGACGAAGACTTCCCAACGGTCGGCACCAGCAGCAAACCGCCTACGGCGAAGAAGGTGAAGTCGAGCGACGGTGGTCGTGCGTCGTCAGAAGGCTCGGCCGATCTGCGAGCGAAGAAGATGGACGGCAAGAAGAAGGCTTCGGCCGAGTCGCCTGACGACGAGCGTCCGGCCAAGAAGAAGAAGAAGAAGCGCCGTGTCGTCGACGATGACGAGGAGGAGGACCAGCAGCCAGGCTCGAAGGCGCCGCTCACGCAGGCGCAGCAGATCGCGCGAATGAAGATCCGCAAGGTCGGCCCTTCCGTCCCGAAGGCTTCGCCTCAGGCCGCATCACCAGTCGACCAGCAACGCCAGTCGCCGTCAGTCTCGGCAGACTCGTCTTCGCTGACCGGCAGCAGCAGCGCACAGGCGAAACAGGCCAAGAAGGCGCAGGATCCGTTCAACTACGGTGTGGCGCAAGTGCGGTCCACAAATGGCTTCGTTGCCATCAACCGCGACAAGTTGAGCATGAGGAAGCTCGGTCAGAAGCTTCGAGCCGCCTACAATGTCACCCTTCCGCCGCAACTCGTGGGAGACGACGATCAGATCCGGTTCATGTGGTCGGTCGGCTCTTCTCATGGCGACCCTCTCCATGGCGCCGACGACTTCGACGACATTCTGCACAACGGAGGCCGCCTTCTGGAGGTCTTCATCACGCAGCCGCCAGACGAGTCTCAAGCTGGCGTCGACAAGCGAGCGAAGCGGCACGGCGACGAGTACCTCGCTTTGCAGCTCGTCTTGTCGAGCTTCCAGAACGTCAAGCAAGCCGACGCTCCGCGCGACTCGGTCGCCGCCTGCTTCGTCCACGTCTCGGAACTGCCTGAACTTGGTCGCTTCCCCGGCAAGTACGCCGGCATGGACCGCCTGCGCGACCATCCCGGGACCGTCTTCTTCGTCTACGGCATGGACGAACAATCCCGACGTCGTGCTATGCGGCAGATCTGGCGACCCCGTGCGTCCGCTTTCGCGCTCTCCAGCTTGAGTATGCTGACCAGGTCTCTCACAGTTCTCGCTGTTACGTTCACGCCTTCTGCTCTCACCCGCGACGCCCAGCGCATCTGCGGCATCGTCGAGCAAGTCAGCGAACGTGTCAACCAGGAGCTCGCCTCACGCGACGCCTTTCCTTGGGTGCCTCTCCAGTACTTCCTCCCTGGAGGAGCGTTCGGCGTCTCTGTCGACGCCGGAGGGAAATGTCTATCGCCTCGCCTCGACGAAGGTCTCGACCGGCGCACCGCCAAGCTCGCGCTCCATTCGCTCCTCATGATGGACCAGCTCCGGATCGCCAGCGTTGTGGCAACCGCCGAGCCCGCTTCCGCTTCGTCCATCTTCCCTCGAACGTCCGACCGCGCGCCGTACAACCCGACAGTCTGGAAGCAAGTCGCCGAATTCTACCCGCCGGAGAAGTGCGACCTCGACCTCGCACAGCTCCAGAAGCTCGTCTGCTTCTGGCGCTCCAAGTACTCACAGTTGTGCGTGGGCTTCCTTACGGCCCCAGAGCGCTCTTCGCTGACGACCATCTCATGCAGCCGAAACTGGGTCATCGTAGCAACTCCCGACGAGCTGAAGACTTGCGCTCCGCTTCCTGGCGTGAGTCCTCCTTCTTTTGCGGTCACCTTCGCGCGCGCTGACGCATACGAGGCGCCAGATCACGCTCGTCGACGTTGCGCAAGCGGAGAAGCTCTCCCGCTGACCGTTCACAAGCCCTCCCTAAATCCTCGACACTCCGCTTCGCCCGCTTGTACTAGTCCGCATCGCATACTCCCGCTGTCCATCTCAGTCCTGTTGTCGTCGCCTCGTACATGCAATTACGCCTTTGCCCGCTTCGCATTTCGAGGAAGACGGAGCGCTTCCTTCTCTTCCGCCTCACTCCGCCCGCTCATCCCAGCAATTCTGTCCTGGCTAACTCACCACACGGGCCGTCTACTTCGCAGCCAACTGTACGGCCGCTGGCGCAAGCTTCCCCCGCTCACGAGTCTCTCCTTCTTCTCCTCCTTGTCGCATCCGCTGGGCACGATCGCCTTCGCTGAAGCGTTGTTGCACTCTGTCCTGCTCTCGCCATGCCTGTGGACTGCGCGACCTTGGGGCTATTCATCCTCGACACGTTCGAATGGAGGACTATCGGAAGTGATGGGGAGGTCAAGTCGACGAAGCGGGAAGAGGGCGTGCTGGGCGGCGGTGGACTGTATGCCATGATCGGATCTCGTGTCTGGCTGCCGGCGAATCGAGTCGGGATCCTCGTTGACCGTGGCAACGACTGGCCCAAGGAAATCGAGGAGGAACTCGTAAAGTACGGCGAGGGGATGTGGGTGTTTCGGGACAAGCCTGACGAGCCGACGACGAGGGCATTGAACCTTTACACGGGCGAGCACCGAGGTGAGCTTGCAGGTCCTATCGAGCCCGTCAAAAGAATCTCTTCCCAAATCCGAAGCTTGCTCGCCGCGCTCTCTTCCGTTCCGCAGTGCTGACCCTCTCTGTATCGCAGACTTCAAGTACCTCACGGCTCGGAAGCGCCTCGAACCTAAAGACTTGCCTCCTCGCCTGCGCACTTCTCGCTATCTGCACTTCGTCTGCTCCCCTAGCCGCGCCCTCACCATCCGCTCTCAGCTACAACCGCCCCTCAACCCAGCGCCCGACTGGCAACCCCAGCTCGTCTACGAACCGATCCCAGACCGCTGCGTCCCCGAAGAACTGCCTTCGCTACGACAGATCCTGCCGCACATTCACGTCTTCTCACCAAATCACGAGGAGGCCTGGTCGTTCTTTGGCGTCGGACCAGAAGAAGTTGCTCGGAGAGGGAAGGAAGGGATCGAGGAGGTTGCACGGCGATTCTTCGACGAGGGAGCCGCATCAATCGTCGTAATCCGCAGCGGAGCGCTGGGTGCGTACGCTCTGCGCAGGGGAGAAGAGCGAGGGGTATGGGTACCGGCATATCACGCGTATCAGCCTGGAGGAAGTGGCCCAAAGGTCGTTGACGTGACAGGAGCGGGAAACAGCTTCTTGGTGCGTTCTTTCGCCACCCTCGACTGGCTTCCATTCTTTGACCTCTCCTTCACGTACAGGGTGGGCTGATGGCGGGTCTTGTGCTGCATCCAGACGATCTCGTCACGGCAGTGCAGTGCGCGTCGGTTTCGGTGCGTTCCTCTCCACCGATCTCGCGACTTTAGACTGACAGCTGCGCTCGCAGGCCTCGTTCGTCATCGAGCAGTTCGGTCTCCCTTCCGTTGAGCGGGGAGAGGACGGCATCGAGCGGTGGAATGGTGTGAACTCGAACGAGCGGCTCGCGGAGATGCGGAGAAGAGAGTAGACCAACCTTGCGAATACAACAGGAGAACCTCGTACGTGGACACAACAAAGCAAGCGCGCGTTCACTCCTCCTGCTTCTCCTCCTTCGCCTCTCCTTCGCCTTCGCCCGGCGCTGCAGGAGCCGCTCCCTCGCCCGCAACCATCCTCGCGCGCGACTTGGCGAACAGCTCCTCTTGTATCCTGAGCATCTCCTCCTCCGTCATACCGTTCCCGGCTGCTTTCTTCGCCTTCTTAGCCTTCTCACCCTGCGACCGCGAGCCGAGACGGTCAGAAGCTGGCGAGGAAGGAAGGAACGGAAGCTGGACTTGCCTTCTTCACTTCCTTGTGGTCCGCCAAAACGTCCTCGACGCCGGAAACAAATTCCTCAAAACCGAGGGCCTGTACAGCAAGCTTGTGAGCGCCGAATGAGCCGGGATAAGACGGAGGAAGCGCACCTTGAGAGCCGAGAGGATGTGGTCCGGCAACATCGTCTTCTTCGAGTCCTTTTCGCAGATCTCGTTCGCCTCGGACGAGACGGCCAACAGGAACTCTGGATAAAGCACATCATCAGCTTTGGCGCGCAAGGACAGCAAGACGGGCGGACTCACCCTTGCAACACTCTGCCATGAGATCCTTCACCTCCTTCGCAGCGGAGAAGCCCGCAGGGAGCGACTCTGTGCACAGAGAGAGTCAGCTCAGCAAAGTCAAGGCGCCGGGCGCTTAACGCACCTGCGATGAGCTTGTTGATGGTCGACTTGGGGAGGGCGACCTCGTCGTCTCCGCCTCCGCCGGTGCGGGGACCTTCGTCGTCCGAGTTCATCGTACAGCGAGCAAGAGTCTGACGGGCAGCAAGCCGCGCAAGGTGCGCCAAGTCGTGGATAGCGGGAAGTGGAGAAGGCGAGGAGGAGGAGGACAAGGTTGACCCTCGTAGACTCGCCTCCTCACGCGCCAGCCATGTCTGCCAAGGTCAGCAGCGCCTTTGACGTGCTCCTGAGGCACTGCTGACCCACCCTCGCACCGCAGATTGTCAACCCGAAGCCGTTCTTGAGTGATCTGACTGGCAAGCCTGTGATGGTCCGTCTGAAGTGGGGGATGGAGTACAAGGGCTACCTGGTGTCGACGGACAGCTACATGAATCTCCAGGTGCGTCCGAGCCCATCCAACGCCGTCCCGAACGCGAGAGGGGCAACGCTGACCGTCCTCTCTTCCACCCCCTCCCTCACCTCGCACGACTCGCCACCACTCGCTCGGCTGGTGCAGTTGGCGAATACGGAGGAGTACCAGGATGGACAGTCGGTCGGGTCATTGGGCGAGGTCTTCATTCGGTGCGTTCGCATCGCTCGTCTCCCTCGTCCTGGCAGACAGCTGATCCCGTCTTCCGCTCGCAGGTGCAACAACGTCTTGCAGTACGTTCCGAGCGACCTCCGAGCACGTAACGAGCTGACGCTGTCTGTTCCGCAGCATCCGAGGCGCAGAAGAGGACTAGTCTCCCAGTCACCGCCATGTCGCCCTCCTTCGCATCGCAAAAGAGGTCCCTATGTACCTTGCGTCCCCAGGACATCCCTGTAACACCACGATACCATCCGACATCCCCGCCGCGCAGTACGATGACACTTTAGCGCGGAGAACTCGCTGGATGGACGAGAGGAGCTCTTCACTGCGGGTCTCCTGCCTGTCTCTGCTTCGCTGGTCCGAGGCTGCGATGTGGCGTTGCCCCGCGCACGTAATACAGCTCTGTAAGCCAAACTTGGAGCTGCTGATTGTCGTTGCCCTTCCTTCGCTCTCTCTGGCTCTCTTTCCTCGCTACCACTCCCGCTTCTTCGCTCCGATCGCCGCTTGATTGCTCTTCCGTACTCTCGAGGGCTCGCTGCCCGCCATGCAGCACCCTGCAGGCTCTGCGACGCCTGTCGACACAACTTCCTCCACCTCGTCGCATCCGGCGGCGACTCCGCCAGCCTTCGCTCAGGAGGCAGCCGTGCTGGGCGACGAGACTGCGACGCTGCCCGGTGAGGGACAGGCAGCCGAGTCGCGCACGCCGACGGTGGCAGGCGTTGAGGACGCGGACCCAAAAGTGGAGGGGATCGTGGGACCCGCTAGCGATGGAGAAGTGCCGCCGACGCTGAAGCGAAGAGGCGGAACGAACGACTTTGGCTTCCTCCCCATACCGCCGCGACTACGGTTCGACCCGGACAAGCCGTTCGAGTTTGGCTTGCTCTTGAACATCGTCTTTGCTTTCGCTGCTACTTTCTCCGTCGGTGAGCTGTCCTGCAATCTATCGCGCTCGTTGGAACGCTGACAGATTCGTTCTTCAGCAAACCTGTACTACCCGCAACCCATTCTCATCGTGCTGAGCGACAAGTTCAACTGCTCCTGTTCGTCCCGCTCTCTGCTTCCAGCTGGAACAAGCGCTGAATGGGCTGCGAACAGACGACCGCGTTACCAACATCCCGACGCTCCTCCAGGCGTCGTACGCTCTCGGCCTGGCGTTCGTCTGCCCTTTGGGAGATCTCGTCCGGCGAAGACCGCTTCTACTTCTGCTCGTCGGCATCGCCGCCATTCTCTCCCTGTACGTTTCCTCATGTAGACAACCTGACAACAGCGACTGACGCTTTGGCCTATAGGATTCTCGCCCTCGTCCCGTCTCTTGCCGCTTTCCAAGCGATCAGCGCAAGTCTCGCATTCCCCTGAGCCTGCTCACTTCAAGTAACCTGTACTCCCCCAGCAGTTCTTCCTCGGCGCGGCCTCCGTCACTCCTCAGATCCTCCTCCCTCTTTCCGGCGACCTCGCTCGCCCGGAACGTCGCGCTTCAGCCCTTTCAATCGTCTTGTCCGGCCTGCTGCTCGGCATCCTGCTCGCTCGTGTCCTTTCCGGCCTCATCGCCGAGAAGGCGAGCGTTTCAGCACTGTACTACATGTCGTTTGGAGTTCAGGTGAATCCGCCAGCCTATCGCAAGGGACGAGGCGCTGACTGGCTTTGCAGATTGCCATCTGGTTCCTCGTCTACGAGATGGTGGCGTCGCTACCTCACTCCTGAACTTGCGCCGCGGAAGCTAACAACTCGCCTACAGATCCCCGACTATCCTGCGAAGAACCCAGACTTGCACTACTTTGAGATCCTCTGGTCGATGGTCAAGGTGAGCCCTCGCCCCTTTCGCTGCCCCGATCCTACCGCTAACGTTCTACGCTCGACAGTACCTCTTCACCGAGCCGGACCTCGTCCAAGGATGCTTGATTTGCGGCGTCGGCTCGATCATCTTTTCTGCTTTCTGGACAACGAGCACGTTTATCCTGGGCGACCTGTACCATTACAACTCGTACGTCGCCTCTCGGACCTTGCGACGTCTCAAGACGACGACCTAACGCATTGCCTCTTCCCAGCCTCGAAATCGGCCTCTTCGCCTTAATCGGCATCGCCGGTGTCTGCGCCGCGCCGCTGCTCGGACGACTCGTCGACAACCTCGTACCATGGGTCGCCGTCCTGCTCGGAATCGTCATCTTGGCCATCTCGCAGGCTATCTTTACGGGCGCAGCGGGCGTCTCGATTGGTGCGCTCTGCGTGGTTATCTTCAGTGAGTTTTGCGTGCCGCTCTCATATCTGCACAGAGCTGATGTTGCCTCATGGCGCCTCGCAGCCCTCGACATCGGCATGCAACTCCAGCAAGTCGCCAACTCGACCCGCATCTTCGGCATATCCTCCGCCGCTCGCGCACGCCTTTCCGCCGTCTTCCTTGTCTGCATCTTCGCCGGACAATTGATCGGTACGGCGGCAGGCACGCGCGTGTACCTCGACTACGGGTACAGGGCGTCAGGCGGACTTTGTCTGGGTTTGACGGGTTTCATGCGTGCGTTCGCTCGGTTTCTCCCGTGCTTCACGCTTGTTACTGACCTTTCTCGCTGCAGTGCTCGTATTGTTCCTGCGCGGCCCGCACTGCCCCGTCAAGCAGTGGTTCGGCTGGACAGGCGGCTGGGAGCTACGGAAGGCTGTCTACGAGCGGCAACAAGCGGAGCGGCGGACACGCGGTATAGAGATGGACGAGAAGGTGGTTTAGAGCATTATATTCGCTGCATCGTGTCGTTGTATCTGGCCACGAGGCTCTTTCGGCGCTTTTTTCCTCTCGTCGTGTCGGCGGGACGCTTTCTTTCGCTGCCGGGCGACTTTGTCTGTGCCCCGACGGCACGTATCGATGCTTTCCTGGCCTCGAGAGACATCTGCGATTCCTGCGACGTTGTCCCCCGCCGTCGTCGGAAGTCTGCTCCGCCCGGATCCGCTGGTTCGCCTCGCTCGCTGTCTTCACACTCGCTCGCAAGGCTTCTTCTCGTGCTAGACTCAATTGCCAGACTGCTTCGGACAGCTCACTGGCTCGCTCAACCGCCGGCACCTCTCCCTCGCCCGTCCTCACACCTCCCCCACCTTCAACTTTCAAAGCCTGCCGACGATGCTCACAGGCGCCGAGATCGCAAAGCACAACTCGTCAGAGAGTCTGTGGATGATCATCAATGGCAAGGTGCGCAACCGCTTCCTGCCGAAGCCAGTCTCGCAGAGCTGACCATTCACTTTGCTCGGCAGGCGTACGACTTGACAGAGGTGCGCACAGCTGTACTTTGAGCGTCAGAGACCATGCTAACGCATCTTACCGCATGCAGTTCCAGACGAACCACCCAGGAGGGCAGAAGATCCTGCTCAAGTTTGCGGGACGAGATGCGACGGAGGAATACGAGCCTATCCATCCCCCAGGGTTTGTCGTTCATTCTCCCCTTCCGCCAACTCTCCGCTGACACTGTTGCGCTGTAGGACTATTGAAGAAGCGCTCTCGGCAGACAAGCACCTCGGCGACGTCGACATGTCTACCCTGCTGCCGGAGCAGAAGATCGTCGAGCAGGCTGTTCCCAAGTCCACGACTGCTGGAGACGCGCCTATGACGCTCGGAGCGTGCTTGAACTTGGACGACATCGAGAAGGCGGCGGAGCGGCTGCTGAAACCGAAGGCTTGGGGTGAGTTCCGGTCCGAGCCTGGTCTTGGTAGCGCTTCGAGCTGACGCGCTTGCTTCGATAGCTTACTACCGAAGCGCAGCAGACGACGAGAGGAGTATGCTTGTGAACTCCTTTGCTGGCTCTTCCACGCTGACGTTCCGCCTCGCGCAGCTCACAACTGGAACCGCGAATCGTTCTACTCCGTCCGCCTCCGCCCTCGCGTCCTGCGCGACGTCACGACCGTCGACTTGAGCGCCACCGTCTTGGGCCACACGTCGAGCTTGCCGATCTACATCTCGCCTGCTGCGATGGGACGATTGGCGCATCCGGACGGCGAGAAGTGTCTCGCTCGAGTGGCTGCGGCACATCAGATCCCATACATGGTGCGCTCGTCTGTTACTCATCACACCTCACGCACGGTGCTGACGACACTTTCGCTTGCAGGTGTCGGCAAACGCGTCTGTCGGCTTCGAGGAGCTCGCCTCGCAAGCAAAGGAGGGTCAGATCCTCTTCTACCAGGTTCGTCCCCATCGTCGTCAGCATCGTGCGAATCTGTCGCTAACAAACAAAGTTCTGCAGCTCTACGTCAACCGCGATCGGACCAAGAGCGAGGATATCCTGCGGCGAGTGGCGAAGGCAGGCTACAAGGTCAGTCAATCGCCGACCGTCTTCCCAACTCTCGGCTGACTCGTCTCCGAAGGCGATCTGCGTCACCGTCGACGCCCCTGTAGCGGGAAAGCGGGAACGTGACGAGCGAGCTAAGCTCGACGACGAAGCGGTGCGTTGCGCTGATCCTTCGTGTGCCAGCCTTTGGCTGACTTCGCTCCATCGCAGGCCTCGGACCCGAACATGCAGAAGGCAGTCAAGAATACGGGTCCCGATGCGCCTGACGCGCCTCAAGACGAGCCTTCGCAGGGTATCGCCCAAGCACTCGGAAGGTGAGCCTCCGACAAGCCTTTCTCCCTCCCAGCGATCCGCTTACCCATTCTTTTGAACCAACTGCCCTGCTCCTGCGCCGCCCGCCGACTCTGGCTCCATCTCCGCCGCCATGTTCAGCTACGTCGACCCGACTCTCGCCTGGCACGATCTCGAATGGGTTCGCAAGGCATCAGGTGGTCTTCCCATCATCGTCAAAGGTATCCAGTGCGCCGACGATGCCGCCCTCGCAGCCAAGAACGGCGCGCAGGCGATCATTCTCAGCAACCACGGCGGACGACAGCTCGAAGGCGCGCCGAGCTCGCTCGAGACGCTCCTCGAGATCCGCAAGTTCGAGCCGTGGGTGTTCAAGAAGCTCGAGGTGTGGTGCGACGGAGGCTTCAGGCGTGGGACAGACGTTCTCAAGGCGATTGCGTTGGGCGCTCGCTGCGTCGGAATCGGTCGACCTTGTGCGTCTCTCCATTCCCTTACCTCGACGCTGCTCAGCTGACGCTTCCCTTGCAGTCATGTACTCGCTCGTGTTCGGTGACGAAGGCGTCAACAAGGTCGCCACGGTGCTGCGCGAAGAACTTGCCCAAAACGCACGGCTGATGGGCGCGACGAGCATGAAGGAGGTCGTGCCGGCGATGGTCAACGCTCGTGAGCTGGAGCAGAACGTCTACGACGGACCGTACGAGTCACCAGTGAGGGCGCTGGCCAAGCTGTAGACGTGTAACGAGGTCCTCGTCTCGAGGCGACCTTCCTAAGTTGACTTTTGCTGCGTCGTGAGCTACTACCTGCTTCGCTATGCTCTCACTCGCGCTCCCAGCCCTGTGGCTCGTCATTGCGAACGAGCGCAGGTTGAGTGAACAGCGGACGGAAAGTCCGGCGGACTTTGCCCAACCTCCTCTTCCCCGTGCCTCTTCCTGCTCGCTCTCGCTTGTCGTCTGCCTCATTTGGCACAATGAAGCCCGCTACGGAACTCACAATTTCACTCTCAGTCGTCTTCGGCACCATCGCGCTCTTCCTCGTCGTCGCAGCGTCGCGCTTCGCATACCGGCGCCACAAGCGAGGCCGAAGCGTTCCCGTCGATCCTGTCTACGAGGAATGCAAAGTCAGGGCTGCGGGACAAGGAGAAGGTGTCGCACCTTCACCGGCGCAGGAGAGGTGGTTCGGCGGGTCTTGGGGAGTTACGCCGGTTGCTCAAGCGGGTCCGAATGGTACCGCGTAGGTCCCGCCACGCCCATCCACCGTTCCTTGACGTTTGGCTAAAGTTGGCCTCGCCAGGCAATACCTGAGCGGCTGGTTCGGGCTGGACGCGCCGTCGAGCGCAGGTTCGACCGCTCGTGCTCGCTTCTCTCGCCCACAGTGATCGGCTGACCTGGACGTACGACGCAGGATGGTCGCGCTCAGACGCCGACGGGACCTTCCATTCCTCCGCCTACGGATCCGTCAACTCAGCAAACCCCGACGCGTCCACAGTTTCCTCCTCAACGACTTCCGGCTGGATCCGCGAGTCGCACTTCTCGCGAGCGTCACGCGCGAGTCGCCGAGCCGAGAAGGAGGCAAAGAAGAAGGACAAGAAGAAGCCGCGAGTGTCGAAGACGAGCGAGTTTGGCGCGTTCGAGAAGGATGCGGGGACGAAGGACGATGCGAGCGATGAGGGCGAGAAGCAGACGATTCTCGAGGGCGACGAGGCGGCTGGGCAAGGTGGAGATACGGTCAAGCGCTAGGAGCAGGCACAGTCAACGACGAGACGTAGATCTCGCAAGTCCTGAGGGGAGAATGCCACTTGTCAACGACGGTCTACCGATGCAACCTATGGAAGAGAGGATGCGGCCGGAGTGACCTTTTGGCGAGTAGGAGAGGAAGAGGGAGAGTGCGATGCGAGTGCGTCGGGGAGAGAGAAAAGCTTCGAGGCTATGAAACGGCGTGGGAGAGGTTACAGGCGAAAGAGGGTGAGAGTGGCTGAAAGACCGTCGCGCAGGTCGTGCCTAGGCGGTAGGGGCAGGAGCGGGATGCGTGGTAGGCTGGCCGGCTGCGCCCTGCTGAGCGCCACCCTTTCCGCCGCGACCGCCGCGACCTCCACCGCCCCTCGGTCCGCCGCGTCCGGCACCACGGAACGATCCTCGTCGTCCCTCTCCGCTGTCCTGCCTGTCAGGCCTCGGCGGCCTGCCCTCGCCAGCCGCGCCACCCTGCCCACCCTGACCTTCAAACGAGCCAGTCCTCTCGCCGTTGAAGCCGCCGCGTCCACGTCCGCGACCGCGGCCGCCACGGTGAGGACCTCCTCCTCCTGCACCACGAGGGCCGCGCTCAGAGCCCGTGCGACGAGGCTGGCGAGCCGGGACAAAGCCGTCCGACGAGGTCGACGGCGTCATCTGCTGCTGCTGGGTGGCGGGAGCGAGAGGAGCAGCCTGGGCGCCGCTAGACGGAACAGAGACGACCGGAACGGGCGGGGCGAGCTCGGGAAGGTGAGGAAGGCCGCCTTCGTCCTCGGCAGCCCAGTCGAGCGTCTGCGTCTGCGGCGCGGCGGGAGGGGCGGCAAAGTCGGCGTGGCCGTTCGGCGCGGGTGTAATGGGGATGTTTGCGGTCTCGGTAGTCGGGGTGGCGGGAGCAGAGGGAGGAGGAGCCTGCGCCTGGCTGAGCTCTTCGGCCCAATTCTGCACCTTTTCCTCGGCCGGAGGGGTCGCGGCAGCAGTCTGCTCGACCTCTGACGGCTGGAGGAACGAGGGAGCAGGAGGCGCATGGATTTCCTCGGTCGCGCCATCGATGAGGGCGACGACAGAGTCGGCGGGACCAGCGGGCTGCTCGTTCGGGGTAACGAGTCCGGCGTCCTCCTGCGGGATCTCGGGCTGAGGGGGTGCAGTCATGCCGTGCAAGAGCTGCTGAATGCGAGCGAAAGTGACGCCCAGCTCCTCAAGGACCACCTCGTCCCTGCCCTCTGCGATCTTGGCGAGCTTCTCGATGGCATCGTCGCGACCACCGAGCAGAGGTCCGTCGGCGAATTGGGCGTAGAGGTAGCGGACAGTAGCGACGTCGTTTTCGGTGGCGTTGGCAAGGGCGGCGGGGAGAGCGGGAGGAGCAAAGGCAGACTGGGGGTTGAAGAGACTGAAGAGGTGCAGGAACTGGAAGAGGAGAACGAGCTGGGACTGCGCTTCGTCCTGCGAATCGCGAGGCCGTCAGTCCAGAACAAGTGACATTGCAGGCGTCAAACCACGCACCTTTGAAGCCTGAACGGCGGCATCGATCGCGCGAGCCTGCTTCTTCTCCTCGACGACCGCAACGCGCTTCAAGCGCGTCTCCTCTTCGGCGTCCTCAGCCTACAGAGTATGTGTCAGCGACGCGAAAGAAGTGAGGACGCCAGGAGAGCGCACCTTGAGAACGCCCAGCAGCTCTGTCAACTCGCGGATGACGGCCTCAAGAACAGGCTTGCCTTGGACCGCGCGCTGCTGATCCGCGTTCAGCGCCGTCGTGCTCGCCTCGTAGCCTTCGATACGTTGCTGCAGTGGGTTGATCGGAGCGTGGTCAAGTCAGCAAGGGAGTGGGACGACCTCTCGGGTGGACGAGTGCGCGGGTGCGGGACGCACGATCTTTTTGTTGGCCGACCTGATCCTCTTCTGCACGACCTCGACCGCGCTCGTCTGCTTCTCGGGAATGACGAGGTCCTCCTCCCCTCCAGCTCCCGCTCCAGTCTCGACGGGGACGGGGACAGGAACGTCCGAGGGAGTCGTCGCCTCACCCTCGACGGTGCCTGCGAACGGCGTCGAGGCGTCCTTCTTCTTTGCGCTGCGCTTGCGGGGCTTGGACGAGGGAGTGGGGGTCGTCGACGTCGACAAGCCGGGGATCACGCGAGGAGGCTCGACGGAAGCGGGCGCGGGCTTGGGGTCAGACGAGCCACTCATTCTGGATGTAGCAAGCAAGCAAGAGCGGTGAGTGAGCGAGTGTGTGAAGAGCGAGAGGGAAGAGGAGGAGCAAGAGGGAGCGGCGTCCATCTCGCCTGTCAGTCTGCGAGACTTGCGAGCTGACGATGGATTGTATGTTTACTGCTGCGAGTCTCACACGCCGAGCGCGCCAGCGAGCGAAGTGGAGGGTCCCTTCTCCTCCTCGTCCTCTAAAGTCTCGAAGTCGAAGAGTAAGGTACTGCAGGACTACTAGCACTGAAGAAGTGGAGAGAGCTACACTATCACGACGTCCACGACACAACCCATCAAAAGAAGAAGAAGAACACCCAGAGAACCCGGTACGACCAGCTATGTACCCTCGAACGAACCTCCGTCGCTTCACGCTCATTCAGCAGCCAGCGCAACAGCCGCAACCTTCTTCTCCAACTGCTCGACCGCCGCACTCCCTCCTGCCGACGCCGTGCTCGTCAGAGGCGGCGGCACAAGTCCGAACGGCGCCTGCGCTCCGACCCTCGTCCCGCTCCGACTGCGCGTCTGCGTCGGGCTACCCGTCCCGCCTGCCGCTCCTCCAGGCGCAGGTGTCGACACCCCATCCGCCGCGAGTCGCTCGCCCGTGATCTCTGCCAAACGCTCCTCGTTGACGAGGTCGGCGTACGAGGCGAAACTGAGTTTGCGAGGGTGAGGGGCGGCGAGGGGCGTGCCGGGGTGCGAGGCGGCGGTGAGTGGGTTGTGGGAGAGCTCGGTGGAGGGTGACTGGAAAGGAGAGGTGGACAGCGCGGAGGAGAAGATGAACGGGTCGTCGGTGACGGAGAGCGAGCCGGGTGTGGGCGTGCCGGACGGGAAAGGCACGAGGAGCGACGGCTTGAGAGGCGTGAAAGTAGCTGGCTTGCTCGGTGCCGCGTCCGAAGAGAACGAGCCAGACGGCGTCTCCTTCTTTGACGAGACGGTCGACATCCCGCCCACGAGTCCCTGCGGCAGCTTGTTCGCCTCGTTCTCGAGCGCCTCGGCAAGTCGCTGCGAGAACGGCCCGAGGGGAAGCGACGAGCCGCCCAGCGAGCCCGGTGCGCCCGAAGCAAGCGGCGGCGGCGGACTTCCTCCTCCTGCCGAGGTCGGCGGCGTCCCAACCGAAAAGGCCGTCGAGCTGTCTGGACTGATCGCGCGACCGCCCGACCCTGAATCAGGCGAGAACGACCTCGTCGTCTCGCGATTCGGCGACCTGCTCGCGTTCGCATACGCCGACTGCGACAGGGGCGAGGCATGCTGCTGCGCCTGCTGTTCGCGCCAGGCATGGAGCGAGACGCCGGGCGGTACGACGGGCGACGACCAGCCCGAGCCGGCTTGGGCGTCGTAGTTGGCGTCGAGGACGAGCGCGGCGAGGTCCCGCGCCGTGCTGGGATCGTCGTTTGCGGCCGAGAGGGCGACGGCGGCTTCGGTCAGGACGGGAGGGACGGCGACGTCGACTGCCTCAGAGGGGCTGATGTGGTGCGACGGGGCAAACTCGACGTCTGTTCGGAGAGAAACGGACCATCCCGTCAGTCCCGTTCGCCTCAACGAACGAGCGAGAGGGTGGGGGACGCACCGCGCTCAAAGATGTGATTCAAGTCGACCTGACTCCCGCTCTTGCTCAGCCCGCCCTGCTCGACCGAACTGAGCAACAACCCTCCCGCCTGTCCCGCGCCCAGCGCACCTGCGCCGTCCCTCGCGCGCGACGGACTCGCCGGCTCCTCGCTCCTGTCGCGCGAGACGGGTGGTCGTGGGCTGGTAGGTCTGCTGAGCGAGGGCGTTGGCGGTACGCTCGGGCTGGGGGGCACGACGGGCGATGGGCGCGTGACGACGCTCGCGAGGGCAGGTCCGGGAGGAGAGCGAGGTGTGGTCCCCGCCGCGCTCGAGGGCACGAGCGGTGAGTGCAGCGCTGCGAGAGACTGAGTTGTCGCTGGTGCGGGCGAGCGTGAGCGTGCCCGTGCGCGCTGGCTGCCCATGGACGACATCCGGCGAGGTGCAGGGTTGAGAGGCTGTGCTGGTGAGGTTGGGGAGCGGGTGGGCGACGTAGAGCGGGGCGGCGGGGCGTGCGAGTGGTCAGACTGAGCGAGCGAGGCGTTGGTGAGCGTGATGGACGGGGACGCTGTTCGACAAGGACCGGGGAGTAAGAGAAGGGTGGTGTGAGCGAGCAAGCAACGGGTCAGCGGCGGGACTCACACATGGTGCACGGGTGGCTCTCTGGGTGAACGAACACGACGCTGGCGGACAGACAAGCAAAGAACGAGCGAGCGAGCGAGAGGATGAATGGGCAGAGCGAGAGGTCCTCCTCCTCCGCGATGAGGAAACGAGTGCGGAGTAACACCCGATTATTTTGCCCCGCACCCTCGCCGTGCCTCACACGACCTCGCAAACGTCGAACACGCACAAGCCGAGCCGAACCCTACTCGCCGAGGAAACTGAGTGCGCTGGAATTGCACCCTTGCTCGCAGCGACGAGTCAACCCGCTACCTCCGCTTGTAGATGCACGGGTTGAGCAACGTCGAAGCCTTGCGCGTGTGCTCGTCCACCTTGTGCGGGTCTTCGCGCGCGTCGGGGCCGGCTTTCTTGACAAAGTCGAGGAGGAGGAAGTGCGTGTTCGACTCGTCCTGCGGCGCGAGTCGCTCCTGAATCATTCTGTGTGCCGGAGCAAGCGGAAAATCGTCTGCACGCACCTTGTGCTTGAGCGAGAAGCCGAGCGCGGACACGAGCTTGACAAAGTCGTCGACCGAGGTGAACCGGCTCGTCACCTCTGCAATCTTGAGCAAGCCGCTGCGAGCGCGCAAACCTGTCAGTCACCCTGTCTCTGCATAGAAAGTCGACAGGCGCAGCTTACCCATCCTTAAGCACCCTCTTCGCCTCCCTCACCATCCCAACCCAATCAGTCCCCATCAAACTCAAGCAGCAAACGATAGCATCCACCACCTCCCCTCCGGCCGTCCCACCAGGCAAAGGGACAGACGAACACTCGGCTTCGACGACGAACGAGGATTGGCTGACTAGGTCGAAGGAGATGACTTTGAGGGATTTCTGGGAGACGAGTTTGGTGGGGAGCTTGAGGGAGGGGATTGGGGGGAGTTTTGCTGAGGAGGTCGAGGTAAAGGAAGACGGGCAGAGCGAGCGAGCGAGGGCGGCGTCGCCGCAGCCAAAGTCGGCGATGAGAGAGTTGGGTGCGAGCGTTTGCAGGAGCGACTGCGCGATGAGGGCGAGAGGGTGGACGGGCCATGTTGCGGCTTGCGAGCGGAAGCCGATATGGTACTGTGTGAGAAGGCACGCGTCGTGTCAGCAAAGGAACCTAGATTTCGAGCGAGAGACGAACGCAAACGCACGTCGTCGAAAGCGCCGTCCTCCTTCATCAGCCTATGCGCCTCGTCGCCCGACGTCGTGTACAGCGTCTCGTTCAGCATGCGGAACTTGCCGCCTGCCAGCTGAGCACGCAGCTTGTCCTGCACCGAACCGCCTTTCGCTGAAGCTGTGGAAGTCGAGGCAGTAACGGTCTGGCTGGGTGCGGAGTGGCGAGGACGAGGGTTCGAGGAGGGAGCAGACATCGAAGTCGTAGGTGCAGCAGCCGTTGCAGCTTCAGGGAGGTCGAGGGAGCGTCCGACAGGCGAAGAAACGTCTCCCTTGGCCTTCTTGTTCTTCTTCCGCGACTTCTTCCCCTCGCCCGGCTGCCCCGGAGCCGCTGCCTCCTTCACCTTCTCCTTTCCCTTGCCCTCAGCCACACTCGCCTCCTTCTGCGCCCCGTTGTCCTTCTTCACCTTGCCCTCCTTCACGCCGTCCTTCCCTCCCGCCTTGGCCGCCCCACCCTCCGCCTGCTTCATCTTCTTGAGCAACTTCTCGACGCTGATCTCGGCCTTCGGGAGCGCCCCGTTCCCTCCATCCTGCGCGCCAGACCCGTCGCGCGTGATCGAGCTTGACCGCTTGCGCTTCTTGCCCGCTGAACCTGGGGCGGTCGACGGTGTGCCCGCCGAGGAGGATGAGGCGACGGGTGCGAGGTTCAGCAGAGGAGTGTCGAAGAGCATTCTGAGTGATGAGCGGGATGGAGGAGTGCGAGAGTAAGCTGATGGGATACAAGTCGGGTTGTAATCAGTTTGTAATCAGTTTGTAATCAGTTTGTTAGTCGAATACAACCTGGGTGTATGCGTCTGCAACGTGCGGCTTGATCGGGTCGAGTTGTCGCGCGACCCTCACTCGCTCGCCATCTCGTGCTGCCTGGTGGACTGCTTAGACCACACTCGAGCGACATGGAGCAACCACAGCCAGACCCGCAGGACCCCACGATGGCCGCCCCGCCTCCCGCCGCCATCCGCCCATTCGACACAAAGACGGACTTGAAACTCGTCCGCTACCTCGTCGGCGCGAGCGTCATGGAGCCGTACGTGCTTTTTCGTTCGCTCTCTTGCCCGATTTGCGGGCGGCAGAGCGTCAGCTGCAGCAGACGAGGGAGACGCAAGGTGTTTGCCTCGTCGACCCTCCCCTCGTGCCGCCCTCGTTCGCTCCAACGCAGTCTCTGACGGCCTGAGGACTCCCCACAGATCCTCACTCGCGAACCAGGCCGCCCTCTTCACCCCCTACTCCCTCGTGGCCTGCCTCGCCCTCTCGCACTTCCTCATCACCCGCTTCACCTCGGGCTACCCAGCGCTCATCCATAACTACATCTACCCCAACGCGCCGAAAGCACTCAACCTCGGCTCGACGTACGGCCAAACCCTCGCCGACTTCCTCCTCATCCTCCCGCTCTTTATCGCGCCGCCTATCGCCATCCTCGCCATGTTCGAATGGCGCCATCGCAACTTGTTCGAGATGGAGATGCGCCGCACGATCGGCGAGGAAGACTTGAGGGACATCGAGGCGTACTACGACGTCGAGGCCGAGAAGAAGGCGGTCGGTGGCGTGCCGAAGAAGGCAGCGAAGGGCGAGTCGACGTCGCGACCCGAGGAACGCAAGGGCTTCTGGGTCCTCGAGTACGACAACCGCCTCATTGGTGCCGTCGGACTCGACGGACGCAAGCCCGGCCAGCCGCTCGACTCGGTCGTGGACCACATCATCGCCTCGGCCGAGGCGAGCAAGAAGGAGGCAAAAAAGTCGGGAGACAGTCTCTCTGCCGATACAGTCAGCGCGTCCGCCGAGACGTCTGCGACAGCCGACTCTTCCGCTCGCAACCTCCGCTCGCGCACGAAGCAGACGACTCCCTCCGTCTCCGTTACTCCGCCAACTCCCTCATCCGGCGCCTCTCCGACCTCGTTCACCCTCGACCCCTCCGCCTCCCTCCCCGAAGGAACCCTTCACCTCCGCCGCTTCGCAACCTCGATGTCGTTCCGCTCAGCCGGAATCGAAGACGAGTTGCTCGATTTCGTCACCAAGTACGCCTTTGCATCCATCGACTCGCCCGTCGAACCTGCGAAACAAATCGTCGTCGCTCTCCGTCCGACGGTGCAGAAGTCGCTTCGCAAAGTGCTCGAGCGACACGGGTTCGAACTCGTTCCGAAGGGTTCGGAACTCGAGGTGCCGATTGTTGGTGGGCCCGGTGCGGCCGTCGGCAAGAAGCATGCCAAGTCGATCGCGGAGAGGTTGTGGCCGCTCGACTTGGACGTCAGGACGATGGTGCTCAAGCGGTCGACGTGGGAGAAGTCGCAGCAGTAAGGTGTGGTCCTCTTTCCGGGTTCTCTGGGTCCGTCGGTCTTCTTGGGTCCTCGCTCGCTCTATCGTATACCTTCTCTCTCGCATGCCCTACCTACATCGCACGCCGTAATACACAGACTATCCCGCTCTTCGCCTGCTCGACCGGCTCGACCTTCGCACACTTCGCCTGCGACCGTCATCATGCTCGGTCGTCGTCTACACGACTGAACGTCACGCTCAAAGAATCGATGGATGGCTATTGCGGCGTTGGCGGTCGCATGAGAAACGATGGCAGGATGCCGTTTGCAGAGGAGGAGAAGCGGAGAAGGGTTTCCGGACGTCCTCGAGTTGCGCCCAACTGCCGCGCTGCCTTTCCAGCAAAGCGCTAGCAAGAAGGATCGCATCTGCCTTTCTCAATGTGGCTCTGTGGAGACTTGCCGCTCGTCGTTCGTCGCCGCCGCCGCCGCTTTTCCTCTTCGCAACCACCTCGCCGGGCGTTTCTCACCGCTCGGGCGATCTCCCGGGCCTACAACAGGATCAGACTACTCTCTCCCAGCGGCTGCGGGAATGCAGGAAGCCCCGCTGCGCCTCCTCCCGCTTCGCCATTTCTCATCACTTCCTCGTCTTCATCAACCGCATCGCTCTGCAGAAGCTTGATCGGCAAATGCAAGAGGTCGGACGGACTCCTTTGGTTGTACGTTGAGCTCGCAGTCGTCACCCGGCCTACCTTGAGCCGCGCAGAGACGTCTGCGGCGCGGTGCGGGCGAGGAGGAGCAGGTGTTCGAGGAGCGGAGTGCGCCCGGCTGCATTTCCGCCGTTCCCAGCACGACTCCTGCTCAAAAGCTTGCGCTCTACGTTTGCGGGCTCTGTACTCGCTGGCGATAGGCTGGCGACCTTTCCGCTCCCCGAAGAGGAAGGTCAACGGCGCTGTCATTTCCCTCCTCTTGCGCTGCCCCTTCCTCGCCGAAGCCTGGGAACGCCTGCGCTGAGGACGCAACGCACGCCGCAGATCTCTGCCGAGCGAGGCAGGTCAATCGCCTGCGAAAGGTTCCAACTACTTGAGCTTGTCATCCCTCGCGCGCAAGGTCACTTGTCTTGGACGTCCGCGCTGTTCTTCGCAGAGCGGGCGTTCCCAGGACGCAGCGTTGGGAGGAAAAGCGAGTTCGCGGGACGCAAGCTTCTCGGTCGCCGCGCAGCTATTTCACGGGACCTCGCTCTTGCTCTCCTCTCTCTCCCTCCTTTCCCTCACTTCGCCTCGTCGACTCGTTCTCCCGCCAGCCTCACTCCAGCTCCGACAGCTACGCCTAGCCTTCGCTTGATCTCGACGCATCCTCACATTCTTTTCACAACACCTTCGCTTTCCCAACGCTCGCCTCGTCCCTCCTCGCCTTCAACCAGTATTCAGCCTACGATGCAGATCAAGCGCATCCTCCCCACTCTCCCGTTCCTCTTTGCCGGCGCTGCCGCTCAGATCGTCTCCATTCCGGGTCTCGATGCCAGTCTCCTCCAGGGTGTGCGTTGGCTTCGCTTCCTCGTCTCCCGTCTGCGCAGTCGCTGACATTCCACCGTGTCGCAGGGCTCGCTCGTCAACCTCAACGCCTTTGCCAACGTGCTCGGAGGTGGCAGTATGTCTAGGCGTCGTTGATTGACGGAAATAAGACGCTGACCTCCTTCGTCTTCCCAGGCTGCCCCGGCGCGACTGTCGGCGTTCGTGCTTCCGTCCTCGGCCTCGTCAAGGTTTGCGCCTGCGTCAATGTACTTCAGCTCGGCTCGACTGACCAGGCCTGCCCGGCCGTGAGTCGCGCTGCCCTCCGTTCCCCTCGACTTGACGGCAACTGACCTCGCTCTCGCTTCCAGTGCACGGCCAACGCATCGCCCATCTGCGGCGGTCCCGGCACCTGCGCCTGCGCCTGCAACGACGGCTACTACGCCACGGAGACCGGCATCTGCGCGCCCAACAGCGGCTGCGCTCCGCCCAACACGCTCACCGACCTCGGCACCTACTCGGTCTGCACCTGCGCACCCGGCTACCTCCCTGACGGCGCAGGCGGCTGCATCCTCACGCCCTCGGGACGCGCTCGCTCCCGCCACCGTCGCCAGTTCGGCACCCTCCCTCACCGTCGCAGCCAGGACGTCTTCGGACCCAAGTCGTCGGAGCGTCTTGTCCAGGGCGACGCGAACCTCAGCTGCCCTGACGGTGAGACTGCCTGCCCTCTTCCATCGGGTGCGCTCGTCGCGGTTCGACGCTGCGAGTCCGAAACTGACCTTCCTCGTCCTCCGCAGGCGGCTTCGAGTGCGTCGACACGACCAACAGTCTGACTGCCTGTGCGTTCACCTCTTCTCGCTATATCTGATCTGTTGCTGACGAGGATCTCGCACACAGGCGGCGGCTGCGTCGGCTCTGGCTACACGGGCAAGAACTGCCTCGCCATCCCCGGCGCTCTCTCCGTCCAGTGCGCCGACTCGCAGTGCCACGTCGGTGCGTCCCCCTCCTACCTCTCCCATCTGCCTAACGAAGCTGACACCGTGGCGATTCAACAGGCTCTTGCTTCCGCGGCTGGCGGTACAGCAAGGACGGCTTCGGCGCTTGCGTCTAATCCTTCGTCCTCCTTCTTACTTCACTTGCACTTACTGTCAAACTCTTCCTCAAGCGCAACACGCGCATATACCCCTTTCCATCGGACAATCTAACGACGCAACTCGCACGACCTTCTCCCGCCCCTCCTCCTTCACTCCCTTTTCACCCACACACGCTTCCTTACTTCGCCTCGCACACACGAGCTTTGATCCTTCGCGTCTTTATCCGCTTGTAGCTAGTACCTCACCGACTCGAACCGACTCGAACCGAATAGACCGGCGCTCGAACGCCGGGTTTCCCTCTCCCTCTCCCTCGTCTTGTAACGATACCGTAACGCATCAGTCTCTCTCATTCCTTCGCTCGTCATGAGCTTAAGTGTTGTGTGAGGCGTTGGAGAAGCAGCGCAGCCACTCGCGCCGACGAGGAGCCGCGCCAACGCAACGCCCCCCTCCTCGCCGCTCTCGCTTCTTCCTCCCCTCACCGCACTCGCAGCGCAGACAATGGTGATGGAGTGAACAGTGTCCGAATGCAGAAGCCAGAGAAGAGTCCAAGCGAGCGAGCGAGATCGAGGGGGACGGAGGGGGGAGCGAGCGAGTGTATAGAGCGATGACTGATGCGCGCGCAAAAGGGTGGGGTGCTGCGATGCGAGAGAGAGAGAGAGAGTGTGGAGGGAGAGAGAAAACGTCTACGATTGTCGAGTCGACGGGCGAGAGAGGGAAGGCACGACATAAACGGGGTTTTCGGGCGCGAAAGGCGAAAGAGGCGGGCGGAGGCGCTGGTGAGGGCGGCAGCGGGGGGTATTTACATGACGATGGAGGGCTCGTAAATGGACGACGAGAGGGACTTGTGCGGGAGGACCGAGGCTGTGGGGAAGTGAGACGAAGGTTAGCTCGCGAAGTTCCGTCCGGCCGTTCTCGAGCGGCCCGCCACCTGGAAAGCGTAGAGTGAGAGAGAGACTCACCTCCGTTCACATACACTTCGTCCTTGACCGCCACATCGTCGCCAAGAACGGTCGTTCCCTCGACTCGGGCCCACCTGCGAGGTTAAAAAGGTCAGTTCCGGGTCGGGTTTTCGAATTCTGCTCAACTGTGCGCACCTGCCGACGCTGGAAGACCATCCGATGATGCTGGACTGGACAAAAGCATGCGCCTTGACACGCGCGCCGTCGAGCAAGACGCAGCGCTGGAGTCGGGCACCCGCGCCAACCTGGCAGTTGGGACCGACGATGACGTTCGGTCCGATGACGGCGGTGGGGTCGACGGTCGCGGTCGGGTGGATGATGACGTTGCCGGCGACGACGGCGTCGTGCTTGGCGGGGTCTGCGAGTTCGGGCGACTTCTTCGAGGTGAGGTACGAGAGGTAGAGGCACGTTCCGGTGAGGTAGTCCTTGGGCTGTCCGATGTCCATCCAGAAGCCCTCGAGGTCCATCGAGTGGAGCTGGCGGTCGCGCGCCATGGCGGGGAAGATCTCGGACTCGATCGAGGTCGGCTTGACTTCGATGCGGTCGAGGATCGAGGGGTTGAAGATGTAGATTCCGGCGTTGATGCGGTTTCCGACGTACTCCTTGGGCTTCTCGACGAACCGGTCGATCGTGCTCTGGCCCGGGACGGTGAGGACGACACCGTACTTGGACGGCTCGTCAACCTTGGTCACCATGATGGTTCCCTCGCCGCCGTGCGCGAGGTGGAAGTCGCGCAGCTCCTCGAACGGGTACGAGCACGTCACGTCCGAGTTGAGGACGAAGAACGGCGCGTCGTCCTTGCCGAGGACGTCGCGCGCGAGCGCGAGCGGGCCAGCCGTGCCGAGAGGCTCGTTCTCGACCGAGAAGGTGATGGTGATCTGCGCATGAACACGCTGGTGAGAATGTGGAATCCCCGACGCGAAAGAAGAAGAAGAGTCGGAGGCGGTGCTGCTCACGTTGTACTTCTCCTCGTACTGCTTCAACACCGAGATCATGACCTCCGGGCGGCTGCGCGACGTTGCATGTCAGTACGACGTCGTGCACGGACCGTCGAGACAGGATCGCGATCCTGGCCCCTCGGTGAATGCGGGTCCTGCGCTTTCGCGGAGAACGCAAGCGGGGCGGACTCACTAGTTGACCGCGAGGACAATGTGCTTGACGCCAGCCTGCGTGCGTACACAGCAGACGCGTCAGCACGTCGAACGCTTTAAAGGAGGGGAAGGGAAGCGCACCTTGACGAGGTTCTCGACGAGGTGGAGGATGATGGCCTTGTTGGCAAAGGGAACGAGGGGCTTGGGGTAGGTGAGGGTGAGGGGGCGGAGACGCGTGCCGAAGCTGTAGACCATGCACCGTTGTCAGCGTTGCACGTTCTCGTCGAGCGAGAGTTGGAGGGACGCGATCGGACGTGTCTGGTCCGGGAACGCGGCGCAGGGAGAGCGAGGACTTACCCGCCGACGAGGATGAGGGCCTTGAGGTCACCGGGCATTTTTGTCGAGCTGCACGAGGTTCGCAAGGAGGGAGGGCGAGCGAGGTGTGAGCGGGAGATCAAGAGGCTGGCGGTGGGCAACGGTGGACCCGCTGCGGGTCGCTCGTTCGCGCGCGGGCGAGGTGGGTGGTGTAGCTCACTGTGAGGAGTGTAGAGGAAGGGTAGAGTGGGCGTGGATCTGCGCAACGGCACGAGGAAGAGGTGAGCGGTCAGAGAGCAAGAGCGAGAGAGGCGCGACCGACACGCGCTCGTCGACGAGTGGCCTCGAGCGGGTAGTCCGGGTGTGCGTGTGCGAGTTGTAGAGTGCTGTACTCACGAGGGAACGGTGACCAGGGCAACAGCAAGCTCAAAGACTAGGAGAAGAGGCGAGAGAGCGAGAGCACCCTCGAACGAATGGCCAAACGAACCGAGACAGTCCGGAGAACACACACAAGGAAAACAATTGCCAACATATTCACGATGACACGCCTCGCATCTTACACGCACGCGCCGTCTGTCCGTGGCCGCAACAGACGTTCGCGCTCTGTCCCTCGCACCCGCACGCTGGCCTCCTCGTCGTCCTCGTCCTCCTCCTCCGCGGCCAGCAACGCACCCCGATCACCCAGCGATCCACCTCCGTCTCCTCTCCCCGCGCCCGCCGCAGCCTCCGCATCCTCCTCCTTCCCTCCACTGCCTCGTCGTCCGCGATACAACGCGAAATGCTGCACGACGAACAACGCGTCGAACGCGAGCGCGAGGAGGCTTAGGCCGCTGCGACGAATCACATTGGGTGAGCGTTGGACCGGAGGGGCGAGGGGATGGATGGGGACGAACAGTTTGCCTGGGTTGCCGGTGATGCCTGTCCAGTCTCCGTCAATCCACGAGTCGAGGACGAGTTGGGTTCTACCTCCCACCCAACAAGCTCATCAGCTCTTCCCTGATCATTCGAGGGAGAGCTTGGAGACCAACTCACAGACTAAGCAAACCCCCCGTCGCGTCAAGCAAGATATTCTCAATGCTCCACCCGACCGTACTCTTCCGCTGATAATTCACCCAAGCTTGGGGTACCATCTTGGCTGCCGAGACGTAGAGTTTGACGGAGGAGAGGAAGAGGACGAGCGAGAGCCAGGAGAGGCGGGGGGTCGTGGCGAGGAGTGTGAGAAGCGAGAGGGAGAGGAAGAGGACGAGGAGGATGAGGCGGTTGTAGGGTGAGAGACGCTGGGAGGGGTCGCGCTGCACTCCATCCACTCACCCCGTCAGCCCGTCCTCCCTTCTCGTTGGCAAGCTCAGAGAAATGCACCTGATAGACCCAGCTCTGGCCCCACGTCAACCCCGCCACCACACACGCATGCACAGCAAAGACGACGTCGTTGAGTTGCACCTGGGGGTTGTGGCCGTCGTGGCGGGCGCGGTAGGAGGCGCGGACTGTCGACGACGAGTAGAGGGCTAGGTTGGAGATCTGCGCGGGGAACGTGAGCGGAGAAGGAGGGACGAAGAGGGGGAGAGGACGGACAGAGTAGCAGAGGAAACCGACCGGGTTGAGGGTGAGGAAGTCCTGCTCGTTTACTTGAAGTCGTCGGCTGCGGTTTGCCTTGAGAGCGTGTGTGAGGAAACGCACTATGCTCAACCCCGTCACGCTCTTCCTCCGCCAGTTCAGGATCAACTGGGGGTAGAACCTGTCGAAGCACAAGCAGTGAGCTACCGTCCCCGACGTCCATATCAGGGGAGCGATCGCGCGCACGAAATGGACCAAGCAGCTGTGTATGTCCAACCTAGCAGGCTGTACGAGCACAGCGAGCAGAGTTAGCCAAGTCTGGCGTGATGAGGAGAGCAAGAGAGCGGGGACTTGCTGCGACAGCGCGGCCCAGAAGAAGAGCATGCCGGCGTTTGCCTGGCCTCCGTAGCCGCACAGAAGTCGTCAAGGAGCACAAAGAGCAAGGAGAGCGCGAGCGAGTCCGTCGTTCGGGAGCAACCTGCTGGTTCGCCTCGTCCACCGCTCCAGCTCGCGGCGTCACCCATCCGGCAGTCTCGCGAAAGCGCTCATAGCCGTCTACAGTTCTTACGGTGCGTCCTGCGTCTATCTCCCGTGCCGCCGAGTCCTGTTGTCGCCTTCTCCTGCTTCATCTCTCCGAGGCTGCTTACGGGGCACGCGAGGCGGGACACGGCACTGCGGGCGGCTCGCGGGATGCTCCACGGTTGCAAATACGGTTCACGAAGCTGACTAGCTCGTCTTTCGCCCTACAGCTTCCCTTTCGCGCCCTCCATCTCCCACTGCTCGGACACCGCCCCCTCCCTGCCCTCCTGCCTCCCCTTTCCTCCTCATTCCCTGCACGATGAACGCCCCCGGCGCCCAACCTTCCCGCGCCGGCGCACCCGGCGCACAAGCAAACCCCGCCGTCGAGTACCTCTGCGCCGACTGCGCCGCTTCGAACGAGATCAGGGCCAGGGAACCGATTAGGTGTAGGGAGTGTGGGTGCCGGGTTATGTACAAGAAGAGGATCAAGAGGAGTGCGTCGCGACGTTCCGCTGGTTTCGTCGAAGTTGGGACGTGCGAGCTGACGAGGTTGTGCTTGGTCGTCGTCTCTGCGCACAGTGGTAAGTCCCGCTCTACTCGCCTTGCGGATGCGCAAGAGTAATGTAGTGACGTTCCTCCACCGCAGGTCCAGTTTGAGGCGCGATAGTCGTCTCCTCCTCCTCCGACCAATCCTCCTCGCCTTCTACTCCACCCCCTCGCATCTCGCCTCGCCTCTCCATTTCAGCTACGCTCTCCCTCCTCGGTCTAGTGCAGCCCGAGCGAGCTGTATCAACAGTCATCCTCTTGCAAGGTCATGCCTTTGCATCCCCAGTGACCTCTCAAGAAGCCGCATTCTCATGCTCGCGAGATCCCTCGACGACCGAGCAACTTCGAGCGGTTCCTCTCTTTCATTATGGATGCCTGCGATCTGCGAGTTCATACCGTTCATTACACGGTTGCGGAGAGAGGTAATCATTGCAACTCGTCTCCTGGAGCTCGTCGTTGCGTGTGCGAGCGAGGCTGGCTGGCGAGAGAGCGGTTTTCGTTCGTCTGCACTGTACAGAGCGTTCTTTGATCGTACACTGCTGCCTGTATCGCTTTAATCCTGCTGCTCGTCGCACACCTCGCGACCCTTGGTGTCCTCCGCACGACTCCATCCACCTCTGTCGACCACCTCGCCTCTCTCGCTCCGCCAGCTCCGGAACAAGCCCAGCCTGCACCGCTGCGCCCAGTCGCTCGACTCGGCTCACCCAGCCAGCGCCGGGCCATGATGGCGCCTCTCGTCGCGGCAGCCGGAGGGCGATCGCTCCTCGAGCAAGCGACGAGGCTGGCGGTCACAATGGCGCAAGGGGCGCGCGGTGGGATGGGAGGAACGAAGGGGATGGTTCAACTGGCACGAGGTGCGTACGCTCACTCGGAAGCGGGCTGACGACATGCTTCGTCCGCTGTGGGAAGGACGAGGCGAGTGTCTGCGACGACAGCGACGGAAGGGTCCGGCCGGGCGGACTTGCGCATTCGAGAGAGGACGCTGGACGCAGGTCTCAAGCGTCTCCGGCTGCATCGTACGGGCAGGCGAGCGACAGGGCCGACCCTCGTCCCCTCGAGGGCTCTCTCGAGGATGACAGCGCCGGAACGCACCGTGCCGTGATCGACGCACGCGAGCAGTGCTGACACCGAAACTCTCTATCTGTGTGTGCGTCGCAACAGATGCGAAGCCGACACTCGGACGGTTACCCTGCTGTCCTCGTCCTCTTCCCTTGTCGCCGCCCCGGCAGCCTCGCTTTGCCATGCCTCGACATCCGCACGTACGCTCGTCGAACGCGTACGCTCGACATACAGCCGTCGTAGGGTCGACGCTGCTCGTCGTGCTCGGCGGAGGGGCCGTCTTGTCCAAACCGCTACTCATGCAGGACGAGGACGATCCAGTCGCGCCGTCTTCTGCACGACCTAGCTTCTCGTCGACTCGATCAGCTCACAACAAGTGGCTCTCGTCGGCGGGAGGACATGGAAGTCGGAGACCGAGCGAAGTGAGCGTCTCGACGCAGACGAGCGGCGACACGGCTTTCGAGGATGCGGACGAAGGGTCGGACAGGGCTTGGGGGTCGCGGACGAGTTCGTGGTCGAACTTGCGGGCAGCGTCGTCGCGACGTGGCTCGAATGGAATCGCGGATGGGCACCCTGGACTTGCCACCATCTTCGACAACTCGCCCTTCATCCCGACCGTGCCGTTGGTCGACGACTTGGGTTCGCCTGAGATCTCGTACGGCTATGCGCGTGGGAGTCCAGGGCGGGATCAGGAGCGTGAAGGGTTCGTCCAGGAGGAGCGGGAGCACGAGGAGGACTCGACGGACGAGGACAAGCGCGGTATGAACCTCTCGCGTCGATCGCACTTTCGCACGTCCTGGCACGACCGCTTTTCCAAGCTCGCGGAGGACATTCGAGTCGAACCAGCTCACGACGCCGACCCGCTCGACATCGACCTCGACTTTCTCAAGTTCGGGTCGTCCGAGCCGTCCTCCTACATCCCGCCCGCCCGCATGCCGACCATCTACGACTTTGCCGAGATCACCGAAGCACCGATTACGCGCCAAGTCTCGCCGCCAGACGACTCGCCTCTCGCCGACTCCTCCGCCCGCTCAGGAACACCCTCCCTCTCCCTCACACCGTCCATCTCATCCTCGTTTCCTTCGCCAAGCACGCCACACCTCTCGCACGTCTCATCACTCTCAGACGGCAACCCCGCATCTCCCGCACCTTCCAGCACTGCGACCCTCTCTCTCCCGCCCGGCGCCGGTACTCGCCGCTCAACTTCTCCCAGCTACCTCGTCCCCGGCCCGCGCCCGCCGCTTGACCGCCAAACGTCAGACGACGTCGTCGCCTCTCGCCGGTTGTCGAGCGGACCCGGCGGGATGAGCTCTTCAAAATCGACGAACCGATTGTCGGCGATTTTGACGGGCGGGTTGGGTTTTGGGCGCAGTCGGACAAACACCGATGCTGGCGACGGAGTGCGGCGACGACGAACAGGCTCAGACACCTTGCCGTCGCCTCGTTCCGCACCTCTCTCTTCCGTGCCGTCCTTCTCGTCACTCACTCGAAGCGAGTCGCCGCAGCCTCTTCGCTCGCACTCGCCTTCCCTCCGCCGCGCCTCTCCTCCTCCTCCCGCCGCTCGCCCGCCTCCCTCTACGTTCGCATACTCCTCTCTCACCCATTCGCCCGATTCGAGCCGGACATGGCGTTCGACGATGGACAACCGAACGTACTCGCGCCTCCTTGCCTCGTACGGCGATGTCGAGATGCGGCGTCAGGAAGTCATCTGGGAGCTGAGCGAGACGGAGCGCATGTTTCTCGAGTCGATCAAGGGCGTCATGCAGCTCTTCACGGTGCCGCTGAGAAGTCGGAACGGCACGTGGGTCAAAAACGTCCCGCCGCCCGTCTCGCGCCTGCTCGAATGGCTCGACGAAATTATCGTCCTGCATTCGCAGATGCTCCGCACCCTCCAGCGCGCGCAGGAACACCAATCGCCCATCGTCACCCACCTCGCCGACTCGCTCCTCCCTTTCGTCTCCCGCCTCGAAGCCTACCAACCCTACCTCATTCGCTTCGAAGTCGTCACCAACTTGATTGACGAGCTTGCGGCGAACCCGCTCGACCGGTTTGGCGAGTTTGTCAGGCTGCAGAGTGGCAGGCCTGAGTGTGGAGGGTTGTCGCTTGCGAGCTTCTTGCTCAAGCCGGTACAGCGGTTGATGAAGTACCCGCTCTTTTTCAAGGTGCGTTGCCCTTAAACCTGACCCACCGTGTCGAGCTGACCTCCTCCCTACACAGCAATTCTGCGACCTCACGCCTCGCGACCACCCCGACTTCAGCGCCACCCTCGTCCTCTACCAATCGACCGACTCGATGATTCGCGCACTGGAAGAGGTCAAGGCTCGCGAAGACGAGTACGAGGAGCTCAAGGCGCTCGAGACGCGTCTGCGTGGGCTGCCCGAGGGGTTCAAGCTCGCGAAGCGGGACAGGGAGCTCGTCTTGCAGGGCACGCTGAAGCAGGTGCACGTACCTGAGCGGGACAGGGCGGTGTTGAAGATGGATGCGAGGGCGAGGGCCAAGGCGCAGGCTGTGCGGGACCAGCAGGCTCGTCGACCGAATGGCGCCCCAGGTCCGCGACTTCGCACGTCGCTTCCTCCTCCGCCGCTTCTCACACCTCGCGACGGCTCGAGACCGGTATCAACTGTATCTGCCGACTCAAGCTCGAGTTCTGTTTCGGCTGGCTCGTCATCCGCCGCGACTTGGACGTCAGACACCTCGTCGAACGGGTGGATTTCGCCGGCGACGCCGGTATCGAACAATGGCGTCGATCGCGGAGGGTGGAAGCGCCGGCCGACCTCGATGATCTCGACTGCCTCCTCCGCCTGGAGCGAAGACTGGCGCCCTCCCCCTCCGGCTCTTTCCGACTCACACTCGCACACCGGCACGATCAAACCTTCCAAGCGCCCCTCCTCGCCGCCTTCCTACTTTCCCCCTCTCACGACGTCCTCAACTCGTCTCCTCAAGACCCGCGCGAAGGAATCGACGGTTCAAGTCTTCGTCTTCTCTGACGTCGTTATCCTCGCGACTCCCAAGCGAGACGACTTGTCGAAGATGCTGAAGGGGTCGAGGACGAGTTTTCGCGAGGGTGCGGACAAGGCGGCGAGTTTCAAGGTGCTGGAGGGTGTTGGCGTGGCGCGCGTGTTGGGCGTGACGGACTTTTCCGGCAAAACGGGTGCGCATCATGTCCTTCTCGCGGTCTCGAGCTCGACTGACAGTCTCCTTTGCAGAGCACGAAAGTCTCGTCGAACTTGACTTGGCGCCGGTCCTCAAGGATTCTGCGCGACTCGTTCCCGGCTCGACAACTAGCTCCATCTTCCTCACGCTCCCGGCTACCTTGACCCCCTCGCCGGGGTCTTCCACATTTCCCACCGCTTCCCGCCCAGGCTCGGCACACGGCACGCCCTCCCCTTCTTCCCCCTCGACCGCCCACCTCGACCGCCAGCGCTGGCTGCGCGCCTTCTCTCTCCCGCTCGACTTTGCACAACAGCAGTCCCTCGCCTCGCCTTTGAACGGCTGTACGACGCCCATCACGCAAGCCGAGCGACACTTTGCCTCGACTGCCCCGTCGACCTCTCTGCGCGGCCGCGAGGGTGCCGACACCGAGCGCGAGTGGTGGACGCAGCGTCTGCGCATCGTGAGGAAGGAGATGGCGGCTGAGGGACGGTTCGTCTCGCCCGAGACGGTCAGCCCTGAGTGGGCTTTGGCGAAGTTGGCCCCGTCGTCGTTGTCGGCGTCGACTCGGGCTGCGACGGGCTTCCAGGCTGGCAGGGTGCCCGAGGCTGGTAGTGCGGATGGGCATGGTCTCGGCATCGACTCGCTGGCGTACTCGTTCGGCAGCGGCGGAGGGAGGAGGAGGACTTAGACGGATGATTCTCTCGCCTGGGCATCGTATTCTCGCATCACTCACGACCTCTCTGTACCGACTCGTTCACGCCCTGACTCCCCTTGTTGGCATTCCCTTCTATTGGCCGCTGTAATGCTCCCTGTTCTCGGATTGTCCGTCGAGGCTGTGCGCTGCCCTCGTCGTCGCTTCCCGTGGTCGCTCTCGCTCTTCTCGCTGCGCTCTGCTGGCCTTCGCGTGCTTCGCTAATCACTAGACTCGACTCGAGCGACTCCCAGAGACCCGCAGACCCGCACTCTGTCGACCCCTTTTTCGAACCCTCGAAACCATCCCCTCCTCATCTCGCAACGACCCGACACCCTCCCACACGCTCCCAAAGGCCATGCCGGCCTATCCACCGTCAGGGCAGGGCCACCAGGGCTACCAGGACCCGTTCTCAGACCGCCACTCGCCGCGCCCGCCGCACGGCAACCCCCTGAACGCGTCCGACCCGCGTCTCGTCTACGGTCAGGCCCCGTCCGCGCAGACTCCGAGCCAGCAGCAGCAGCGCCCGACTGGCTATGCTCTCCATGACAACCCCTCCTACGCGACCAGCATGCAGACTCTCCCGACCGGAAGCTCCTACTCGCTCGCCGGTGGAAAGGAGTTCTACGACGACGGGGTCTACCCTGACGAAGACACCGAGAGCAAGACGCCCCTCAGGAGCGAGTTCGGAGTGGGACACGGCGTGCAGGGTGGATACGACCCGGACCAGCCTCTGTGCGTCCAGGCGACTCGACTCGAGGACCCTCGAATCCGTTGCGAAGCCGCAGCAGGATATTCTTGCGCGGTTCTCCTCGAGCGATACGGCTCCTATTGCACTCTCTGACTTTTCACTGACTCTGTCATACCTACAGGTACGCTCCCGGCGGCTACTCGCCTCACCCAGCCGGCAGCTACTCGGCCCAGTCTGCCTACTCGCAGGGATCCCGCTTGCTCTCGCGCAAAGAGACGTCTGCCGAGGTGCGTCAAGCAGCTTCGAATGCTTTTGTTGCTCGGGCTGATGTCCTCAAACGACGTGCGCAGGCCTGGAAGCAGCGGCAGAGGATCAACCCGAAACGCGCGCAGACGAAGAAGGTCAAGCTCACGCAGGGTGCGCTGCGCCCCTCCTCTCTCTCCTAATGTGCAGCGTACTGACACTGTTGTATTCCGTATCGCCGCCTCCTTCGCCTCTCGCTCTGGCCGACCTTCTCGACTCTTCACTTCTCGCTCTAACCAGGCAACTACATCGTCGAGCACCCTGTCCCGACCGCCGTCCGCAACGCCAACCTCTCGAGCGGCTCGCGCGGCGGGCCAACCGAGTTCTCGCACCTCCGCTACACCGCTGCGACCTGCGACCCGAATGACTTTACTGCCGAGGTGGGCCCTCGGTTCTCCGCCCTCACAGCTCATCACGAGGACTGACGACTTTGGAGCTCGCAGAATGGCTACAGCTTGCGCGCGTCCTCGTACGGCCGTGAGACGGACCTTCTCGTCTGCATCGTGCGTCGGCGATCCCTGCGCTTTTTTTGTTCCAAACCGTGAGGTGGTTCTGACCGCTGCCATTGGCCGTAACGTCGTACAGACCGCCTACAACGAGAACAAGATCCTCCTCGCGCGAACTCTGCACGGCCTGATGCTCAACATCCGCGACATGTGCAAGGGCAAGTGGTCCGAGTTCCGCAAGAAGGCTGAGCGCGGCGGCGTTGAGGGTGGGAAGCAGGGTGAGGCGTGGAAGAGAATTGTGGTGTGCTTGGTGTTTGACGGCATCGACCCGGCGGACAAGAACACGCTCGAGTGAGTTCAGCGAGATCCTTGTCCGGTTTTGCGAAAGAGGCTCTGCTGACCTGGTTTCTTGAACCTTTCGCGGCACAGTGTCCTGGCGACAATCGGTGTCTACCAGGACGGCATCATGCAGAAGTCGGTCGACGGAAAGGAGACTGTCGGTGCGTCTCCCGCTTACTTTCGCCCTCGTTTCCCGATCTCTCCCTGACTCGCCTCTCTCGCAGCCCACATCTTCGAGTACACGTCGCAGCTGTCGGTCTCGCCGAAGCCTGCACTCGTCGAGCCGCACCCGAACGACCCGAACAACCTCGTCCCGGTCCAGATGATCTTCTGCCTCAAGCAGAAGAACGCCAAGAAGATCAACTCGCACCGTTGGCTCTTCAACGCTATCGGACGCCACCTCAAGCCCGACGTCGTCTGCTTGCTCGACGCCGGCACGAAGCCCGGGAAGAGGAGTATCTACTACCTCTGGGAGGCGTTTCACCACGACAAGCACCTCGGCGGCGCTGCAGGCGAGATCCACGTGCGCTTGAGAGTGTTCCTGCGTCTGGATACGGCGACTGACGCGAGTCGAGTGGATGCAGGTCATGCTCGGCAAGGGCGGTCGCAAGCTGCTCAACCCGCTCATTGCGGCCCAAAACTTCGAGTACAAGATGTCGAACGTCCTCGACAAGCCTACCGAGTCGGCGTTCGGCTATGTCGCCGTCTTGCCCGGAGCCTTCTCCGCCTACCGCTTCACCGCCATCCAGGGTCGCCCGCTCAACCAGTACTTCCACGGCGACGGCACGCTCGCTGCGAGGCTCGGGCCGAAGGGAACGGACGGCATGACCATCTGGATGAAGAGTGCGTTGCGTTCCGTCCCAGTCGTTGCGCAGGGGTAGGCTAACGACTTGGCGCCCGACAGACATGTTCTTGGCCGAGGACCGCATCCTCTGCTTCGAGCTCGTCGCCAAGGCCAACGAGAGCTGGGTTCTCGGCTACGTTAAGCCGGCCAAGGGCGAGACGGACGCGCCCGAAACGGCCGCCGAGCTGATTGGCCAGCGCAGGCGTTGGCTCAACGGCTCGTTCGCTGCAGGCGTCTACTCGCTCGTCCACTTCGGCAGGTACTACAAGAGCAACCACGGCATCCTCCGCTTGTTCTTCCTTCACATCCAGGCCATCTACAACACGATCAACCTCATCATGTCGTGGTTCGGTGCGTTGGCCTCCCCCTCCTCTCCGATCGTGCCCTCGCTCACCGTTCGCCTCACACGCAGCCGTCGCCAACTACTATCTCACGTTCTCGATCATCATCACTATCGTCGGCACCTCGCTCCGCTCGCCGAACGACATCGCCGGAGGCGACCCCGACACGATCAAGTGCTGGTCGGGAAGCTTCCTCCAGGACGATAGCGGCAACTCGTTCGACTGGCTCGCACTCGTCAAGTGAGTGACTGTATCGTGCTACTCGTTTAGATCGCAAAGCGACACAGCTGACCTTGTACTCTCGTTCGCAGCTGGCTCTTCCAGGTTATCTGTTCGTTCCAGCTTCCGAGCGTCCAGGCCGTTCGGAAACTGACCCAGCCCGCCCGCAGACCTCATGTTCCTCGCCCTCCAGGTCATCCTGGCACTTGGCAACCGACCCAAGGCGGAGAAGCTCACGTACACGATCTCGATCGCCGTCTTTGCCTTCTTCTCGCTCTACCTCATCTTCTGCACAGTCATCCTCACGATCAAGGCGTTCTGTCCCATCGGCTCCATCCTCGCGAAGAACTCGGGCTCGTCGATCAACGTCTTCCTCGGCAGCACCTACGGTCCGATTTTCGCGGGAATTGCCGGTACCTTCGGTGCGCCGTGCTTGTGTGCTCCACATGGGTCTACTGCTGACGCTCGTGGTCACAACAGGCGTCTACATCGTGTCGTCGCTCCTCTACCTCGAGCCGTGGCACTTGCTTCACTCGATGCCGCAGTTTCTCCTCATCGCACCGTCATTCACCAACATCCTCGTGCGTCTCCAAACCACTACAGCGTGATCAGAAGCGAGGCGCTGACCAGCTCGACGCCGCAGAACATCTACGCCTTCTGCAACCTTCACGACGTCTCGTGGGGCACGAAGGGTTCGGACAAGGTCGACACGCTTCCGGCGGCGCAGTCGAAGAAGGATGGAGAGGAGAAGGTCGTCGAGACGCACGAGAAAGTGCAGGAGGGTGCGTCGAGACTTGACATCGAAGCTGACCTCCGCTGACCTTCCCTTCGCAACCTCGCAGATATCGACCTGGGCTTCAAGGCTACCGTTCTGCGTGCTGTAGAGCCGTTTGTCGAGGAAGAAGAAGTTGTCACACCGACAATGGATGACCGGAACAAGACCTTCCGCACCCGCTTCATCTGCGTCTGGCTCTTCATGAATGCCTGCCGTGCGTCAGCCGCCTTTCTTCTGAGGTTCCTACTAATGCTATGGACATCCTGCAGTCGCGCTTGCCATCACCAGGCTCGGATCCTCGGCGAGATCACGCTAGTAAGCCGATTTTCCCCCAAACTTCGTCTTCTGGTTCCTCCCGCTCATCCGGACCCATTCCCAGCTTCCAGGCAATCCTGTGGACGACTTTCGGGCTGTCGACAATCCGCCTGTTGGGAATGTTGTGGTAGGTCGACCGGATGGACCTCTTAAAAGCCTCTGAGGCCTTACTGACGATTTTCGCTGCTTCTTGTCTCCTACGCGCCTGTTTCGCGCGCGCCTGCCTTCTTTTTTGTGGCATGCGCTTACAGGTTTCTGGTCGGCGAATGGGTGTTCAGGGCGGCGCGATTCTGCGCTCGCGGACGTCGTTGAGGTCGAGGAGGAGGTCGGGAGGAGTTGCACACGGACGATCGGCTCGTTTCTTTCCCTTTCTATCTCGCGGTACTGTACACACTGCAACGCACCTGACGGCACGATTTGGGACGACCAGCGGGCTTGGTGGGCGAGAGTCGTCGTCTGCGAAGGTCTCGCGAGGATGCCCGGATCGCTCGATGTCCCAGCGACGTACCGCTTCCTCTCGCAGGTATAGCGATACTCCATTTGACGCTCGAATTGCTTGGAAGAAGGTGGCAGCAGTCGTGGGGACGCCATTTGATCGCATCTCTTCGCGGAGAAGTTCGTCTCGCAAGCTCGTTCGCTTCTCTCCGCCCGTCTCCTTCGCGCAGCGATGACGATCCGACTGATTAGATTTCGCTAGACCAACGCGGAGAAAGAGGCCAAAGGGGAATACGAGAACTAAGGTGGGGGAAGAGAAGAAGCATCTACACGGTGAGGAGGACGAGGGGAGCTACAGAGTGGATAGAGGGCAAGTTCCGACCAAGCAGGGAAGCTATAACCGTTCCAGCACACGCTCACTCCTTGCCCTTCTTGCCGCTCGACGAGAACACGCGGGAGAAGAACGACTTGCGCTTCTCCTTGCCGCTGTTGATGCTCGGCGACGGGCTCTCGTCGCGTCCGCTCGCGGCGCCGAGCGCCTGCCTGCCCGCCTGCTTGCCGAGCGTGCTGGCCGGGGTAGTCGGCGCGGTCGTGAACTGCTCGGCCTTTTGCGGCGTCGCGGGGGTCGAAGCGGGAGCGGCTGAGCTGGGAGCGGTCGTGCCGGGCTGGGCGGTCGTGGTAGGCCCAGCAGGGACGGCCTTTGAGCTCACGGGAGCAGGCTCGACGGGCGCGACGGGAGGAGCGAGCGCGGGAGCTGTGCCGCTGCTGACGCGAGCCGGAGGGGAAGAGGCGGTGGGAGCGGGAGCGGGCGACGGCGGGAGAGGCTGCGAGGGAGGAGGCGGGAGGGGCGACGATCGGGCAGGTGCAGGCGCAGGAGCACTCGTCGAAGCAGTGCTGGCGGGAGCGACGGCGTTGTAGGCGGTCGGGACGGCGTTGCTGCCCTGCTGCAAGGCGACCGGAGCCTCCGAAGGCGTGATAGGCGTGATGTCCTTGGCAGGGAGAGTGGGCGCTTCGGCAGACGACGAAGCAGTGCCGGTCGAGGTCGAGGTCGGAACGACGGCCTTGGAGACGGGAGGATGAGGGTCGGGCTTGTCAGTTGCGACGGGCGCCTCATTCGCGGGCAGCTTCGTCACGACCTGGTCTGGCACAGTCGACGTAGCATCACCGGGAGCCTCGCTGACGGGAAGAGGCGTGATCTCCTTGTCGGGAACGCCCGAAGTTGCGCCGGCGGCAGCGGCAGCCGAGGCGGGAAGGACGGTCGACGCGCGCTTCGAGGTCTCGGCAGCCTTCTTCTTGCCGAGGTGGAGAGCGTCGAAGAGCTTCTCCTTGACGTTGACGGCCTGGTGCTGCGCCTGCCCGTACGTCTGGTGCGCGAGCTTCTCCGTCTCCTGGCGGGTGTGGTCGAGGTACTGCTCGGCGGTGTGGGCGGCGTCCTGAAGCGTCTGTGAGCCGGCCTCCTTGGCATGCGCGGCGTGAGGGTGGACGGCCTCGACGACCTTGTGGCCGAGGAGCTCGACTCCAGCGACGGCAGCTCCGACAGCAGCGATACCGGCGCCGATCAAGGGGGCGTCTTCAGGCTTCTCCTTAGGCGCGATGAGGCCCTCGACGGGCTTGTGCTCGGGCTCAGCAACCTGCTTGTCGGCAGCGGCCGTGACGTGAGCTTCCGAGCCAGCGCCGACGGGGACAGAGGGAGCAGCGGGCACCTCCTCCTTTGCGACGACGGCCGTGTGCTCGTCGTACTTGGGCGCCGCAGCCGTCGAGTGCGCCTCGGGTCCGGCTGCGCCAGCGACGGCGGGAGCGACGGGTGCGGGCTCCTTCGCGACAACGGCGGTGTGCTCGTTGTACTTGGGCGCGGCGGCGGTCGACTGCGGGCCGTTGTCCTTGGCGACAACGGCAGTCGTGTGCGCTTCCTGTGCGACCTGACTGGCGGACTCCTGCACCTTGGCCTGGGCGGTCGACGCGGCGGACGAAGCCTGCGCCGAGAGGTCCTTCGCGGCGGACGGAGCCTGCGCCAAAGCCTCCGTAGTCGTCTCGGTGGCGGACGAGGCGAGAGAGGCGAGGCCGGCAGCAGCGGCGCCAGCAGTCGCGACGACGGCAGCTCCGAGGGTAGCGGCTGTGAGGGGCAAAGTCAGGCCGAGTTCGAACGAAAGACGAGACCGGTAAACCTTACCAGCGGGTCCGACGGTCTCCTGCGTCTTGCCGGCGAGCTCCTTCGCCTTCTCCTGGACCTGCGGCGCAACCTCCTGGACCTTGGTCTGCGCCTGCGCCGCCAAGTCGGCCGCGGTTGTCTGAACCTGCGCAGCCGTCTCCTTCGCCTGCTCGGTCACGGTAGCGGGAGCGTTCGAGGTGTTGGTAGCCGCGGTCGAGGTGGTGGCGGGAGCGGTCGAGGAGACGTCTCCTGCGACCGTCACGCTCGAAGAGGGCACGGGGAGGACGGCGGAAGTGTCGGTGCCGGACGAGACGTTCTCGACGACAGCGATGTGCTCGGGGACTGCAAGCAGCTCGATGTAAGCGGTGGAGTGGAGTAGCAGCGCGAGACGAGCGCACCGTGAAGGACGTTGTTGACGTTGCCCGAAAAGTCGGTCTCGGTCGGCTCGTCGTGGTTCGGCATCCACTGTCCGTCGACGACGTACTGCAGAGCGTGGAAGACGAGTTGGTAAAAACGAGTCTGACAAAGGAACGGCGCGGCAAGAGCGCATCGACCCAACGCACCTTGTAGAGGACCTTCTTGCCGAACGGAAGCTGGACGTGGCCGGCGAAGGACCCATCTGCCTGCTTCGTCAGGGGTGGGAGGGAGCTATTGCACACAATGGGAGCGCGCGTGCGTGAAGCAAAAGACGGTCAGCAACCGGGACGCAGCGAGGTAGGAGGAGAAGGTGCGCACCACTTCCACTGTCGGTGCGGACGCGCGCATTGATGCAACGGGTCAGTACGAGTACACCTCGCTCCCTCAGCGCGCGAGAAAGCCCCAATCCGTCAACCTACATCATCGAACGTCCCGGTCGCCTGCGATCGCGTCGATGACAGCGAGGAGCGCACGGGTCAGTGACGGAGCGGCAGTGAGCGCTGTGGGAGCCAGTACGCACGACGACCGTGCTTCCGTGCCCCTTCCTGCGAGCGTGCGAGCGATGTTAGCCCTGTTCGAGTCGGGCGATGAGGAGCGCGCTGTTCTGGAGCTTGAGGGAACGGCGCGCGCGAGGAGCAAGACGTACCAGGTGAACGTGTGCGAGTACGAGTCTGTAGCCATGCGCGCGGTGTGCTTCTGTGCGAGTGCGAGTGCGGTGCGAGAGCGAACGCCAGCTGTTGACGTCCTCGAAGCCAGCGGGGCAACGCAAGAGACTTTTTCTCGCCGGTGGACTGACAGACTCGCTCGAAAAAGAAGACTGGCAGACAAGGGCTTGTGGAATTGCAGAGGTGCGCTTGGCTTCAGGCGCTGTCGCGACGACGGAGAGGGAGAGTTGCGGGAGGAAAAGGGTGGGCGTGCCGCGACAGGACTTCGAAGGCGGATCCGCTACGTGCAGACGAACCATCTCGACGCTGTCGAGCCGCACAGTGAGCGCACTCGGACGGCGGCGGGTGAGGGTGGATCTGTGGGAGGCGAGGAGGTCAGTTTTGAGAGGAAACGCTTCGCTCCCGCCTCACCAGGTCGTAGATCATCTTGAGCGCCCTGCAAAGCTCCGCGGCGACGTCCCGACAGTTCCTGCCGCGAGTCTGCTCGCCATACAGCCGCTCGTCACCTAGGGCAGGCCAGAATGGCTGCAGAAAATGCACGACGTCCTTCGCAACCTCGGCTCGACGCCGCTCGCCCAGCTGATCCATCACCCAGTCGTAGAAGAATTGGTAGCCGCAGATGTCGTGCGTGTCGTGCATCCGGTCCATGAGCTCGTGGGCATGGATGGCGAGTTTGCTGACGTCGCACGTCTCGAGGTAGATCCGCGCTGCTGCGAGCCGGTCGACCAGGTCCCATGCAAGCATCACATTGAAGACCGCAACGCACGCTGCGTCTTTGCGCACGCCTCGACTCTGCCCTTCGCTTCGGACGCGAAAGTCGAAGCCTTGCCAAACGATCTCCAGCTCGTAGGCGAGGACATCGACGAGCGGGAGGACGAGAACATTTGCTCCGGTAAAGTTGACGGTCGAGAACGGTGCCGCGTCTTGTCCCGTCCGAGGGATGCCGGTGCACATAGCGTCGCGAGGCGGAGGTGGCGAGCTGGTATCTCTGGACCCAAGAATGAGGTCCGGCTCAATGACTAGGTGGTGCTGGACGAGGACGTTGCTATTGAGAGAGAGAGAGAGAGAGTATGTGTGTGAGCATGCGACTGCTGCGCACAAAACGCGTTCGCTCACGTCCAATCGAGTCCACCGTCGTGGAGCTCTCCTGCAGGGACCAGCAGCTCCGGGCTATGCTTGACTTCCTCAGCGTACATTCGGAGGGCACCGTGATTTGCCAGCGCGAGGTGAGTGGCGAATCGCCCGCGGACCAGCTTGAAGACGTCGATCGTGAGGGCAGCGGTTGTCGCAGGTGAAGGTGAGCTGCCGGCGTATTCGTCCCACACGCGGAAGTCCAGAGTCTGTAACCTTGACCTGTTACGACGCTTTCCCAGTGCGACAAAAGCAAATCCACCTGCAAGTTTGATGGCAGGCCCACCGCCCACCAAGCCTCTTCGACCAGCGGCGAGCGATACGTCCCTGGCAGACCATATGGCGTGCGAGCTCTCTCATGGAGTATTCCTAACGCGACGGATCCTGCACATCGCCTTGTCAGCAATTTTCGTGACCACGAGACCCCCGACGCACTCGACGCGTAGAAGAAGTACTCTTCGTACGAACGGAAGCCGTGCTTGATGTGCCTTTGTCTCCGATTCTGGGCCTCCTTTGCTACATCGCGGAGGGTGCGGCGCACGAGGGTCGCTGCCTCGAACTGGCTGGTCGGACCGAGCACGGTAACGCGGTCGGGAGGGAGATGAAGCTCGGAGTCTGGGGAGAAGCGCTGTGCGAGGCGAGGAGCAGTCATGGCGCAGTAAGGTGGATGGCCTAGAAGGAGTGGGCGAGAAGAGAAGGAAAGCCAGCAGCCTCGTCGAACAGCATCCGCGGATCATCCGCCGAAGAGGAGCTCCTGCTCCGCAACGCCTCAAGGTCTGCGTCCTCTCAGCCCGATCTGAGTCTTCCTCCCACTGCAGTCAAGCAGAAGCGACCGTCCCTCCCGTCCTTGAACAAGGAACAAGGCCATTCAGGCTGCAAGCCGCTCGAGTCGCCGGCTGTTCGACCATGCTCGCCTGCCCTCCTCGGACGCACGCCAGCCTTGCGCGAGACGCCGCCAGCGTGCAAGATCGTACAGTGCAGTGCTACTGGCTCAGTCCTGCCGTCGGGCGCCTCTGTTGAGGGTGTGGACGGATGTCGAGCGGGGTGGGTGATGAGGCTGGCAGCGGGACGAGGGAGCGATCGTAGGGCGAGCGAGGGCGCTAGATAGCTTAGGGAGACGAACACGAAGTGTTCGAACACCTAGCGAACGTGCCAAGCGAGAGAGGCCAGTGACGGCGGACTCCAAGCGGCATCAGCAGGCGAAGTGGTCTACCGAGGTATCCTTTCTCAGGTGCTGATTCAATCGCAAAGCTTACTCGAGACTCTCTCATCCTGTGCGCAAACTGGCGAAGCTGAACGGCGCTATGCAGAAAGACGTCTACCAATTCCTCGCTCTCCTCCGCTCCGATTTGGCGTGTCCTGCTCCTTCGCTCCATCCTCCGCTCCACCTGTCTCGTCGAGCTAGGCATTACGGTCACCAGGAATAAAGGCAGGATGGGGACGGTGCGGGTGGGCGGACGTCGAGTTGGCAGGCGGGTGACGGGCAATCTGCGGGCGAGGGGAAGATCGGTTAGCTCAGACGGGCAACAATGAACCTCGAACGGACTCACCAGGGTGTGAACAAGGGCAAAGACATCGCGCAGGAGAGCAGCAGCTTCTTGGCGATGCGACTCCCGGTGTGCTGCCGACAGGCGCTCGTTGGAGAGAGACGGGAAAGTCTTGTACGTTGTCCACCGGTTGACGACCGTCTCCGCCAAAGGCTCACGACCGAAACGAGATCCAGACTGTCGTGGCGCGAAGTGCTGCATGATCCAGTCGTACATCCGACGATACCCGTCGGCGCCCAACCACGATGTGGCTGCATGCTGCGCATAGGTGGCGAAGTTGTGCAGGCTGCATACCGATTCGTTTGGGTTGGACTTGTAGAGATCGTAGAGGAGAAAGAGGTTGAGCATGTTGAAGCAGGTGTAGGCGAAGCGCACGCGGACGTTGGCTGGCAAGGCTGTGTCGAACGCCCGCCAAATCTCCTCGACCTCATACGCCATGAGGACAGCGAGAGTGTGTGCCTTGACACGAACGACGACATCGGCTGATCTGTCAAAGCCGGATGATGGCAGAGCGACGTCGACTGCGACGAGGCCGATGTTCGGCAGGCGAAGCATGAAGTCGCCCGGAAATCTGACGAAGTGCGCGATGAATGGCTCGCTATGCCTTCCGATTCAGTACCGAGTCCATGGGGGAGAAGTCGTCTGACTCACGACCAAACTAGCCTGCCGTCTAGCTCCTCGTCGACCGACGGCAAGACAAAGGCGGGGCTCAATCTGTTCTCTCGCACAATCGGCTCGAGAACGCCGGAGCGAGGGCGAAACTCGTCGGCGAGGCGAGAACGAACGAGTTGTTCCGTCAACTGGTTGATGTCGCTGGATATGGGTATCGTTGGACGTCCGTAGCAGGTGCGCAGCGCAACCGGCTGGGCGGAAGCTTTGTCAGAATGCTGTAGCCCCCAGTAAATCAAAGGAAGCAGCGCACCTGCCAGTAAGGCCGACAGCTGGCGCGCAGCCACGCTTCCTCCATCAGCGCTGAGTGCTCTGGCTCATCATGAAGCCCAGCCTCCACACGCAGGAACTGACGGAGCAAGGCGGCGCCGTTCGCTCCTGGGTTACTGCCGTCGTCAGTCACGGGGCGTCCTCATGGCGAGAGAAACACGCACCGGTCGAGACGAGGGAAAGGTCGCTCCACGCAAACACCTCTGTCCCGTCCGTGACGCCTCGCTCCCGCTGCCTCTGCCCGGCCTCTGCGACCTTCTGTACACACAAAGCCGCAACGTGCGTCTGGCCGGTGAGACCCGCAACCGTGACGCGGCTTGGGTCGAGGTAGTGGTCGAAGTCCGGCAGCAGGCGCTGTGCTTCGCCGTAATCCGCAATGAGGGGAGCGGGTCGGGGCATGGTCGGAGAGACTGCGAGTGCCCGGAGAGACTACGAGTGCCCAGTGAACAGAAGGAAGGAAACGAAGGTCGAGCAAGGCAAGGAGCGTCGCCACGGACAATCCGAGACCCGGGGGAGCGAGGGACCGGGGCATTCCCTCCTATCCGCCGTCCCTCCGGAAGTTTTGGGATAGGAGGGAGTCGATGTTCGAGGCAGGAATGGCAAGCCGTGGCGAGCGAGGAGAGAAAGGGACACGGCCAAGGAGCAGGCTAGCGCTCACGCAAGCCCGGCTCCGTCTACGTTTGCCAGCTCAACAGATGGGCGACTCCGCATCGCTCGTCGTCCAGGAAACCTCGCCTGAGCTGCGAAAGAGCGATGGAGACAGACGAGGCAAACTCGGTTGCGGCAGGGGCTGGGAAGGCAGCGATAGGACTAGAAGCATTCCTGAGCAGTCCTGATCAGCAGTAGCATCCCATACAGCCTTCCAGCGAGCGAGAAGGGAGCGGTCGAAGGGAGACGGCCTCGTGCGCACACCTCGTCGCCTGCTTTGTTCGCCGTCACTTCACGTACGTCTCCTGCGCACTGACTCAGCGCCTCCAAACACTCGTACTGACACTCTTGTCACTCCTAGCGCCCACGAAATGGCCGGTGAGTCCCTGCCGCCGCGATGCCGCCTCGAACTCGACGACAGGATTTGCTCGCCTCGCACCCCGCCCGCCAGCTCGCTCGGGCGACCGCTTGCATGCAGTGTAACGGTGGATGAAGCGGTGGAATTAGGATTGGCGGGACTGGGCGGGATCTGCGGCGCGGAGGCGAGGAGCATTGCTGCCCGGAAGAGTGTCGGGTCGAGCTGGCTCTCGAGGCGGGTTTCGCGGGTCGAGGGTCGTTCAAGGCGGGCGGGAAAGGCACAGAACGGCCAACGCAACGAAATGGCGGAATCACGGGGTTCAGGCGACTTGGAACGGGTTGCTGACGGTCGTTCCCCCTCCCCGTCCCTGCTCGACTTCACCCTCGACGAACGATTCACGCTGTTCCACCCGCCGTGCCGTCACACGCATGTTCTGGTTATTCCCTTGCACTTCTCGACCCGTCGATACCGATTCACGCCTACCTTGCCGACCTCGACCACCACCCTCTCCTCACCCCACTCCTCCCTTTATCCCGACCGCACGCCAATTTTACCGCACGCAGTCACCTCGATCTCGCAGCGCAAGGCGCACAAGGCCCACTTCGGTGCCCCCTCGTCGGTCCGCCGCATCTTGATGTCGGCGCCCCTCTCGAAGGAGCTCCGCGCCGAGCACGGTGTGCGTCGGCTGTTCTACGTGGCGTGCACGGGAGGTGTGGAGGATGAGGGGAGGCCTGTTTAGGAGACGCGACTGACGTGTGTGAGGTGGGTTATCGCAGGTCCGCTCGATCCCCATCCGCAAGGATGACGAGGTCAAGGTGCGTTCATACCGCTATACGCTTGCTCTGTTACGTCTCATTGACGAGTTGGGTCTCGTACAGATCGTCCGTGGCACCTACAAGGGCCGCGAGGGCCGCATCAACACCTCGAACCGCAAGAACTTCCGCGTCTTCGTCGAGGGTGTCTCGCGCGACAAGGGCAACGGCGCGACCGTCCCCATCCCCGTCTCTGCCTCCAACGTCGTCATCACCAAGATCAAGATGGACAAGGACCGCACCGCTTTGTTGAAGAGGAAGTCGACCAAGAAGGGCGAGGACGTCGAGATGAAGGTGCGTCCCGCTTCCGCTCGAGTGCTGCTCTGTCTCGAAACGCTCGCTGACCGTCCTTGCGTGTTCTCGCGTCTCGCCGTGTGTAGTAAACCGTTTCCCATGGGCTGTAACGGTTTCGGGACTTCATCACTATTCCTGCGCTTCCCTGTCTCTCGCTCGTTTGCTCTTGAGAGTTGGCTCCGGTACGAGCTATTGCGTCGTTCTGCTTGCTGGCCAGCGTGGATGCTTTTGAGAAAGAGAGAGCACCTTGACTTTCATCTTCTCCCCATCGCGGTTGTCAACTCGCTCGCTCACTTGTTCTCTGCCCTGGACCTGCTCCGACTGCACAAGAGCGCAGCGCCTGCTCAGAAGGTGCCATGGCGCGCTCTCCCCGCCCACCAGCGTCCGGCTTCGCAGAATACTATACCCCTTCGCGACGACCGTTCGTCGCGCCCTCCTCGTCCCACTCAACGCCTCTACTATCCAGCTCGCCGCGCATCGCAATCCGACTGCTCAGTCCGGGCGGCCGTTCGCCCGATCGAGGCGCACGAGGCGGCGCGCTCTCGTTTCTTCGCGTACCGGCGAGACTGAAACGAGCAGCGTTGGCTGTTACGGTCGCGCTTGTTCTGGGCGGATTAGTGTATGTGGTGGTTGACTCGGGAAGCTTGGGCGATGGGATGGCGGCGGGCAGGTTCATGCAGGTCGGAGGGTTCGGGAAGGACTATATGGGTCGGCAGGAGGAGGAGCAGGTGCGGTTATTGGCGAACGAGACTGGCGGTTTGCGGTCCACCAGCAAGGACAAGGGAAAGGAGAAGGAGTGCTTGCTGTTCCCCTGGCGGGAAGGGTGCGACATTACCCCTGCGAAAGACCCACGAGATCCGTTCGAGGGTCTCGAGTTCCAAGAAGAGGGCGGCCATCTCTACTATCCTGCCGTTCCCGCACCACGGAAACCTCGACGACCCGGCGAGCGACCACGACCACCCGATTCGCAGCCCGTCGACCCCTCTCAGCAGCCTCATCCCATCCACTACCTCATCCAGCAAGCGAAGGAGGACTGGAGTGCCAAGTTGCACCGCCAGTCCAAGACACTCGACGAAGCTGTCGTCGAGTACGAGCGGCGGTACAAGCGGCGACCGCCCAGAGGCTTCGACGAGTGGTTTGCGTTCGCCAAGAAGAACGACTTTGTCATGGTGGACGAGTTCGACCTCGTCATGCGGCAGGTCGAGCCGTTCCTCGCTCTTCAGCCGTCGCTACTGCGGGAGCGGCACGAGAAGCTGCAGTTTGAGGAAGACTTCTGGATGCAGGTGCGTCTAGTCTGCCTACCTCTCCGAGACTCTCGCTGATGTGGCCTCGGTTCGCAGGACAAGGCGTATACCATTGAGTTGAAGAAGCCCATCGATGTGCGACACACTCGCCCCCAGATGACGGTCTACGGCCCAATGAAGACGACGAACGACCGGTCTGACCAGACGCTCAAGCTGCTCGAGAATATCGCTGAATTCCTCCCCGAGATGAACCTGACCATTACCGGCCACGACACGCCTTGGGTGACGATGAGCGGTGAGGCGCGCGTCAAGCATGTCGAGGCAGCGAGAGCGGGCAAGTGTGCGTCAATTCGGTGTCCTCGAGCTTTGCCGCCTTCTGACGTCTTATGGTCGCGCAGTTCTGACCGCAGAAGAAGCGAACGACTTCATGGACAACTGGGCCTGGGACGGCTGGGCGCAGATCTGTCCGCCCGATTCGCTGCTTCGCCAAGTCCCGTCCGTCGACGAGCGTCTCCAGAAGCACCGAATCTACACCGAGCCGAAGCGGCGCAGCTTCATCTACGACCACGTCGAGGCTATGGACCTCTGCTCGCACCCCGACTGGCAACTCATCCATGGCTTCACGGCTTGGCCCGGTCCGCGACCTGGCATCCTCTACCCGCTCTTCGTCTCGACCACTACCTCGATGCACTCCGACCTCCTCGTTCCGCCTATCGACCAATACGACCGCCCGAAGGGCAACGATCCGGCGTGGGAGGAGAAGAAGTTCAACAAGGTCATCTGGCGAGGGACGACGACGGGCGCGGATCTCAACGTCGAGCATCATCGCCAATGGAGTCAGAGGCCACGACTGTGCCGATGTGAGTTCGTTCAGCCGCGTGGAGTATATCGTAGCTAACGAGCTCGCCGCCTGCAGTCCCGTTCCAGTCCGGCTCCGTCAAGCTGCCTTTCGCTCCAGCTGACAAGCCTTCTCGCCCCGGCCCCGTCTCGACCCTCGTCTCGCGCGCCCAAGCTCTTGCACAAGAATGGTTCGACTTTGCTTTCCTCGGCAGCGCGCGCCAATGCGACGACCCGAAAGTCTGCGCCGAGTTCGAAAAGGACTTTCTCTGGTCCGACTGGGTTAGCGAGAGCGAGCAGAACGAGTACAAGTACATGCTCGACGTCGATGGGAACGGCTGGTCCGGACGCTTCCATCGCCTCATGAGCACCAACTCGCTCGTCCTCAAGTCCACCATTTTCCCCGAGTGGTATTCGGACATGATCCAGCCCTGGGTCCAGTGCGTGTCGCTTTTCAAGTCTCTGTCAAATCTCGCTCACACCGTCTCCTGCAGCTACGTCCCCATCCAGATCGACTTCAGCGACCTGTGGACGACGATGGCCTTCTTCCTCGGCGACGAGTACGGCAAGGGCGCTCACGACGAGATCGCCAAGGAAATCGCTCTCGCAGGCAAGGACTGGACGGAGAAGCATTGGTGAGCCCGTCGTTCGCAGCCGTTCGAGCGCAGGCTGACCCTTATTGCGTTCGCAGGCGCTGGGTCGACATGGAGGTGTACACTTACAGGCTCATGCTCGAGGTGCGACGCTTCCCGTTCCTCGTGTCGCTTTGCATCACTGACGTCCCTCGCCGACAGTACGCGCGCATCATGAACCGAGACGAGGACGACCCGACGTCTTGGGACTTGTAGACGGAGAGGCGCTTCCGCCCCCGCTGTTGTATTCTTCCTGCATCGTACTGCATTAGACGACCCTTCACGACATCGAAACTGTACTCGGTGGCGTTGAAAGCGAGCGCCTTTTCGGACTTAGCAACTTTGCGAGGTCGAACGCTCGTCCTCCGCTGCTCACCACCGTCATCATGGCCGCCCAGCCGCAGTTCGCAGCGCCGTTCCCGCCCACAGTGCCCGTCGCAGTCGATCCGACGTACTCGTCGTCGCTGCCGGGCTTCCTCGCGCCCGTGGGCAACCTCCTCGACCGCCTCGACGCCGCCCGCGACCGCCTCAACCTCCCCGACCCGGGCAAGCACGAGGACCTTGGCCGCGAAGTCAAGCGTGCGTCCACACATCTTTCTAGCTCACCGCCAGCCACCCGAGCGGCGTCGTTCCGGACTTGACGCTGACCCATCTCTCGCCCTGCTCGCTTTCATCGCTCGTTCCCTCGACACTCGCTGGGCTGGTTCGGCCGACGCAGTGACGCACTTGACCAACTACACTTTCGATGGAGCCCGTGCCGACCTCGCCAAGACGCTCTCGCAGGTGCCGGCCTTCCAGGTCACGCACTCGTTCGTGGCGGGCTCGCAGGGGGGACCGATGGGCGGCATCAACCCGGGGACGTACAACTTTGGCGCAGTCTACGCGACGCCCAAGGTGAGCATCCGGAGACCGCGGCGAATCCCCTGGCCGCCAGGCTGACTCTCGCTTCCGAACAGACCTTCATGCAGGGAATGGTCGACAACGAGGGATCGGTGACGGGACGGTTCAACTACGGATGGTCGCCCAAGAACACCACCAAGATGTCGGTCCAGGTGCGGAGCAGCGACTCGAAAGACGGCTTGCGCCTTCACGCTGACACCTACGCTCCCACACAGCTCGCTGCTTCTGCCGCCGCACCCTCCATGTTCTCGCTCGAGCACGACCGCGTCGGCAAGGACTACACCCTCTCCGTCAAGGCTTACAACCCCTCCCCCGCCGACTTGACCGGCTCGTACATCGCCGCCTACCTCCAATCCATCACCCCTCACTTTGCCGTCGGTGTCGAGACGCTCTACCAGCGACCGACGCCCGACATGGAGGACTGCTCGCTTGGCTACATGGCCAAGTGGCACAACGTGAAGAAGGACGAGGCGGGCAACCAGCTCAAGGACTCGTGGATCGCGACCGCGCAGGTCATGTCGCAGGGTATCTGGCAGGCGACGTACTGGAAGAAGCTCGCCGACCGCGTCGACGCAGGTGTCGACCTCGTCTGCATACCCGCCATGAACCCGCGCGAGCGCAAGGCGGTCGCGACTGCCGGCGTCAAGTACGACTTCCGCACGGCCACCTTCCGGGGTCAGGTCGACTCGACTGGCAAGGTTTCGGCGCTCTTGGAGCAACGACTGAGCCCTGCGTTTGCGCTATCGTTGGCGGGCGAGATGGACCATGTCAAGGTGCGTTTGCGTGCTGCTTTCGCCCCCGCTTCCCTCGCTGACCTCTGCCTTTGCTCCCTCGCGTCCAGCAAACGTCTAAGTGGGGTTTTGGGGCGAGCATCGAGAGCGCGTCCGAGGAGGCCATGAGTTATGCGATGAACCACTCCGCCGAAGCCGCGATCCCTCCTCCTCTGTAGATAGATCTGATCAGGAATGACATAACCCCCTCTCCCCGACCAATTCTCCGCTTTCCTGCGACGAACTGTGCATTGCCCTTGTCTTGTGAGACGCTGTCCCAACCAGGGAGCGGTGCGCAAGCGGGTACGAGGTCGTCAGGGAGACCTCGAAACCCTTTCTTCTCCTCTCACTCAGGCTCACATTTCGCTGAACTTGCTGCACCTCGCATCCCGTTCTTCCACGGTCTCAGAAGCTCTACCGGCTCCGCCAAGCTCCCCCCAACCCCTCGTACACGCATCGTCCGCCTTCATCAGTTCACGAGGATTCCACATCTCGGCTCAATGATGCTGCGACGGGCGGGCGGTTCAGTGCGACTGGGCCCACCCTCCAGAACACCAGAACACGGACGAGGTCGACCAGCTGCTCTTCTCGCTTCGAAGACAGCCATCCGGACACCTCTCCTCTCCCCACTCTCGAACCTCTCCCCGCCATCTCGCTCAATTGCCGTGCCAGCAGCGCGCAAGGGATTCCCGACATTCAACTGGCGGAGCGGGCCGTACGCCGGCCAGAAGTGTCACGAAGTTCAGGTGGTCAAGAATGCAGACGATGCGAACCTCCTTCTCGAGTCCTGGACAGCCGAGTGCGGACACGCTTTCGACTCCCAGGTAAGAAGTAGACACTGACAACGTTCGACGAACAGCCGCATAGCCATCGACTTTGAGCCAGGCCCCATTCCGAACTTGAATTTCGCTCGTAGACATTTGCGCCAGCGAGACATGACGTTGAGCGAGGGTGTCCTCGGGCTGAGCGACGGATACGGAGTCCTGTGTGAGTTGGTTCGTCCATGCTCGTGATTGTCATGGACCAAGCTAACCTTGTGGGTCGGGTCAGTGATGCAGGTTCCTTCCCTCGACCGTTCGTCGTCTCCTTCTCCGGTACCACCGCCCAGCATCTGAGCAGACCGTCTCGCAGGCATACCGGAGAAGTTCCGTGAAATGATGGAGAATCCGGCGTTGCAAAAGGTCGCGATCGGCGCAGACTGTGCGTACTCGAGCCTTCCTCGACACTCCCGGATGCTCATGCGTTCTATCCGCAGGGCACATCCGCGAGATGATGCTAGACTTCAACCATTTCAAGACACAGCCGACCAACGTCCTCTGCTTGCGTCGACTCGCTTGCCTCGCGTACCCAATGCTCGACGAGCGCGAGCTGAACGGCATGGTGCTCGACGGGTGGGTCCATCACATGGGAAAAGAAGTGCTCGGCGTTCGCCACAGCGTCTACACGCACGACTCTGGCTACCGAATGGAGCTCAAACCCGACAAGCGTGACTGTGCGCCGCTTGTTTCCCTTGGCCCTTCTTCGCGCGCGCGCTGACCTTCTGTCCCTGCAGTGCTCGTCAACCGAACGTGGTTCGTTCATTGCGCAGACGTCGCTATACGACAACGGTTACGCACGCGCATCGCCAAGAAGGCGGGAAGGCTGAAGGAAGTTGGGAAGTGGATGGAGGCGGACTGGACGGAGGAAGAGGCGTTCGAGTATGCTCAACAGTATTGCTCATTCTGGGCCGGCGGTGGCATGCCCCATCGGGCGCAATGAAGCTGGCATTCGCGCGTCGCACTCGATGTCCTCGTGTTATTCGTTTCTTCGGGTCTGCTTGACGTTCCGCGAGGCTTCGTCGAAGGCTTCCTCTCTTCGACGAAGCCTCTCGCACGATTGAATGGGAGGTCACTCTGCTCATTTGCAGCTTTCTTACGCTCAACTCTTTGCTATTGCTGCGCCACCTACTCCCGCCTTCGTTCTCCAACTTCAGCTCGCGCCTGCGCCTCACGTCTAAGCCCCGAGCTCGGACGATACCCATGAGTCCTCGCGGTCTCGACGCCTGCCATTGATCGGCGATCAGCGGGAAGGAGGACGAAGGGATGAGATTCTGGAGGATGTCGAGGAAGCGAGTTGGTCTCGTCGTTGGCGCATGTCGACGGAGTTCTTCGAGTGTTGGCTGCCACGTTGATGGGTCACCGTCGACAGGTACGTTGAACAGCTGGAAGCAGCGGAAGAGACTGAACGTCAGCGATCTCTCAGACATCTGCTCGACGGCGAGCCACTCACCTGTCTCCTGCACCCAGTCTCGTACTCCCTGTCTGCTTTCGCACAGCGGGATGTCCTCATGCCGCGCCGAAGAGATCGAGGACCTCGTCCATCGACTTGGCGAGCGAGTCTCCGCCCTTCGCGAGCTCGACAGGCTTCTCCTTCCTCTCGACAAGGGGCTGTAGAGATAGCAGACCACGACAGGTCAGCTGAGACAAGTCAACAAGCGGGACGAGGGGACACGCACCTTGTTCGACGCCTGCAAAGCCTCCCTCAACTCGTTCCGACCAGCGTCCAGCTTCTCCCGCGCATCTGCGTCCTTTGCCTTCTGCGCTCCACGCTTGCCCTTCCCACCGGCCGGCGGCTTCATCGAGAGAAGCGAGGGTTTGAGCTTCGTCGTCGAGGTGGTCGAGCGGCGCTTCGGCTGCGTCGGGGCGCGCTGCTGAAGTCGCGAATCAGTCCAAGAGCGTTCCAGTCAGCCGTCAAGCACGCTCACCTTGCCGGGCATCGTGTGTGCGCGACGAGGAGGAGCGCAAACCCGACTTCGCCTCTTCGCCAGCGACGGGCTACTTTCTCGTTACATCGACGTTCCTTGGCTGCCCTGCTCAGCTGCAGATGCTTGCAAGTTGCTCAGACTGCCTGCAACGAAGCAGCAACTCCCCCAGAGCCGTTGCTGTTGCTTTCTCACCTTCATCTCCTTGAGCGACTTGAACGGCTCTGCTGGTCCTACGACACGTCTGAGCGTTGTACGAAGCGGGTCAGCATGCTCCCTGTACTGTTTCTACAGCGCCCGCCGCTCGACCTGCACGCCTCGCCGGTCGAGTCCGCGGACCTGTGTCTCCTCTCCTCCCTTTCCCTCCTTCCACCTCGCTCAGCCTGCCGATTTCGCTCGACTTGCCTCGCTAGCGCACCCAGGAAACCTGCGTTGACAAGGTGACACCGCTCACACCGCCGTCGCACCCCGTCAGCCCGCCTCAGCCGCCGTCTTCTCATGCCGCCTCGTCGCCGCTACCCCCGCAAGGAGAAGAAGGAGAAGCCCGTCATCTTCGGACCCGAGCCTCCTCCCAAGGAGCCTGTTGCACCGCTAGAACCGCGTCCGACCGCAACCGAGGGCGAGACGGCTACGCAGGACCAGGACGGGGAGCAGGAGCAGGGGACGAGCGGAGTGCCTCACATCGATGGCGGAGCAGGGGGCGGGGGAGGCGGGAGGGGCAGGAGGCGCAAGAAGCTGCCGAAGAAGAAGTTCAACAAGGACAGTCGCGGCGGGTGGGAGGACGACCATGTCGAGCGCGACCCTCACCCCGAGGACAAGGGACGGTATGAGCCGTGAGTCCACCTGTTCGCTCACTTCGATGAACACTAAGCTGACGTACTCAAGTTTAGCTCGCTCCCATGGGACCTCCGCCTCCTCCGCTGCTGCGACGAGTTCCGCTCCCTCCGCTCGCTGGGCCAGCGTGCGTCCCAACACGTCCCCAACAGCCGAGCTACTGTACTGACTAACTTATGACACAGTCCCGTACAAGGTCAACTACCAGAATGTCCTGCGCTACTTTCAAGTCGACATTGTCGCCCTGCGCGAAAAGTACGGGATGCAGTCCTTGCGCGGCTACGACCCGGACGACTTTGACGACGACGCCGGCGGCGAGGACGGCGACGAGGAAGACGACGGCGACGAGGCGAAGGAGGCGACGGTCGAGGACGTTGTCGAGAAGACGGAAGACGAGTGGGCCGAGACAGTCTTCAGCCTGCAAAGACTCGCAATCTTCTTCAACAACCGCACGAACGACGGGTGCGTATCCCCACCCATTTTCAAGGCTCTCGGCGCTGACCGCCTCCGCACAGCTATGTCCCTTCGCTCTGGCTCGCCCCCATTGTCATGCAGAGCTTTCTCAAGTTCATGCTTACCCGCAAGGTCTTCCCCGGCCGCAAGAAGGCTATCGAGGACTGCATTGCGATGTGCGGCATTGCGAGGGCGCAGCGTGAGTTGCCTCGCCCAGATAATCCTTGCGGTCGCTCACTTTGCCTCGCCCGCAGTTCACCCGGCGCATCTCCTCCTCAGGCAAGCTGTCAACGTCTCGACCCTCGGGCCCGCCATCCGCGTCCTCTTCCCCGAGCCCGACTCTGTCCTTCCTTCGCCCATCGTCGACCGCCCTGACCCGGTCAAGCAGCTCACCGACCGTCTGCCCGACGTCTTCTCCGCCATGAGCATTGTCGACGATGCAGACGAAGACAACGAGCTCGGCGCGGAAGTTGTCTCGCCGCCGGAGATGCCGACGTGGGAACAGGCCAGGCAGGCGAAGCAGGAGAAAGAGGAGAAGGAGCCGGACGACCCGGAGGAGAGGACGAGGAGGCGATTCGCTGGGCTCAAGGAGCGCTTTGAGCGCGAGGCGAAGGCGATGGAGGCGTGGCAGAAGTGCGGGAGGAAGGACAGGACGTCGACGAGCGTCCTGAAGGACGCGCTTGACAAGCTGCACAAGGGCGGGAAGGAGGTCGAGGGGGAGTGGAGGGTCGGGTACCGCGAGAGAAGCGCTCGCTCGCTCGTCGGGTGGGAGATCGTGTATAAGGGCAAGGTCGCGCCTGTCGCAGCCGAAGGAGACGCCGGTGACCCGCAGCAGACGGAGGAGGAAGAGCACATGCTCGTCAAGGTTCAGCTCTCGCCGCACCAGCGCGACTTCCCCGTCACCGACGCCCTCTTCTTCCCCTCTATCTCGACGCAAGACGCCCTCGCTACGCTCGGCAATGACGACTCGATCATCTCGCACACACTCGACGAGCCGCTCACCGTCCTCCTCGACCTCTCGCCCTCCTTCGACCTCAAGCACCTCGACGCGCTCAAGTCCTCCATTCTCGAATCCGACCTCACGCAACTCGTCTTCGTTCCGACCCTGCCAAACGACACGGTCAAGACGCTCTGGATCGTCGACCGTCTCTGGCGGGTCATCCCCTCGTACTGGCAGCACGCCGGCGACCTTCTCCGCGAAGAGCCTGGGAGGGTGATGAGCCACCCAGGAGGATACGGACCGTCGCCGCAGGAGGCGCTTGCGATGATTGAGGAGGAAATGGAGGCGGAGGAGGCCGAGAAGGCGAACAGGGCGTGCGATACGGGCGCGGGAGGCTCGGCTCAGGTGCAGGAGGAGGAAGAGCAGGAGAAGATTGTCGAGGTCGCTTAGGGAACGCTTGGGAATGGAGTCTCGCCTGGAATGAACCGCTTGACCTGTACGAAGCGGGACGAGAGGTTGCACGAGTGGCAGGAAAGCCTTCGCCGGTCCTCTGCTTTCCTTCGCCGGTCTATATGATCCTAAACCTCGGTAGACAAACCTGTACGGCGGACAAGGAGAGTGGTGGAAGTCGACTCTCTTCACCGCAGGATCCACTCCCGAGGACGGCACAGCTGGACTCGTTCATCACGCTCCGTTTGCTTCGCTTGACTATTGCTAGAGTTTGCTGAAGCTACTGAGTCTGTTTACACGCCCAGCCAACGCGCCATCGCCTGTCGTCGCCCGTCTCCGCCTCATCAACACTTACTTCCCTCCCCACCTGGCACGAACTCGGCGGCGGCAGAGCGTAGGGCCCGCCCGACTCGCCCAAGCTGGACACGCTCTTCAGGAAGAAGGGCAAGCGCGCGAGCCACCAAGCGCAGCAGCTCGCGCTCGACACGGCCGACCTCGACTCGCTCTCCTCGTCGAGTACCGCGTACGAGCACCTGCCCACCTCGTCCCCGACCAAGGCCAGCAACAACCGAGCGAGCGCATTTCCCTACTCATCCGCCTTCCCCCTGCCCGGCCAGTCGTTCGAGGCTGACGGCACAGCAAGTCCCCGGTCGCGACTTTCCCACGCCTTGGGCAACGTTCCGCCCCAACCCAGCTCGTCTGGCGGACAGGACAGCGCGGCATTCCCTCGTTACAACAGCAGGGTTTCGCCTCGCGGTCTCGGAATAGATGGGTTCGAGCCGAGAATGCGGGACGACGCGAGCGGGAGCGGGTCGAGTGGGCGCGAGAGTCGGACGGCGACTCGACCCAGGTCGCCTGACGAACAGTCGATACGCTCCGTAGCGTCGAGCTCGCAGGGACACAGCGCCGAGTCTGATGTGGTGGAGCGGCGGAAACGGATTGACTCGCTTGGCGCCATGTCGAGCAAGGCGAGCGTGAGGGAAGACAGGACGATCAGTGCCGCGAAGATGCCTGTACAGGCCGAATCTACACGGCCAGGCCCCATGTCGCCTCCGCCCGTTCGGAAGAAGACGATCAGCGGCGGCAGCACGGCGGGTCGCTCGTCTCTCAGCAGCGACACTCAGTCGACTCCTCGCCACCCTACACTCTCCAGCATGTCGTCCTTTACCTCATCCAACCGACCCTTCAGCAGCAACAGCACCATTGCGAGCAGTCGGTCAGGAGCAAAGGCTGAATACGCTTCGTCTACCCTCTCCAGCGCTCTTCCCTTCATGCCACGCCGAACTTCCGCCGTCTCGACCGCCTCTCGCACGCCTTCCTCCTATCCTCGCGACTCGGTCTTGCCGCCAGGCGTCTCGCCCATGTCGTCCGACTTCGATTTCCCTCGACCTGCAGACCCCGCCAAAGTCGACGAGCTATTCGACGAGCTCCTCCCACGAATCGGCGCAACTTCCGGCTCGGCCCTCGACGCAGCGCGCAATCTCGACACGGACAAGAAGTGGACGTTGATCTACAACGACGCATTCATGAAGTGGAAGAATGCGCGCGAGAAGATCACGCATCGGCCGGTCGAAGGGCGGAGCGCGCCTGCGGTCGGGACCTCGCGAGGCGGAGTTGCAGAGTACCCGATGAGTCCGCGAATGGGCGGAGCAGGAGCAGCGGGGGACAGGAGTAGCGCGAAGCCGTCTTGGGGGAAGAACGAGAGTCCCGAGTGGTACATCGGCAAGTTCATGGACGGGACGATCACACAGCAGCAGGTTGCGAGCCTGAGTGTCTGTTTGCGCACCTACGAGCTCGCGTGAGTCCCGCTTTCTGATCTGCCGGTCAGGCCTCCCTAACCTCGTCTCTCTTACAGATGGCTGCAAGCGTTCATCTCGCTCAAAGGGCAGGCGGTCCTCGGCAACGCGCTGCACAACATCAACAAGTCCGACACGCAGCGCAAGCCGGATGTCGGCATGGAAGCCGAGCTGATCAAGTGCCTTCGAACGCTCTTCAACCACACTGACGGCGCCCGCGACGCCATCGAGAACAACACGTCCATCTCGGCTATCACCGCGTCTCTCGCCAGCGAGATACCCATCCGAAAGAGCGTCATCGAGCTCCTCACCTTCTTCGTTGCCCGCGACCGCGTCAAGGGCTTCAACCTCGTCCTCAAAGGCCTCGACGACTTCTCCAGCTCGCGCCGCCTGCCCGGCAAGTTCGACGGCTGGTTCTTCTTTTGGGAAGCGGCGATCGACGGTCGAGGGAGGTTCGGTAGCTCAGTAGGAGCGAGCGAAGCGGTGATGAGTCTGCGAGGACAGGGCGCGAAGGACATGTCGCGCGGTCTGGTGGCGAGCTCGCCTTTGGCGGACGTCAAGGACCAGGCGCTCGCCGACTATGCGGCGACGAATATGCTCCTCATACAGGAGTTGTTGCGCGACCGCGATCTCAAGATCCGCATGCACCTCCGCGCCGCCATGGAGCTTTCGGGCCTCAAGCGCATCCTCGACAAGCACCTCGTCCTCGACCATCCTCTCCTCCGGCGTCTCATCTCCGACCACTACGAAGGCGCCGAAGCCGACTCGCTTGAGCTCGCCGACCAGATGAAGGAGGAAGTCCGCATGAACTTCTCCGACCCCCGCGGCTGCTTCGACGCGATCATCGAGAACACGGACGGCCGCGCACTCGACTTCCTCACCAGCACACTCAAGCACCTCCTCCTCATTCCGACGGAGCCGGAGTCGCGCATGCGGCATTTCCAGCTCATCGAACGCCTCGTCTCGGCCGTTGTGACCGACCGCAAGGGGCTCGACGGCGGCTTCACCAAGCTCATGGGCTCGAGTGTCGCCCAGATCGTCGCCTCTTTCGCTGAGCAGGACCGGCTGGCCGAGACGCAGGACGACCTCGAGGTTGCGCAATCGCAGGTTGCCCAGCTCAAGAAGCGGTGCGAGCAGCTAGAGGAGGAGTTAGCGGAAGGGACGAGCGGAGACGTCGGCAAGCTCAAGGGCGAGATCGAGCGTCTCGAGCGGGCGCTTGCGACTTCGCGCGCTGCGACGGACGGGACGAAGCAGGAGTACGCTGGCAAGGAGCGCGACTACCTCGACCAGATTGCCGCCCTCCGCGCCGACAATAGGATTCTATACGAACGCCTGAAGGCCGCCGGACTGCTCGACGGCATTGAGGATGACCTCCAGGACCGCATGGAGAAGCAGCTGCAGCGCAGCAAGACGATCCAGATCCTTGAGGGCATGTCAGCATCAGAGCCTCTCCCCGCGGTACCGGGAAAGACGATATTGGGCACGACGAGCGCGAGGCGGCGGATGGAAAACGGCATTGCGGCGGAGAGATCGATGACGGCCGACAGGCTTGCTTCAGGTGTTCGTCAGCCGGTGCGTTCTGACCTCTCCTCTTGGTTCACAACCTCAAGCGATGGCGAGCGCTGACGAACTCCCTGGCAGGTCTCTGCATGGTCTCCCACGCCCTCCCCTCCTTCGCATCGCACGCCTGTTCGACGCGCGGGTCAGCAGCAGCCTGCCGTCTCCGCCTTCTCGCCCGACAGCGACTACGACACGACTCCGCAGGCGGTGCGCGATCCGTCCACCTTCCACAACGACTCTTCGCCAGCGTCACCAACCGTCGCCCGCACTTCTCGGCCTGGACATGCCTCGCACCAGCGCCGGCCGACTCTCGCCGAGCAGATCCGCGATGTGGCCATCAAGATGGGCAGCAGTCCCGCCCGAGACTCGGTCGACACTGACAGCGTGCGCACCTCGTCGCAGCAAAGCCACTTCACCTACGCCAGCAACTCGACTGCGCCGACAAGTACCGCTCCATCCGACGTCGACTCGGCGGTCCCAGAGACTGTCATCGAGGCTGCCGAGGGCGACGAGGCCGGCAATGACCTGTCGCCAACGACGCGCAGACCTGCGGGTCAGAAGGTAGGCGTACCCGCCTCGTTCGCCGACTCGCTCGATAGCCTCATGCCGCCATCGGCTCTTGAAACGCCAAATCAACGACCAGATACCGTCTTCCTCGTCGGGCCCTATCACACGGCACCATCGACACCTCTCCTCGATGCAGAATCGCCCGCCGTCTCTCGCTCGATCACGCCGCCTCCGTTCCTCGCCCCTTTCGCATTCGGGACGGCCGATGTTCCCGCAACGCCGGTCGTGCAGGCTCCGACACCTTCTACGACACCTCCTGCTCATGCGCATGCGGACAGAGACGCCTCGCCCGAGTCTTCTGGTTTCTCCGCCGTTCCTGCTCCTCCTCCGCCCCCGCCGCCGCCGCCACCACCACCTCCGCCTCCGCCTGCGTTCTTCTCTGCTCCCTCAGCACCAGCCCCTCCGCCTCCGCCTCCTCCTCCGCCACCACCACCACCACCTCCAGGCAGCAATGCCATTCCAGGCGCACCTCCTCCTCCTCCGCCTCCACCGCCTCCTCGCCCGCCTGGACCTTTCGGCGCCGTCAAGACCGCGTCGACTATGCCACTCAGCGAAGTGCTCGCTGCGAAGGCAGGTCTTCGCAAGAATACCGGCGAGCGGTCACCCTCATCACCCTCGGGGCCAGGTGCTCCCCCGCCGCCTGCCCCGCCCGCGCCCGGCGCACCTCGCTTCAACCCAGCAAAGACGCCTGTCGGTCTCGCGCAGCGAAAGCTCAAGACGTTCCAGTGGGACAAGGTCTCGCCGCACGGTATCTCGTCGACGATCTGGGGTCGCAAGACTGGGGACGCCGACGAAGACGCGCGGGCGATTGCCGAGCGGCTGCGGCAGCAGAGCATCTTCGACGCGATGGAGGAAGAGTTCCGCGCCAAGCAGACGGTCAAGCTGGCGGTCAAGCGCGAGAAGTCGACCTTGACGACCTGCCTCGACTCTCGGCATGCCCAGAACATCGGTGTGTGCCGCAGACACTCGTTTTCAGCTGACTGCTGACCCGTCGTCCGCTCCGCAGAGATTACGGTTCTCAAGCCGGCCGGCAGCGCGACCGACGACGCCTTCACGAAGGTCAAGGCTGCGGCCGGTCGCATCCTCCGCTACGACGAGGGGCTTGGCGAGGCGTTCCTCACGGAACTCGTCGCTTTGCTGCCGAACCCGGATCAGGAGTCGAAGCTCAACATGCACAAGTCGACCCCGCAAGAAGACCTCGACTTCTTGGCGCCCGCAGACCGATTCCTCGTCGAGCTTCTCAAGATCGAGCACTTGCGGCCGCGCTTGAAGGCGATGATCTACCGGGAAAAGTTCCTGGAGAACATCACCCGGCTGGAGGAGGAGGCGGAGAAAGTGTACGCGGCATCGAAGGCCCTCCTCGACGCGCCCCATTTCTCCGAGTTGCTCAAGGTGCGTTCGCTCCATCTCTCGCTGCTCCACCATCCCAACTGACATTTGCGCCGTTGCACAGCTCATTCTCATGCTCGGCAACTTCCTCAACGCGACGAACCACAAGGGTAACGCGCAGGGCTTCAAGGTCAACTCGATTAACAAGCTTGTCGACACCAAGTCGTCGCAGTCGAGCAACCGCACCCTCCTCCACTTCGTTGCCAAGACGGTTACCCAGACGATGCCGAAAACGGAGCTGTTCCTCGAGGAGTTGCACAAACCTGCGGACGCCTTCAAGGGTAAGCAAGACGTGGGACGAGCTTTGCCCGCGCCCGTACTCACACAGTGCCTCTCTACAGCCGACCTGTCGCACGTCCGCGCCGCCCTCATCGACTTTGCAACCCAGCAAGAAAGCCTCGACAACCTCCTCAACACGCACTTTGATGACCTGTCCAGCCTGCACCCGGACGATGGCTTCCCTAAGAAGATGTTCCGCTTCCGTCGTGAAGCCGAAGACCGCCTCGCCGCCCTCAAGGACTCGCTCCGTCTCGCCGACTCGACCTATAACCAGGCGCTGACCTTCTACGGCGAAGACGCGAAGAGCATCGCCAGTACCGACGAGTTTTTCAGCGTCTTCAAGACGTTCGTCTCGTCGTACAAGACGGCGAGGGAGGACAATCGCCGAGCGGAGGAGGCGAGGATCAAGGCGGAGCAGGCGGCGGCTCGCAAGGCTGAGGCGGCAGCTGCCGCGGCGGCGGCGCTTCAGTCAGGCGACTCGCTTGTCGAGGATATGCTCAAGACGCTTCGCGAGCAATCGCTTGACACGCCTCGCGCCGTGCGTCGCGCTGGGCGGAAGAACCTGCTTGCGGGCGGTAGCTCGTCGGGCAAGGAGTCGCCGAGCGCCCTTCTCTTCGACCGCAGCGGCGCGACATCGCCAACGCCTGACGGGCTGGGCTCGAGCGGCGGATCAAGCTCGTCGCGGGTCGACGGCCTGGACGACTTGCTTGCCAGCGGTCAAGAGCTGATGGCTCGCTTGACGGGCGAAGGCGTGCGTTCCTTCCTCTCTAGCGCCTGTATCGTATGTCCAGCACTAAGACGTTATTTGCGCAGTTTGCCACCGCTTCACCCACACCAGCCGCCGCTACCCTCGCAACTCGCCGCGCCCGAACCCGCGACTCTCGCCGGACAACCCGCCAAGACCTACTCTCTCCCATCTCTCCGGATGTCGCATCCCCATCCCTGTCGCCCGACGCCTTGACCCTGCCATCCACCCCGAACAGCGAGAGCGTCGACGAGAAGGACGCCGACAGTCCTGCGACGCCTATCACGCCTACGCCGGCATCTGCCAAGGAGGCGCGGAGGGGCAGTAACGAGACGACGCGAGCGTCGATCAGTGTTCGCGATGAAGACGAGGAAGTCGAGGAGCTGGCGGACGAGGCGGAGGACGAGGTCCCCGAGATCCGTGCAATTGGCTGAGCCTGTACCTATACCCCTTCCCGCACACGCTTTCTGTGTCTGTCACCCCTTCTATCGCTTCGATACCCCTTCCCACCCTGTCCTGTCCATCTCCGTCGCATCCTTGCATCTGGGTATAGTCTCCTCTCGTTCGCTCTCCACCCTCTTCATCTCGCGGTGCAGCAGGTGCCGCGCCTAATGTATCGTCTCTCAAACGCTTTAACTCGCGCTGTGGTAGCGAAGTGGCGCAGCGAGACCAGAGAGAAGCACGACCGAAATCGCTCTTTTTGCGGAAGCGAGAGTGCAAAGGGCAAAGCGAAGGGAAGAGGCACAGAGAGGAGGTGAAAAGACCAATGTTGCTGCTCGGGAAGAAACTATTTGACCAGGCGCGAAAGGTAAAACGAACGAGGGCGTGAGGAACAGATGTCGGTATGAGGGAAAGGGAAGAGCGGAGAGGGGAGAGGGAGGAGGGGTTGCTGGCGGTTTACATGTACTGCGCCAACCAGCGGAAACCTGCGCGTAATGGTTCGAACGTCAACAATAAGCTCAACTAGGTCGAGAACCAAGCCAGTCAACAAGAGCAAGCTAGCGAAACCGAACGCACCCTCTCCGTAGCCCTGGCGCATGACGACCGAGCACATGAAGACCTCGATGGGGCGCATGTCGGTGAGGGGGACCTTGCCCTGCAAGCGGAATGCGACGTCAGTGTCGCGCGTTTGGCACTTCCACAATGTCTCCCGTGCCGCATTCCGCAGCTCGGTGGCACCGTCGGCAAGCTCGAGATGAGCGAGCGGATGACGCACCTTTCCAGTCGTCGCGTGCAAGCCCAACGCGTACCTCAACTCCTCCTCGCTAACCGCACCAGGCGCGTCGATCTTGTTGCCGAGGATGAGGAAGGGGACCTTTGCGAGCTCTTCGATGGCGAGGAGCGCATCGAGCTCGGCCTTGGACTCGTGGAAGCGCTCCGTGTCCTGCGAGTCGACGAGGAAGACGATGCCGTCGACTTCGGGGAAGTAGTCCTTCCAGAGGCGGCGGGCTGCACGCGAATACTTGTTAGCCGTCGTGCAATCTGGCGAGATTGCCTTCACGGCAGAGAACAGGACGCACCCTGCTGGTGACCGCCCAAGTCGTAGGTCGTGAACTTTACACTCCCGATCGCCAACTCCTCAGACGCTGCGAGTCATTGGCGACAAATGTCAGCACTGTAATTTGTCGGCAGGGGAGATACGCCAGTGACAGCTCGGCGAGACTCACTCGGATGCAAAGTGGGCTGGAGAGTCGCCAAGCGGTCGTTCTTCAGCATGTGGAGGAGGGTCTGCGGGCGCAATCTCAACACGTCAGCATGCTCTGCCAAACCATTGCAACTTTGACGAGCAGGAAACGCAGAAGCTGTCACTTCGGCAACTTCGGCTGAACCCCGCTCGAGATGCGCGGCCGGAAGAACAAGTGCCCCGCCGCCGTACTGAACGAAGACTGAAGCTGAACGCACCGTCTTGCCTGCGTTGTCGAGACCGAGGAACAAGATCTTCGCGTTCTTGTTCACCAAGCCTGTGGAGATGGGCGAGGAGGGCGAGGTCAGCCCAAGACTCGTTTGCGCGAGAATGACAGGAAGTGACGCACCGAACGACGCCAACAAGTCGAACGCCCACGAGAAGAGACCGCTAAACCAGGACCTGCGACGGAGACGAGTTGAGCGTGAGCGGGGCCCTCGATCGTTCGAGGAAGAGGCCGACGCACGACATGATGAAGTTGCGGAGGTCGTGCGAGCTGTAGAATGCGTAGAAGTGATCAGTACAGCGCTCTGCGAGTCGAAGGGAGCGTGTTGGGGGTCCCGAGACGGAAGCCGGCAATGGTGAGAGGAAGCGGGAGATGGGCGAAGTCGCGTCCAGCTGCGCCGCTCAGGGCTTCTACCGCTCCAGACATCCTTTACATGTCCCGCTACCCTCCGAACGGCCAGTCCTACGTCGTGTAGGGGCGGAGAAACGGTGATCTGGGTCGGGGATGCGCAGGGTACACGAGGCGGCGACAGGCCACCAGGCGGGCTGGCAGCGCTTCCGGCGCGTATGAACGTTCCTCCAAGTCCTTCTATCGTCCAGGAACCTTCTACAGGCCGTTGTCGCTGCTGTCAAGTGTCTCGAGATGGTTGGCGGCGACGAGCTCGCTGGCGAGGGTACGTGGCGATGCGGGACCGGTTCGAGCGTGTGCAGAGGATACTCACGCGTGTTAGGAAGAGTGCTCTGCGCGAGTCTGCAGCTGTGCGAGTGCGAGGCGGAGACCAAGTCGCGGACTGACGAGCGACGACGAGAGGGTCCTCCTTGAACCGCACACACCCACAGACTCGCTGGACTGATCTCTCAGAGCTATAGTGCACTCTCCCTGGGACTGTCACACTCAGTCGACCCCGCTTGAACGAGCTGCCGCCGTCTCCTCGTCCTTTCGCACGCCCCTCGCCATCACCAACCCTCTCCCCGTCGACGACGCCGCAGAACAAGGCTAAGCGATGTCTGGAAAGGGCGCACGGGAGAATGTCTGTGAGTTCACGCTGTTCTCTTCTTCCGCTGTTCCTTCGTCCTCGCGCTCCTCCCCCACCTCCTCCCGATCTTGCGTCGACCACGACGGACGCTGGGACAGCTTGTGGAGCTTGGGGCAGGACGAGGACGACCAGATAAGCTGTGAGGGCCGACGACGATCTGGAGCGAGACGCTGCACCGCCTTGTCCGCCTGTCGTTCTCGATACGGTTCCGCCAACCTCTCAAGAGTCTCTGCAGTCGCCCGCTCTCATGCTGACTATTCATGACTCCTGCAGTCCCGACGCGGATGAACCTGACTGTCACCAAGACGCGACTGAAGGGCGCCCAGACTGGACACAGCTTGCTGAAGAAGAAGGCAGATGCGTTGGGCAAGGTGCGTTGGTATTCACTCTGCCCGGGATACTGGCCGGCGAATGCCTCACGCTATGTTGACGCGCATACGCACTGTCGATGAGCATCACTAACGCTACGGACTTCTTCGCTCGCAGCGATTCCGCGCCATCCTCGCCAAGATCTCCGAAGCCAAGCTCAAGATGGGCCGAGTAATGCAACTCGCCGCCTTCTCGCTCGCCGAAGTGACCTACGCGACAGGCGACATCGGGTACATGATCCAGGAGTCGGTCACCGAGGCGAGTTTCCGTGTCCAGGCCAAGCAGGAGAACGTCTCGGGGACGATCTTGCCGGCGTTTGAAATGGTGCGGTCGGGTGGTGGAGAGGGTGGAAGTGCACAAGGACAGAACGGAGGTGCGCTCGGAGCGAGGTCCTCCCACACTCGCATCCGCTGACTGTGCCGTGTGCAGGTTTCGGCTTGACTGGTCTCGGACGAGGAGGACAGCAAATCCAGCGCTGTCGCGAGACCTTCTCCAAAGCAGTCGAGACGCTCGTCGAGCTCGCTTCCCTCCAGGTTCGTCCCGCCCTTCTCCCCTCGTGAGAGATTTTAGTTGACATGCTTGATCCTTCGCAGACCGCCTTTGTCATCCTCGACGACGTTATCAAGATGACGAACCGGCGTGTAAACGCTCTCGAGCACGTCATGATCCCTCGCCTCGAGAACACCATCTCGTACATCAACTCGGAGTGCGTTTCACCCTCCCTCCCTTCTCCTCCCTCGCTGACGGACGTGTGACGGACTAGGCTCGACGAGATGGACCGCGAAGAGTTCTTCCGCCTGAAAAAGATCCAGTCGAAGAAGAAGCGCGATAATGCGGTCAAGGAGGAGGCGGAGACGGCTGCGCGGGTCGAGCGCGAGGCGAGAGAGGATGCGGAGGCATCGCAGACGGGGTATGGAGCCGGAGCGGGCGCGGGAAATACGAATGCCGGGACGTCGGGCGAGAAGAATTTGTTGGCCGACAAGGACGAGGATGGTGAGTCGTCGCCGTTCTCTCGGTCGCAGCGCGGGAAGCTGACCATTTGCGCACGGCAGTCATCTTCTGAGCTATCTCTCCTGCTGTATCACTCATGCTGCCTTCGCAACGCGTCTCTTTTCTCAGAATCCCGTTCGAGCCTTCGAGATTGGTTTTTGCAAGCACGCCCGGAGACGGGTGCCTAGAGAAGGGGAGGGATGATGGTAGCACACAAAAGCGGGAGAGACGATAGATCGGTACACAAGGAGGGTTCAACTAGGTATGCGAGAAGCGAGGCGGGCGAGAGCAAGGCGATCAGGCGTTCACTGCGCGCGAAAGTCCTGGGGTCAGCCAAAGCGTAGAGAGGAGGGCACGTTCGGAACGCACTGTAGGTCGACGGCTCGATGGTCTCGGGCAACTCGGTGATGGCGACCTCGAACCTGCTCTGGATGCTCTTGAGGACCTCCTCGTTCTCGTCATTCGCAACAAACGTGATGGCGAGACCCTTGGTACCGAAGCGACCCGCACGTCCGACACGGTGGAGGTACGAGTCGGCGTCGGTCGGGGTGTCGTAGTTGATGACGATGTTGACGCGCTCGACGTCGATACCGCGACCGAAGATGTCGGTCGCGACGAGGACGCGCTTCTCGAACGCCTTGAACTGCTGGTAGCGGCGGATACGCTCCTCCTGGTTCAGGCCAGAGTGGATCGCGATCGACGGGAAGTTGCACTCGCGCAGGAGGCGGTCGAGCTCGATCGCGCGCGAAACCGACTTGACGAAGATGCAGACCTGCGCAGCGAGTCTCGCCCGTCAACGTCGTTTCCACAAGCAAGGCTTCAGTCGAACGCACCTGGTTGAACTCGAGCGAGTCGAGGAGGTCGTTGAGCTTGCGGTTCTTGGCCGACTCCTCGAGGCGGACAAAGTGTTGTTGCAAGCCGTGGAGAGTGAGCTTCTTCTCGTCATCGACGTAGATCTCAAGCGGCTGCACATACGTTCGGATCCGATCAGCTCGGAGAATAAAGAGAAGGCGGGAAACGCACAGTCTGCATGAACTTCTTGCACGTCGCGCGGATCTCCTTGGCGAGCGTGGCGGAGAACATCATGACCTGCTTGTGGTGCGGCGTCGCCTTAAAGATCTCCTGGATGTCGCGGCGCATGTCTGTTCGTCGTGTCGGGCGAGATGAGGCGAGGCGAGTTGAGGCGAAGAGGCAGACGGGCGAGGCGAAGTTGAGACGATGAGTCGGGTAATGAGGGTCGAGTGGGTCGAGGAGAGCGCGAGTAAGTGGTCGGGAGAGGGAAAGAAGAAAGAAGAAAGCAAGGTAAGCGTTCCGGTCTTGCAACTCGTCGACGGGGCTGTTATCCTCCTTCAGGACGACGGTCGCCCTCGCCTGTCGCGCGCAAGATGGCCAACCGCAAGAAGACGCGATACAGTCGAACGGCGGACAGGCGTCAAAGGTGGAATCGACGGCGGCGGAAGGCGAGATTAACGTCGTCGGTCCGTCGCCTGCGACAGGGACCGAAACAGGCGAGGCATCGTTGGGCCTCATCGAACGCATCTTGTCCTTGGCGAGGCGAGGCGTCAGAAATGGTCGGATCGAATGCTTGAGCCGTGTCGCGTCGAGCGAGGCGGATCGTGCGAAGAGAAGTCCGGATTGGCGATCATGCGATCGAGTCGAATTATACAGATACCTTGCGTGGAATGCATGGGCGGCAGGCGACGAAGCTAGAGAGAAAGAGAGACAAGTCGTGGTCGATGTCGAGCCTTGATGCCTCCGCTAGAGGTCTTCATTGGGCTGACGCGCGACGTTCGGTGCGCGCATCCGCTTGAGAGGCGTCGAACGCGCCTTTGCGTGTCCATGGCACGCGCGACAGACGAGGGTAGGTCCCGAGTATTGGGGCGACCGTGTCGAGGCAGAGTAGGAGACCTTGTGGACAGTCGAAGAGATAGCGAGGAGGGGTCGCAAAGCGAGACTAACCGAGGGACTCGAGCATCTTGTCGCACTCGTCGAGGACAAAGTGTCGGACCGAACCGGCCTTGAGGCTCTTGTCGCGGACGAGGGCGTTGAGGCGACCGGGCGTGCCGACGACGATGTGCGGGCACTTCTCCTTGTTCTTGAGCAAGTCCTGGTCGACCTTGACGCTCGTGCCGCCGTAGAAGACACCCGTGCGGACGTCCGGCATGTACTTGCTGAACCGCGCGTACTCGTTCTTGATCTGGAACGCGAGCTCGCGAGTGTGGCACAGGACGATGACCGAAACCTCGCCGTCAACCGGCTCGATCTGCTGGAGCGTCGCAGTCACAAACACAGCCGTCTTGCCTGTGAGCAATGCTCGCAATCGTCAGCCTCGTGCACGGCGACTCGCAGCTCGAAAGGCAGGACAAGGGCCGCCCGACTCACCCATTCCCGACTTGGCCTGGCAGAGGACGTCCATTCCAAGGATAGCCTGGGGAATGCACTCCTGCTGGACTGCGCACGGTGCAAGCATCCCATGTCAGCTCGCGCGTTTCTAGCGGACCACAACAAAGGGGGCGACTCACCCTCAGAGGGGTGCTCGAAACCGAGGTCCGAGATGGCGCGCAAGAGTTCGGGCTTGAGGAGGAAGTCACGGAAGCCAGTCGAGTGCACACCGACGTACGAGCCCTTGCCCTGCTTGTCGTCTGCGCCCGCACCGGCAGCAGCGTCGTCGCCGTTGGCACCACCAGCGGCGGCGGCGGGCGCGGCGACCGAGGGCTCGATGACGTCCTCCTCGTAGTCTGTGGGTGTCTGTGGGTCAGCTTGCGTGCACAGCAAGGGCGCGGAGCGGGCGTACCGATGAGGTCTTCAGTGGGAAGGGTGGAGGCCCTGTGCAACGACGGGGACAAGCGTGGTGAGCGCGGCGCGTGTGTGAGAGTGCTCTGGCGGTGCTCACATGGCTGCTGTGTGTCTGGATGCGGTGCGGAGGTGAGTGGGTGAGTAGGGACGAGAGGAGGCAGCTAATCCAGTGCAATACAACACGCAAATACAAACTCGGTTGTATTGTTTCAGAATACAAATCGATGTAATGTCGAGTTGTATTCCACTGATTACACTCGCTCTCGCTCTCGCTCTCTCACTCCTCACCGCTTCTTTCGAAGAGATGCTCGTTCCGAAGTGCTGCTGAGACTGCCGAGCTTTCATCCGACGCACTACCGCTTCCCGCTCGTCGCGCCAGCCAACTCTCGCTCTCCTCCCCTCCTCATCGCAACTCACCCTCGAACTCGCCCTCTCCCGCTCCGTAGACCAGCATGCCCCGCGCAACCCGCTCGACACCCGCGAACCGCTCTCCCACTCGTGCCGCACCCGCCCAACAGCCACCAGAAGCCCCCTCCTCGTCCTCCAACTCTCCCAAGAAGCGTGCGCGTCCCGACGCTTCCCTCGACATGCCTGACGCGCTCGAGGCGATGGAGCACAGGGATAGCGAGGGAAGGGTTGCGAGTGCGCCGAGGAAGACGCGTAGGACGGGCAAGGCGAAGGAGGGGAGCGAGTCGAATGTCGAGCAGTCAGGTGGGGGAGAGTCGGGCAAAGCTGCGACGGGGGAGAACGGGTCTCCCTTGCACGAGACTCGCTCGAGCGCAGCTATGGTGACCGACGACGAGCCAGCCGTGCCTGGCGGAGACGCCTCGCAAGCGTCTAGCTCGACTCTCGAGCAGGCGCATGATGGTCAAGTCATCTTCGACGGTTCGGGCATGTCAGCGGAGCAGCGGAGAAAGGCGAAGGGCAAGGGGAAGGCTGTCGAGCAGGAGGAGGTCAAGATGGAGGACGCAGGCGAGGACGACGAGTTGACGAGGTTGAGGAAAGAGCTGGCGGTCAGCAAGGAAGTGCGTCCGTGCGGTCTACCCTTCATGTCCCTGTACTTGGTTTGCTGATCTTCGCGGGTCAATGTACTGCTTCGGCTGCAGCTCATGGCACAGCAACAAGCCGCTCTCGCGTCCGTCCACTCCGCCATCGCCTGCGCAATCTGCACCGAGCCTCTTGACCGCCCGTACTCGCTGCAGTGCGGCCACGTCTTGTGCGTCCGGTGGAACACCGCTCTCGTCAGATCACTGCCACAGAAATCGAATGTGAAGGCTGACTGGCAGCGGATCCTTGATGATCCACAGCTGTCGCAAATGCCTCGTCACCTGGTTCTTCCGTGCCGATCCCGATGAAGAAGACCGCCAAAATGCAGCCGCTGAACAAGCTACCGGCTCCTCCTCCTCCTCGTCTTCCTCGTCGGACGAAGACGACGCCTCATCCTCCTCCGGCTCGATCCACTCACACATGGGCGGCCACATCAACGGCCGAGCATTCAACATTACCAATCTTGGCGACGACGACGAGCGCAAGCAGCGGATCTTTGACGCGACAAACGAGGCGTTGCTCAAGTACGGGTTCGACTTGCCGCCTGATGTGGTGAGGAGGTCGTTGGCTGGCGGTCGTCGAGCTGCCGACGACGAATCGGATGGAGGGAGGATCGTCGAGCTTGAGGAGGACGGGAAGGAGAAGGACGAGGGAGAGGAGGAGAAGCAGCTCACGCGCGACGAGCTGAGGCAGAAGCGGCTCGCTGCGTTGGCTCGCTTCGGGCTCAAGGTCGGTGGTGCAGGGGATCCAGCGGCTTTGACGAGTAGCGGCAGGTTCGAGGAGGTCAAGGATGAGGAGAAGGGCGATGAGCAGCCTGTTGCAGGACCGTCGACCGCTCGACCCGCTGCGGCCACGACGAACGCCTCCGCATCGACCAGCGCCCCTCGCCGTCCCGAAACAGCGTCAGCCGGTGCCCCTCCCGCCCCGCCCAAATCGCCTCTCAAGCCCCGCCCGCCCCCTCCTCCCGTCCCTGTCGGCGCCCACCGCGCCAAGAACCTCGTCTGCCCATCCTGCCGCGCCATCTGCTCCGAGCACTCCCCCAACCGCGTCTTCGTCCTCGACGAGATCGTCACCTCGATTCGGCGGTCGAACGTCGACGAGTCTGGTGCGGTCGGATCGAGTGCGGGTGCGTGGCGTGCGAGGACGGAGACGGCGGAGGACGGATGGCCGGCCATGGACGAGGCGGACGAGTCGTGGGGTGGGTTGTTCCCCGGACCTGGTGGGAAGGAAAGTGCGAGCGATAGGCGGAGGAGGCTCGCGCAGATCGTGAGGGACCGGGATGACGGAGTTAGACGATGTGGAGAATGCAACTGGGAGCTCGACGAGCGGACTGGAATCTGCGAGGGTTGGTGCGTAGCGACTCCTCCTCTCGCTCCTCCCGTATTCGGGACTGACTTTGAGTCTACTCTCTCCATAGCGGCCGTCGATGGGACATCTCGGACGACGACTCGGACGACACGGACGACACGGACGACTCGACTGACGACCACACATTCGGCGGCCTACTCGGCTTTGGTCGCCATCGTCTCGGACGCCAGCACCACGACGTGGAGCTTTCTGGGTCGGATGACGACTCGGACGATGGCTCTCAGCCAGCTCGAGCGGCGCTCTACGACTCTCAGGAGTCGTACGAGAGCGACTTTGTCGTCAAGTCGGACGAGGAGGAAGAGCAGGAGCGGGAGCGGACCGAAGCTCGCCTTCGCCGTCGTCGCGAGGCAGTCAGGCGCCGCCAACGTCGTCTCGAGGCTTCGGACTCGGAGTCAAGGGGATCTGGGTCGTCTGGATCCTCGTCGGCGTCCAAGTCTGGCTCGGACTTGTCGGAGGAAGACAACGACACCGATGACGAGCGTGATGCACGTCGTCGCCGCCGTGCTCGCCGCCAGCAAGGCGAGCGTATCGACCTCGGTTCCGACACCGATTCGGACGAGGATGGATCGCAAGGCTCGTCGAACGGGAGCGGAGATGCGTCGAGTGGATCGGGATCGGACAGTGGGGGCGGCAGCGAGCGAGGTGGTGGACGCGGCTTCCTCGACGACGAGGCGAGCGTCAAGAGGAGCAAGAAGAAGCGCATCATCATCGACTCGGACTCGGAGGACGACGAGTAGAACCTCCTCGTTCCCTCTTCTCTCGCTTCGCGTCTCTCTGCTTGTTGAGTGCAATCCAGCAGAATAGCATATCGTTACAAGACCTACGACACCCTCCTTCCTCCTCACTTCCTCCGCCGCGCGACAGCCGTCACAGCAGCTACCGCAATCGCCGCTCCCGCCGCACTTCCCAGCGTCGCCAGCGCACTCAACTTGCCCGGACTCATGGTCATCATGTCGCTCGGTCCGCCGTAGCCTTTTCCTGCTCCGCTACCGCTGCTGCTGCTGAAGGGCGAGTACCACCGTCGTGTGGGAGTTGCTGCGACGCCGGATGAGGAGGCGGGCGCGGAGGGTGAAGAGACGAGGGTTTCGAGAGCGGCGAGGCGGGAGGTGAGGGAGCGAAGCTGGGAAAGGAGGGAGTGGAGGTCGCGAGAAGCGGAAGGCGAGAGGCGGGTTGCGTCGGGAGCAGACGAGTCCTCGTCGTCGCTCTCGTCTTCGTAATCGGATTCCTCCTCCTCCTCCTCTTCAGCCTCTTCGCCGCCTGCCTCGCCATTCGCATGCCCGTTCGCGGTAGGCGGCGCCTTCTTGCCGAGCGTCGGAGGTGGGAAGTCGCTCGTAAATTCGGTCACGTCCGCTGCAGCTGCGCCGAGCTTGGCGAGCGACTTGGGCAGCATCGTCTGCGTGATTGTTCGGAGGACGCTGTTCGGGACCCAGGCTGCGAGACGAGCATAGTCAGCTCGCGGTCGAGGGGAAAAGAGGAACGGAAACGCACAGCCAAGCCCGGACAAGTCGGTGATCTGGACGATCTTGCTACCCTTGCCGACCTCCTCGATGAAGAAGCCCGAGATGCTGAGCGTCATGCGGTTGTACTGCGGAGTAGGCGGGACCTTGGGGTGGTCGACGGAGGTCGACGCGGCGAAGATGCGCAGTTTTTCGGCGGTAGGCTGGCCATCTTCCATGTCGTCTTCGGGCGTAGGCAGCTTGCCGGCCACGGACAGGAGGACAAGGTCCTTAGCCTTGATCATCGCCATCCCCTTCATCTGCATCGTTCTGAGCGAGAGCGATGGCATTGTCAGTCTCGCTCTAGCGGTGCGCCTGCGCCAGATGAGGAGGAAACTCACAGGGCATTGCCCTTCCTGCCGTCCACCTCGAACCGCTCGATCTCGCTCGCGCCAGAACACATCCCGTCCCACACCGGTCGTTTGCCGATATCCTGCAAGACCTGGAACAAGTTGCGGATGGGCACGTCGGGAAACGTTGCGCAGATGCCGAAGAGGGAGGAAAGCGTCGGGTGCTGGAGGACCTCGACGTTATCGCCCGAGAACGTCTTCTTCCAGTCGGACAGCGGGGCGGAGGAGATTGATGTTGTGGGCTTGACGGGGACGTAGGAGAGGAAGGCGGGCTCGGTGATGTGAAGGAAGTTGGCGACAGTCTCGTCGAGCTTCTCGGCAGCGAAGGGAGCGGGAGGGGCGGCCGCAACCTTCCTCTTGACCCGCCGCCTCGACTTCTGCTTCTCCTTAACGTCGACGCCGTTCCCTACACGCGCCTCCTCCTGGACAGCGGGCTGAACAACCGGTGCCGGTGCCGGTGAGGCGGTCTTGCGGCGCAGTCGAGTTGGGATGAGGTCGAGTCCAGCTCGCAGGACGAGCAGCAGAACGACCTGGAAAAGGCCGACGTGCAGGGTATCGAGGCCAAGGCGGGCTGCAAGGCAAGCTGTCAGTCCCACAAGTATCGAGGCGAGAGGAGGATAAAACGCACTTCGGCTCTGCACGATGAACCAGAGGGGCGAGAGGGAGAGCAGGAGGGAGAGAATCGACTTGTTCGTGTCTTGGACCGCCACCGCTTGCTGTGTCGTCGCCATGGCTTGTCGAGCGAGATGGCGTGAAGTGGGGATGAGAACGGGCGAGCGTGAGATCGTGGGACTTGTTGGAGCGTGTAGCGGGTGTCGATGAGCGTGCAGTCGCTGTCAGTGCAGCTCAACGCAAGCAGGCAGTCGAAAAGAGCGAGTCGTCGAGGAGAAAGAAGTGAGACGGCGACTTTTGTTTCGCTCGCCGGCGACGAAGGCGATGGTGAACACACTGCGCTGCGAATTGCAAAGGTATAAATGCGAGAGAAGGCACTAGCAAGTACAACAGCCGTAACGGAGAAAATCTATCGAGGGAGAAACGGGCAACATCGCCAACGTCGTCCTCCTCACGGGCAAACCTGCCTGCACGTCTACCGCTCCGTCGTCGAGTCGAAGAACTGGCGCAGCAGCTGAGAGAGCGTGTCGGGCAGTCCGTCAATGTCGCGGACGACCGTCCAGTACTCGAAGGGGAACTGCGGCGGGAGCAGAGGTCAGCCTGGGCTCCCTCTACAACGTGCACGGGACAGCCCAACTCACCGTGTCGAGATACCGCTCCATCTTGAGCTCGAGGCGACCGTGCGCGCCGACCTCGTACCGAACCGACTTCATGTGCAGAATCGAGTTCTGGTTCGGGTCGGCGGCGGACGGAGTCGACGGAGTGGACGAGGCGGCGGTTCCTTCGGCGACTTGGCGGTGGAGCGAGTCGAGGACGACAAAGACAAACTGAACCTTCTGCTCGGTAGCCTTGCGAAGAAGGGAGCGGAGCCGTTCGTGGTCTTGGCAGATACTGCAGAGAGAGGACAGAGGTCAGCAACCGTTTGCTCGACACGCTGAAGGAACGTCGAACGCACCCATCGGATATGATGATGTTGAGCTGCCAGAGGTCGCCAGCCGAGAGCGACGACTTGCCAGAGCGAGCCGAGTCTTTCGCCTGAGCGAGGTGCGCAAGCGAGCGCTCGACGAGTTGTGCGACGTCCGTCGACCGTTGCTGGAACGTAAACTTGCCGAGGACGTTCGCGCCGGCTTCGTCGCTGACGACGCCTGCCTCGAATGGGTGCAGGACCTCCATCGACTCGCCAAAGCGGGAAATCGAGACTTGGCCGACTTCGAGGCGGGTGAGGGCGCGAGAGATGAGAGCGAGCGATTGGAACGCGAGGTGGACTGAGTGCGAGTCGGCCATCGACTTGGAGTCGTCGATGGCGATCGTCACTTGGTACTCGCGCTGGCTGGGACGACTGCGGCGAAGCCAGATCTTGTCCTTGGTGAACTCTGACGCGATGTAAGGGATGATCTTCTTCATGTTGAGCCGCTTGCCGGACCGATAATCGCCCTTGAGGCGAGTCGCCAGCGTCGGTTCGAGGATGAGGCGGAGTTGCTCGGTCAAGGCGAAGGACAGATCGCGGGTGAGCGACTCGTACAGGCGCCAGACGCCTTCCGCCGTCATGTTCGCGTCGTCGCCGGAGCGCCACTGGATCATGGCTTGCTCGACGGCGGCGTCTTGCTCCGGGGCGATGGGCGGGGCGAAGGTAGTTGATGGGTGTTCGCCGTCTTCCGCCCTCACCTCGTCGTCCATCTCGCGGTCCTCCTCGACGGCCTGCTGCTCCGAACGGAACTCGGAAGCAGGAACAGCCTTGGCGTCCGACTCGGCGAGCGAAGAGCCCTTGAGCTGAACCGACGTCGACTGCTGCTGCGGTTGCTGGACCGGCTCGTCGACCGCCATGTCGTCTTCAGGGAAGGCGTCTTGCGGAGCGACTTCGTCGCCGATGTGGAGCTGCTCGAGCTTCTTGACCTGCTCTTCGCTGGCGGGACCGAGAGCTTGCTCGTCCGCCTCCTGCTCATCTCCTTCCTGGACGTACTCGACGGCGCCTTCCTGCTGAGGGTCAGGCGCAGCGGCAGAGTCCTGCTCTTCGGGCTGAGCGAGGTCGCCAATGGCTTCGAGCCGTCGACGCCAGTTCTGGAGGGAATCGCCCAGGCTGCGTTGCTGCTCGGGCGGCGACGGATCTTGCGATCCTTGCGGCTGCGCCGATGGGTCTGCAGAGGGGTCTGCTGCGGCGCGCTGCTTGGAAGGACCGGTGCCGGTGGCGGAGGCAGCAGTCGGAGGGGCGGCTTCTGCATCGTCCTCCATGGCAGTCTCGCCCTCATCGCCGCCGTCCTGGTCGGCCGCGGGCTCCGTCGACGCTTGGGGAAGGCTCTGAGCACCCGACTGTCGCGAGTTGTCCGCCGAAGTCGGTACGTCCTCCTTTGTGGCAGAAGCGTCCTGCTCACCCTCGCCGCCGGTCTCGCCTTGGTCGGCGCCACCGAGCGACTGGTCGACGGCTTCGGCGTCGACCTTGGCGTCGTCTTCCTGGTCAGGCTGCGGTTGTGTCTCGGGGTTGGCCGCGAGCGGGTCTTCGTCCTGCTCCGCATCCTCGTCCTTCGCGTCGCCAAGCTCTTCCAGCTCGTTCGGCCGCTCGTCGTTCTCGCCTTCGCCTCCTTCTGCGAGACGGACAGAGAAACGTGAGAAGATGCGGCGGGAGAGGACGGCGAGAAGGAAAGAACGCACCTTCGGCCATGTTGTCCATCTCGTCGGGAAGATCAAGGTCGTCCTCGCCGTCTCCAGCGTCCTGGTCCTTCTCCTCGCCGTCCAGATTCATGTCGTCTGGCAGGTCGAGGTTGTCGGCTTCGGGCATCTGGTTGTCGAGACGCTCGCCGGTCTCCTGGTCCGCCTGCTCGCCTTCGTCGCCTTGCGCATCGTCTTCCATACCGTCCTGCTCTTCGCCTTCCGCACCGTCTGGCTGCTGCTCTTCGCCCTGCTGCTGCTTCGCTTCGTCCTTCTTTTCCTCCTCCGCACCTGCTTCTTCCGCTTCCTCGCCCTGTGGCTTGGGCGCGGCCGCCTGCTCCTCCTCCTTCGCCCCCATCTCGGCTTCTCCAGCCGACTTGCTCGTCTCCTGATTGACCTCGTCCGTCTTCCCGTCCCTGTTCTCGGACGGCGGCTCCTCGTCGCCCCAGAACTTCTCGTCAACTGACGATGGGTCGAGCGGGTCGACATCGGCCACCTGTTCCTCCGGCTCCGCCTCGTCCTCCTCATCCTCATCCTCCTCGTCACCGGACTCTTTGGCGCCGTCGCCACGGTCTTCGAGGTCGCCCTCGAAGTCCTGATTCATCTCGACGGCATCGTCATCGCCGTCCTCCGGATTCTGCTCGTCCTCGCGCTTGTCCTGCGGGACATCGTTCTGCAAACCCTCGACCTGCGACTCGTCCTCGATCTCGTTCGAGACGTTCTTTTCGCCCGTCCCCTCAGCAAGTCCCGTACCCTCCGTCGTCTTGCCATCGGCTTGGTCGGCGTCGGCGCCGCTCTGGCCATCGCCTTCGGGCGGTCGGCAGAAGCCTTCCGACGCAATGTCGCTGAGAATGGAACACACGACGTGATTGAGCTTGAGCGATGCGTAGTGCCACTCGGAGAGCGAGGCGACTTGACGGGTGACGAGGTTGCCGTAGATGCGGATGAAGGGCGCAACGCGAGACGCGAGGGTCTGCACCGGCTCAAGCTGTATCGCCAACGATGGGTCAGCGGTAGTTCGAATCAGTTGCGAAAGGCGGCTCACGTCTGAAGCCTGGTGGAGACAGTCGTGAGTTTGACGAGCGAAAGCTTCGATCCTCGCCGTCACCTCGTCGAGCCGGAGCGTCGATAGCAGCGTCTTGTACGTGATGTTCGCCGCCTTGACGCCGCCGTCTGCCAACTGCTCGTCCTCGACAACCTTGACGTCCTCGTCGGCAACGGCCTTGAGCTTCTGGGCGACGATCAGGACCGAGTTGATGAGGTCGTCATGCGCGGCCTTGAGGGCTCGAAGCTCGGCCGCCTTGATCGCTTCGGGTGACTTGTCGGCCTCAACGCCGGAGACCTCGAGGGAGGAAAGGTAGGCGACGAGAGGGCTGAGGATGTAGCGAAGCGACGGAGGCTGGGGCATCGCCGCAAACGCCTGCACGGTCTGCTCCAGGTGCGTCTGCGCTGTCTTGCACGTCTTGAGCGCGCCAGATGAGAGGAGGATTGGGTCGAAACCTCCCATGGTGGTCTCGAGATGTCGGAGAGCGTCGCGGTCGCGGTTGATGTCGGCAAGTGCCGCTTCGATGGCGCTCGACGGCGCCGAAGTTTCGTGTGCCGAGTCGATGGTAGCCGTGCGGAAGTCGCCAAGAGCGTCTCGTGCTTCGGATAGGGCTGCCGCGGCCTTCGACGTCGTGGCCAGCAACTCATGTATGAGCTGGCTGGCGGAAGAGGACGGCTGCGGAACGAGCGGGGTCTCAAGGCTACTTGAGACGGCCTTGAGGCGAACTTGTGCTCGGATGGCTTCGAGGAGAAGGGCGCGTTGGTCGTGGGCAGCAGCAATGCCGCTTTGGATATGACCGAGTGCCCGCTGAACGTCAGCAGTGCGGACGTCGGCGTGATGCGATGCCGGGAAAGCCTTGAGGTGCGGCAGCTGTGCAAGTTGCCGAACATGGTACGCGTCCGCCTTCAGTACAACGGCGCGCGAGTCGGCACCGAGCGCCTCGTCGTCGAGTGCGAGGACAGGATGCGACGGCTGGAGGCTGTAGACCGTGCCGGCGTCTTCGAGTCGTGCAAGCGTCTTCGGTGACGGCGACGGTGAGATGCCGATGCGCTTGAGCTCGTTAAGAAGGTCGCGCCAAGCGCGCCGCTTGCGCTCGATGAGGTTCTTGACGCGTTGCTGACGTCCTTCTTCGGGTCCGAGAGGTTCGTCGCGCAGGGCCTTTGCCGTCTCGATGATCTCGCTGACGAGAGCGGACACGGCGGAACCGTGCGCCGCGCCAACGAAACGGTCAAGACTCGTCGACGACATCTTTGCCAATCGAGAGATGGTCTGGTCGAGCTTGGCGAGGTGAGCGGGCTCGTCTGGCTGAGCGAGAACGCCGGTAAGGTCGGGGACCGAGGCGAGACCGGCGATGTCGAGCGGGATGAGAGATGAGGTGCTGTCGACGTGCGTTGTGAGCGACACACATGAGGCAGTGCGAATAGAATGCGGGACTGATGATGCGCTCGTGACCTTATCGACGTCGGCGGCCTCGAAGAGGTCGCTTGCCGGCTTCTGCAGCACCGTCCGCAACTTACGCACACACTTGTACAGTTGGTGGTGGCTGCGAACAGCGCTAGCGCGCAGCGCGACGACGTTGATGTCCTTCCAGCTCGCGAGCTTGACGACGTTCTGGACCTCCTTGTCGATCTTGGCTCGCTCCGTCACGAGGTGAGCTGAGATGCGGGCGGCGTATTGGCTGTAGAAGGCGTGGACGTTGTAGAGCAAGTCGGAGACACGGGCGAGAGACTTTGCACCGCTGCCAAGTTCCTGCCGGCGGTGAGAGAATCGTCAGCTGGATCAGAGACGAAGGAGAGGGGCATGGGCGCACGGTCTCGGCGTCGGACCGACTAGCGAGCGACGCGGCGTAGTTGGCGAACCCGAGCAGCAGCTCGAGACGAGCACCATACTGACCGACCGAGCACGAGTTGAAGAACGAGTCGAGGAGCTGGACGAGCTCGCGATAGTACGCCTGAGACGCCTCATCCGTCTGCTCCCCCGAATCATCGACGCCAGGTGCGCCGCGAATAGCGGTCTCGTAGAATCGGAACCACCATTCGGCGACCGACTCGCTGAACTTGGCTTCAACGGTCGATAAGAGTCGCGACCAGCAGGTGAGTTCGTGCCGCCGCCAGGTGACGATGAGGTCGGTGAGGGCCGTGCGGTCAGCGCTGATGGAGTGTGCGCGGTCGGCGAACTTCTCCCAGTCCTCCGTCTGCAGGAGGAGCTGTTCGAGGTTCGTGAGGAGAAGGGCGATGGGCGCCTCGGACGTGAGCTTTAGGATCGCCTGGCAGCGCTCGCGGAGGCTCTGCAACACCATCTGTTCTGGGAACTCCGCGACGAGCGTGTCGAGTCGCTCGATGAAGGCGAGAAGAACCGGGACGGCCTTGGTCGTTTCGCGAACATCCGGCTCGCTGTAGAAGTCGTGGTGCGGCGCTTCGACTGCTTCGCGAGGCCGGGCAGCTTGGCTGAGCGCGACAAGATTGCGTACTCGATATGCTGTACTGTCGACGTCGAGGTCGTCGCCGAGAGTTGCGTAAAGCCGAGGAAGAAGGGTGTCGACGCCGGACGAACGCAAGCGTTCGAATGCCGAAGTCGCCGTCGCAAGTGTCCCGTCGAGCTGTTCGGCGAAGATGGCAGCGTGAAGCTTGGCGAGCAGCACGTGGTCGGCGGGTTGGACGAGGCGGGAGACGTGCTTGCTCGGCTTGGAATGCGAATCGCTGCCCTCGACGTCGTACGTCGGGAAGAGTTCGGCGAACTCGGCCGCCTCGATCTCCTCGTCTGTTTGCGCCTGCTGGACGTCGACTTTGGCCTTGTAGAGCGAGTTGGCTGCTTCCGCCGTCTCCTCCTCGCGACGTCGGTCGGTAGCCCAGAGGAAATGCAGGCGCTCGTACAGCTGTGTGAGGCGTACGATGCCGTCTTCCTGCGCGCTGACGTCTTGGACGATGCTTGAAACCGTCGCCGCCACCTGTAGCAGGGTCGCCTGCGCAGGGTGCCACGGCGCCTCGCCTGCCTTGATGCTGAGCGGCAACTCGGCAGTGCTGATCTCGCCGATTCGCGAGACGGTCGGGAAACCCGTGAGGTGGTGGAGGAGCTCGTCGTAAGGTCGCAGAGAAGGCGGGGCGGCTTTGCGGCTCGAGGTGTAAGCGAGCAGTGCGAATCCGACCTTCAGCGTTGTCAGCGCGAGGCGAACAGGGGCGACGACGTCTTCGAGCTCGGCATAAGCATGGTCGAGGCGGCGAAGCAACGTGTCGACTGAGTGCTGCAGATTCGCCTCGCGATTGACTGCTGAGGCGGAAGCTGCGTTCGTGATGTCGCCGAGGAGGCTGTCGATTTGGTGGTCGCTGATGATCTGCACTGAGAACGAGCGCAACTCCGTAAAGAGCGCCGAGAGGAGCGCCGTGTCGCCTTCACGATGAACCGGGGCGACGCCGGCTCGCTCCAACCGCTGTTGCAGTTCGTCGACCTCCGCCTGGACGCGATCGAGTTTCGAGTTGCGCCCGTTGCCGGAATGCGCGAGCTCGTCGAGGCGAACGATCGAGAGAACGCTGGACATGGCTTGGAGCTGGCGGCCGATGAAGCCGGACTGAGCACGCAGGCCGACAGCGGGATCGAGAGGCAGGTTGGGGACGTAGAGATGCCAGAGGAAGCGGGCGAAGGCGACAAAGCCGGCCGCCGTCACCTCTAAGTCGACATCAGGCCCGAGAAGGGTCGGTAGCGATGCCGCGAAGTAGCGTTGCTTCGCCTCCTCGAGGGCGGGTGCGCTTGCGCTCCTCGTGATGCGGTCGGCGAGATGTACAAGCTCGGCGCCGTCGCGAAGATGATCTCCCTGGTCGTCAGCGCTGTCGATCACCTGCATGGGGAACGGACGATCAGCGATGAGCGATAGTTCCCTCGCCAGCGGCACGCAGTCTACGCACCAATGCGATCAAGGCCAGCAACGCAACGTGCAGACTCTTCTGGCGTGGTGTAGACTCTGCCGTCGCCGCGACGAGCTGCAGACTGGCAGCTCGAGCGAGAGAGGCGGACTGCGTGACGAGGTTGCCGAGGGTGGGCGTCTCGCCGAGGCTGCGACCAGAGACGTCAGCTCGAGGAGCCTTGCTACAGGTGTTCTGGCCTACATACCGGAGAGCGATGACCCGAGCAAGCAAGGACGGGCGGACGATGTCCGCGGGCGATGTTGACGAGGTCTGCGAGGGAAAGAGGCGTCGGTAAGTTAAGCCAAGAGCGACGGAGATGTGAGCGTCACGCACCTCGGACACGCCGCGCGCAAGATGCGACAACCATGTTGAGAGCGTCGCAAAGCGGGCGGCGGGCTTGGCTGCGAGCGCTACTTATCAGCAGGAGAAGGCGGGTACGACGGCGAGCGGGAACGCACACTTGTGCTCATCCGCGGGCCACAGCGCAAGCTGATGAAGAGCGACAACGTCCGACAGCGCCGCTGCGCCGCTTTGCTGAGCGATCTTCACTAATGCGGCCGCCGGCAGGACCTGCGCAAGCGTCATAATCAGTTTGTTACTCTGGGCGAAAGACCGGAAGGGCGTACGGCTGAGCTCGACTGCACGACCTCGGCGACCGCTGCAAGTTCGGCAGCGACAAGTCCGGCAGCGTTGGAAGCTTGCGCGAGAGCGACGACCGGGTCCTCCGGTTCCTGCTGGACCGCCAGCGGAATGCGTGACAAGAGCTGCTCGACGATGCGAAGCGCTTCATCTTCGTGAGGAACCTGTGAGGCGGGTTGCGGGACGCCGAGGACGACGCAGACCTCGAGGAACAACATCGCGATCGACCTGTCCCAAATCTCGCCGATGTTCCTGCCCCTTGCGACGAGCTTGTCGAGGGCCGAAGCCAGAGCATGGCTCGCCGGCTTGAAGGGCAGTGCGGCGCGCCAGATCGAATCCATGGCCTTCCCGCTTGACAAAGTCAGGGAGCGTCGGAGTGGTGCGAGCTGCTCGTTGACGTCCTGCGTCGACGAAGCGACGGAAGACGGCAGCTCCGCGAGCGCTTCGCCGATCCACGCGACGACGTGCTGGACTGTCGAGACGTCGAGCTCTGGCGTGCTCGAAACGATCTCGAGCTCCTGCGCGAGCGCTTGAATCGCCTTGACGGCGCCAACGAAGACGGCTCGCTCATCGGGCGCCAAGTCCTCGAGGTCGGCGCCTACAAGACGCGATACGAGGGACGCGAGTTGCCGGTACAAGGGGTAAAGGGCCGCAATGGTCGAGTCCGCCTCGTCGAGCTTGACTTTGCCGCTGCTTGCGAGCAGCGACTTGTCGAAGACGTTGAGGCTCCTTACGGGCTGCGAAGCGGCGCGTGAGGAGGCGAAGGGGGAGACCGACGGCGCGGCAGCGAGGGAGGCGAAGGCTTCGAGAAGGGCAGACATGCCGCGAACGATAGACTCGCTAGATGACGCGGCGGCGAGGGGGACGAGGGTTGCATCGATCGGCTGTGATTGCAGGAGAAGGAAAGGAGCGATACAAACGAGATTCAGCTGTCGTGCCCAACGGAAACCTGAAAGAAGCGAGAGAGTGGGATTAGCACGGACCTGAACGGCGAAGAGATTGAAGGGCACTTCCCGCTGCTTTGCCAGGGCGCCCTTGTGCGCGACGGCGTGTTGTACGAGCGCATGCTGCTGGAGCTGCCGGAGGCAGAAGTCGGCGGAGCGGGCATTCACGAGCGAGACTTGTCGAAGGACGCGCTGCGACAGCGAAAGCTGGGCGAAAGAGACGGTCGAAGCGAGCTGCTGGAGAACGGCTGTTTGCGGCGTCGGGAGGGCGGACAGACTGCCAACGCGCGCCAGGCGGGCGATGGGCGAGAGCGCTGGCTCGCGGAAGTTGTCGCGCGTGAAGGGCGAGTATGCTTCGCCCGCAGGCAGCGACGTGCTGGTCGATACGGAAGCAGGCGGAGACAGCACGGCGATCTCGATACCACGGTTGCGCATCGCACGGGAGAGCTCGCCGTTGCGCGGGTCGAGCGTCATGACGAGACGGAAGTCGGGGTGCGGCTCGATGATCTGGATCTCGCCATTGACCGGGCCGCGTTCGGCAAGCTGCAGGCGGCCGCCGGTCTCGAAGAGCGAGTTGAGGCGGTCGAGGACGGACGGGCTGCAGAGGTTAGCATCTTCGATCAGGAGCCAGTCACCGTTCTTCATGGCCTGCACGAGCGGGCCGTCAATCCATTCGAACCGTGCAGCCGCGACTGCTGCGTCGGCTGTTGCGAGTGCCGCGTCGAGACGAGCGAGGATGTCGGTACCGTCGAAGACCGAGCCTGCGAGACGACGGCGCATGTCGATTCCGATTGCCGTGACGTCGAGATCGGCAGCTTCGGTGGCGAGCGTCAGGCGAGCTTGGCGAAGGAGGGCGAGGGCGTCGTAGACGTTGGTGGAGTCGCCCGTCGCCAATTGAGCGGTAGCTGCCGTCTTGAGGACGTCGATTGCGTCCCGCGCGACGAAGTCGAGGTCGCGGAGTCGGTCGGCCTGCTCGAAACTGCCGAGGAGCTCGAGCGTGTCGACCTCTGCGTTCATCGTGAACTCGCGAAGGCGGCGACCGCCGAGAGCGGCAACTTGGCGAACGAGGGCCGTCTTGCCCGTTCCGCGAGGACCGGTAAGGATCGCCAACCAGCCCATGTCGAGACACTTGGCGAGCGCTTCGATCGGCTGGAGATCCTGCCGGCGAGTCGGTAGCGTTGCTGAAGCTCGCTCGATGGCGATGGTCGTGTCCGCGCGAGCGAGAAGCGAGTGCCCGACTTGGAGAGCTTGGCTCGAGGCGAGGGGCCACGGCTGCTCGACGGGGTCGACGACGAGACCGAACGCGTCGGCGAACAACCGCGAGACGTGATCGCGGTCGGCCGAGTTGCGGAAGCGTTGCAGGTACAGCAGGCGGACATACTCGAGTGGGTCGCAGCGGTGGATGTCGATGCCGGTCGAGGAACGGACGAGCGTGAGCCACCGCAAGACGTCGCGCAGGTTGAACTCCCACGGCGAGCCCTCCATGCCGAAGTGACGAGCGTCCATCGTCTCGCGGTGAATCTGCGAGTTGAACGCGATCATCTTGCTGAGGACCGCTGCGTCAAATTCGGGGAAGAGCGCCGACGCAATGGCATTGAGGTCGGTGCTGTCGAGCTCCTCCATGTGGACGAGGCTGAAGCGGTCGAGGAAGGACTTCGGCAGACCTTTGCGGCCGCCTCCCTGTCCGAGCGGGTTCTGTGCGGCGAAGATGCGGAAGTCGGGATGGCGGGAGAAGGTGCGGTCGAGCTCGGGGATGTAGACGGCGCCACGGTGGTCGAGACACGAGTTGAGACCCTCCAGGACGGACTGCGAAGCGAGGTTCATCTCGTCGAGCAGGACCCAGGCGCCGTTCTGCATCGCCGCGAGGAAAGGCGCGTCCTTCCAGGCGAACTCGCCGCTCTTGCCGCCTTCGACAGGAAGGTCGCTGCCGAGCAGGTCCATCAAGTCGGTCTGGTCTGACAGGTTGATGCGGACGAGCGGGTGACCGGTTGCGGCGGCCAGCGCGGTGATGAGACTCGTCTTGCCGACTCCAGGACTTCCTTCGAGCAGGACCGGCTTGGTGAGCTGGAGCGCGCGGAGGAGTCGCATGGCGTTGAGCCGGGTCGTCGGGGCGAGAAGCGTGTAGTCGACCTTGGCGGGCGGGAGCTCGCCTTTCTTGACGCCGAACGGACCGATCGAGAAGACGCCGTCGCCATCGACAACATCGAGGGGTAGCGACTCGGGCGCCATGGTCGCCGGTACGAGCTGCTCGACGTAGCGCCAACAGGACGCCTTGAGCCTGGCGAGACCGTCGCGAGACAAGCCGGAGGTCGCAGGCAACGCGCCTAGACCGTCAACGACCGTCATGAGGGCTCCCTGGCAGAAAGCGTCCGGCATGGGCAACGAGCTGTACAACAGAGAAGAACGTCAGGAAACGGCAGACGAGGTACCGCGCAGAAAATAAGGACGCACCGCTCGCTAGACTGCTTCGCAGCGACATTGAGGAAGTCGACCCATCCGAGAATGTCGCGAAGACCGATGCCGAGTCCATCGCCTTGGCCGACCTGCTGGGCGAACCACCTTGCAAAGTCGAGCATCTTGGGTCCGAACGAGTCGAGCTTTTGGCGCTGCTCGCGAGACCAGCGACTGCCGATGATGTGGAGGAGGTCATCGGCGTTGTCGACGGCGGGAACCCAGATCTCGGTGAATCGGTTGCGCAGAGCAGGCGACAGTTCCTTCTTGCCAAAGTCGCCGCCGGGGTTCATCGTGGCGAGGATCTCGAAGCCAGGTTGGCCAACGATGCGGATGTCATCGAGGTCGTGTCCGCCTTTCTCGGCGAGGACGAGCGTGCGGGAAGGCTCGAGCACCGAGTTGAGGCGTTCGAGGACGGAGTCGTCGGCAAGCGAGATCTCGTCGAGCAGGATGAGGTCGCCGCCCCGCATCGCCTGAACGAGCGGGCCGTCGTGCCACTCGAACAGTGCCGTCGTCGCACGCATGCGATCGGCAAGCGTTTTGGCGGGCGAGTCCTTCGCGTCGGCAGCGTACAGCTCAAGCTGGCCGAGGACGTCATCAAAGTCGAGCTCGCCGTCGGCTGCGACTGGTCGACCGGCGGCGGCGAGAAGCTCGACCGCCTCCTTCTGCAGAGCCGCCTGGAGCGAGGCGCGATTTCGCAGCGGTCGCTGACCACCCAACAGGTCGGCGGTCTCGGTGTTCTGGTGGCAGCCGACGATGTGGAGTTGGCGACTGAGGGCGTGTGCGAGAGCCTGGCAGACCGAGGTCTTGCCAGCACCGGTTTCGCCGACGAGGAGGACAGGCTCGTGCCGCTGGAGGCTGGCAGCAATGAGGAAGTAGAGCCGTCGCATTGCCGACGTCCAGACGAGCTCGGCGTTCTGCGGCTGGTGAACGGAAAGCCGAGCCTCGTCAGCACCGAGTTGCAAGCCTGTGACGAAGGAGACGGAACGCACTGGGACGGGCAAGCCGAGTTTCGGCAGCCGCTCAAAGTCGTACAAGGTAGCCTCGTCAAGCTTGACCTTGAGGACCTCCTCGAGCACCTCCTTGACAGTCTGCTTGTCGTCGGCTCGTCGTGCACGCTCGGCGAGAAGCATGTAGCCGTCTTCGGCGAGCTGCTGGATCGTTTCGACCGGACCGCGACCGCCCCAGCGGAACAAATCGCGCAACGTCGCAAACGCCTGCTTCTGCTCGAAGACGCGTCCGGCTTGTCGCCGACGCTGGAGCTCGAGGAAGACATTGACCGTCTTCTCGGCGTGCGACGGGGCGATGCGACACCGTCGTTCGAGAATCGTCTTGAGCTCGTCCTTCGGCACGTCGCCAAAGTGCATCTCGAGGAAACGGTTGCGGAAAGCGCGGGAGAGCACCTTGCGACCGCCGTAGAGTCCGGGCGGGTTCTGCGTCGCGAACAGCATGAAGTGCGGATGAGGCCGGACGACCTCGCCCGTCTCGGGGATGACGAGCTCGCGGTTATCGTCGAGCAGTCGGTTGAGCGCCTCAAGGACGTCCGTCGGCGCCAAGTTGAGCTCGTCGAGGACAATCCAGTCGCCGCGACGGAGAGCACGGACTAGAACGCCTTCCTGAAAGACGAGCTTGCCCGAGTGCGGGTCGGAGACGTAAGTGCCGACGTACTCCTGGATGTCCGTGTGCTCGTGGTTGTTGATGCGGACGAAGCGGTGGCCGGTTCGCCGAGCGAGGTACTCGACGACAGACGTCTTGCCTGCCGACGTCGGACCCTGGATGAGGACGGGGACCTTGCGGGTGAGGACGGCGCGGGCGAGGTCGCAGATCTTGGCCTGGACGGACGGCGTCAGGATGTAGTCGTCGGGCTCCTCCGGCTCGTGCGGGCCTTGCTCGAGCCAGTAATGGTGGATGCGGATCGCGCTGTCGAAAGAGGCCGGTTTGGTTGGGACACGCTCCATCAACGAGCGAGGGTTCTTGGCGGGCTGGACGACGTGCTTGTCGATGAGAGCGCGGACGACCGACTGCGAGCGCTCGTCGAGGAGCATCGTGAATGCCATGACGAAGCCTTCGTACAACGCTCGTCGCAGGCCAAACGTCGGGGCGAAGTCGGCAGCGAAGCTGAGGGCGCGGGCGAGCGTCCGCATCGAGAAGTGCGGCGGCATGTTCTGGCCGTCGGCGAGCTGAGCGCGCATGGCGAGCGACTTGACGGCTGAGTAGAGCTCGGCTACGTCGGCCACGACTTGGCGATCCGAGACCGCGACTCGACCGATGTAGCCCTCGACGATGGTGCGGAGGGCGTCGCGATCCTCATCGGGAGGCGGAACCCACAGCTCGGAGAACTTGGCGCGCAGGCCGACGGGCAGGTCGCGCTTGCCGACATCGGTGGCGGGGTTCATGCAGGCAAACAGGCGGAACTCGGGGTGTCGAGGGATCGGCTCCAGCTCGCCCTTCTCGGTAAGAACGAGGGACGAATCTGGCGCCTGGAGAAGCGTCGAAAGCGATTCGAGCGTTTCGGACGAGGCGAGGTTGACCTCGTCTAGCAGGACCCAGTCGCCGTTCCGGATCGCCTGCGCGAGGGGCCCCTCGACGAATGAGAAGACGAACTTGGCCTTGCCCTTGCCGCCGGTCGAGAGGACGTGGCTGTGCTCAAAGTCGCCAACGGAAGACATGAAGTCCTTCCACCGCTCGACGAGCTGCGCCTTCGCGCCGTCGACTTTCCGCCTCTTGCGCTGCGCCTGAGCGGACTCATCCTCGGCGCCAGTTGAAGCGGCCTCGTCGGCACCGAAGCGCTTGGCGGCCATGCGATTCGCCTGACGAAACGAGTCGACGAGGCGGTTGTAGCGCTTCTTGTCGAATGCCTTGCGAACGGCGGCGATGTACTCGCCATTGCGCGAGAGCGAGAACGTCGCACCGAAGAGCTCGACGAACCGGTTCACGAGTTCGGAGGCGGTACCTGCAAGGCATGAAGGTGGGTGAGTTTACGGGCAGGAGTGAGCGGGCGGGAAAGGGGGAGAACGCACGTCTTGCCTCTTCCGCTTCGTCGATAGGCCTGAATCCGCCGACCAAGTCGCCTGCCTCGGTCTGGTTACTCAGGTTGAGCGCCGTCAACCGCTTGCCCATCAACTCGGCAAGGTAGCCGATCGCAGCCGTCTTCCCCGTTCCTGTCTCGCCGACGAGGAGGACTGGCTCGGAGAGAGAGAGACAGACGGCGAGTTTCTCGAGGAGAAGGAGAGAAGGCTTCGTGAGGGCGTAAGGGCGGGATGAGGCGGTGCGCTTCGAAGCGGCACCTGCGGCGTAGGGGAGGGCGACTCGACCGATCTTGACCGAGTGAGCGGATGAAGAGCTCGACGGGTCGAGGCCGGACGAAGTGTCGATCGTGGGGAGGACGGCATCGGGTACTCGTCGCCTGAGCGCCCAATCTGCGCGCTCGGCGCTCAAGCCGAGGGAGGAGGCGAGCGAGCGAGCGATCACGGAAAAGCGGTCGCGCGGAAGGTGCGCAGTCGAGGTTGACGGGTCGGTCACCGTGTTTGTCGATGCAGGCGGTGCGACGAGAGATCCGAGGAAGACGTCCCTCGCTTCGACAAACACCTCTTCCTGGAGCGTCGGGTTGGCCTCGAGGGCGGCGAGGTTCATGCCAGCAGGCAAGAGCGCCGCAACACGCCGGCACCACCTCAGCAGGTCGCGGACGCCAATCTCGCGCTTCGTACCGCCACCCGACGAGTCCTTGACATCCCGAGCGGCATCGCGGACACGTTCCCACGCGTCAACGAGGAGACGAGCGAGACCGTCGACACGGTCGAGCGAGGCGCCGTACCGACCCTGGACGATCTGGGCGACCTCGTCGCTGTTGAGGGGCGAGAGGACAGCCTCCTCGAAGAAGTGCGAGGCGAAGAAGGTCGCGGGTGGAGGCTTTGAGACGAGCGAGGATGCCGGGACCGAGCGAGTCGCAAACAGCATGAACCCTTCGCCAGCCTTGACCCACCGACCCTCTCCTCCGCCAACTCGCAAGCCGACTCCTCCGTCTTGCTCCTCTGCGCCAATGCCGCCGTACACTCGGCCGTCCGACTTGAGGACCGAGGCCGAGGTCGACATCCGCTCCGCCACGACCTTGACGACGCTGAGCAACTCGGGCGCCGCTTGGTCGATGTTGAGGAGGAGCGTCCAGCGGCCTTGCCGGACTGCGCGGGTGAGCGGGCCCTCGACGAAGGTGAATTGCCCTGCGCCGGACGAGTTGCTGCCGGACGAAGACGATGGCGCCGACGAGAGCGAGCCGAGGAGCGACTTGCTGTCGAGCGACCGGTCCGCCATGTTGATGACGACCAGTCCTCGCCGCTTTGCTTCCGCCGTTACCGCCTTTGACGCGGAAGGCGAAGCGTGCACGAGGTTCCACAGGTGCGAGATGGCACTCTGCTTGCCGCAGCTCGGAGTGCCGGTGATGAGTGTCGGGACTCGGCGCTTGAGGCTGTCGGCGAGGTGTGCGAGGAGAGCCGAATGAGCTGAAGTCGTGACGAACGGCTCAGGCGCGGTCGTCGGTGGCGAAGCAGCCGGTGCGGCGGCGTGGGTGAGCGAGAGGGTAGTGGAAGGCGGGGCAGGTGCGCGGGTAATCGAGGGCACGAGGCCTTCGCGGAAAACGCTCGTTCCGGAGACGAGGACGACCGTCTTGCCGAGCTCTGCGCCCTCAATCGTACCGATGCCCTGTCCTTGCGAGACGGACGAGGCATTCCCCTCTGCCACCAGTTCCGCACGGTGCTGCTCCTCCCTCGCCCGCGTGTCCTCCAGGAGCGGCAGAACCCAAGGGTCGACGCCCCTCTTTCTGACAAGAATCTCCAGACCTCCCTCAACGAGCCTGCTCTGACCCGGCTCGACAACTTCCTCTCCCCATCCAAACGGCAACAGGTCGTCCGCATCGTCCTGCGACGCCTGATCCGGTCCAAAGATCTCGGTGTACTCGGTCGAGACTTCCGCGGGGTATGGGACTGGCGGGGCGAGGGGCAAGAGAGCCGCCTTGTCTTCGTCGAGGATGTCGGCGCCCTCGAGGCGCCAGACCCATTGGCGCTTGAGGCGCTCGCCGGTCGTGGCGAAGAGGCCGAGCCAGGCACGGACGATGCGCCAGGCGATGAGGCGAATGCCGCGGTGAGGGTGGTGCTTCATGAGGTGCTCGACATGGATTGGGAGAGACCATCCCGAAAAAGCGGGGAGTGAAGGGAGGTGGTGAATGAGCGAGTGCAGCGTCAGAAGCGACGAGACAAGCGCCGAGTCGTAGTTGGGCAACGAAGGAGGGGGAAGAGGCGGTCCGCGAACGAGAAGAGGGTGGCGGAAAAGGAGCCGCAGGAACCTGCCGCGAAAGTCGTCAGTCTGCCGTTCGTGAGGATTCACATAGAAACGCGGCGCACGGAAATGCCTCCTGGCCCAGTAGCGGGAACGCCCTGACAAGCGCTTTCCAGACCTTGTCAACGGCATCCATCTCTCCCTGCGCCATTTCGACGCCGGCTTCGCCGCTTCTCCACTTGCCCTCGTCATCGAGCCCGAGTAGCTCGAACCACCTGCCAACAATGGCGGCGGCAACCGGGCGGAAGTGGGTGAGGACCTCGACGGTGAGGGCGGGGTTGAGCGCGAGTCGCGCGAGGATGTCGAGGAGTTGCGTTCGAGTCTCCGCGGTCGCTGCGGCCGGTGCGACGTACCCTGGGACGCTCAGCGAGTCGTCTGGCGAGGTGACGGTCGCAGTGACGCCCAAGAGCAAGCTCAAGTCGGCGGCGGGGATGAGCGGCGTCCACTCAGTTGCGGTCGCTGGTGCATCAGGCCGCAAGACTGATTCGAATACGGTGTTCTGGGACTGTTCGGCTGGCTTCACGAGGGCGAGGGCGATGGCGAGAGAGCGGGTGTGTTGTGCGAGGTTGATGAATCCCGCTGGCGACGGCGAGCGAGCGGGCGGGTCTGGCGTGTCGCCCTCCATCTCTTGCGAGTGCTGTCGGGTGCAGTGAGCCCCTATAGCAAGCAGTCAAGCCGTGAGCAAGCGAAGAGAGCGGGATGCGAGCGGGAGAGGGTCGTCGTCCGTGCTGAGTTGGTGACTTGGCCTCGTCGACTTCGTCCTTTGCGCTGCTTGACCGTGCTAGCCGTTACTCTGCCTCGATGTACTCTCTGCGCGCGCTCCAACCGTCCCTCCGCCTCACCGGGAGGTTGTACTCGACCGCCCCACCTCCTCATCCTCTCGTCGCCTCCCTCCGCGCCGCACTCAAGCAGTCGATGCTTGCGAGGACGCCGGACAGGACTGCAGTGATCAAGGTGTGCTCTCGCGCTCACGGTAACCCCGAGCGAAGTAGAGCGATGTTGACATTCGTCTCGTTTGCAGTCCATCCTCGCGGACATCCAGACCGCCGCCCACGGCGCCAGCACCGCTCCTTCGCCTCTCAAGACCCTTGCATCAGCCATCACGAAGCGTCTCGACGCAGCACAGACGTTCCGCTCTTCGACTCCTCCTCGAACCGACCTCGCCGAGCAGTACGAGAAGGAGGTGGAAGTGCTGCGCGAGTTCGTTCCGTCGAAGGGAGCGCAGCTGAGTCGGGAAGAGCTGGACAAGGTCGTAAAGGAGCTGTTCGAGGAGAACGAGATCAAGAAGGCGGTTGGCAAGGACGTCGGACGGATCATCTCCCTCGTCAAGGAGCGTGTCGGCGAGCGGGCAGAGAGTAAGGACGTCGCAGAGGCGGTCAGAACGATGGAGTTGCCCTGATGGGCGGAAGGAGGCGATGATCAGGTCGACTCGCATGTAGATTATCGGCAAGAAGCGATACCAACAGCAGCAGTGCATTCTCCACTCATTCTCCGTCCGTCTCGAATCGTATACTGACGCATGATCTGCAGACACAACCCCTCTCCTGACGCCAGGCTTGTCGCGCTCGCCCGCTCTGCTCGCTGGGTCTTGCTTCGCTCGCTGTCTCTTCAGCCTCCAACGCTTCTCCCGGCTTCATCCAGGGCCATAGACGTCGATTCGTGTCGTCTACTGTCTGACGTGCGCAGAGCTGACTGCTCTGGCGGCGTTGCCGTGACAACCCATTCCTGCGAAGGCCGACTTGACGCCGCAACTTCCGCCCCCTCTTCCCTCTTTCTCCACGTGCACTGGCTTTGACAAAAGCTTCTTTAATCTCGAGCGTCAAGCGCTGCCGAGCCCCTTCGTCTTCTCGCCGCCCGTCCTTGCCGTGTGTGCCCCCACGCACTCCCCACCTTTCATGGACTGCGCGACGGCGGAGAACAGCTTCCCTCGCTATCTCCACACGCCTCGCTTGGCCTCTCTCTCGCTCTCTTGCGACACGAATCGACGTTGACGAGACGTTGTCAACATGGTGAGTGCTCCCTCGTCTCGCCAGGCGACAGCGCACGCTGACTGTTCCCCTTCACTTCCCGCTCGGCTGTACTCGTCGCCAGACGTCGTTTGCGCACAAATCAAGGGACCATGGCGACACTTCAAAAGTGGAAGGACGTCCTATGAAGATTGACAGGCCGAGCTGGTGCGTTTGTCGTCGTTCCTCGCCGTCACTGCCCTCAGCCTTCTTACGCCCTTGCGCACAGGTTCGGCTCTTCACTCAACCCTGCTGTCGCCATCTCTGCCGACCCCATGGAAGGATCCGAGTTCCGCTCTTCCGTCTCCTCAAACCCCTCGACGACGAAGCGCGAGCCGACTCTCCCGCCCGGCTTCTCGCGCGAAGCCTTCGACCGCGCCATCGACGACCTCCGCGGTGCTATCGGCGGCGAATTCGTCGAGATCAACGACGTTCCGCTCAATGCTGGCAACTACTACCACCCCAGTCTCTCGCACGACTCGTACGCCGTTCTCGAGGAGGACTACTTCGTCCCTTCGGCTGTCGCTTGGCCCGGCTCGACGGCTGAGGTCCAGGCGATCGTCAAGTGGGCGAACAGGTGGAAGATCCCGCTCTGGCCCATCTCCATCGGCAGGAACTTGGGCTACGGCGGGTCTGCGCCTCGAGTGCCCGGCTCGCTCCTCATCGACCTCGGCCGTCGCATGAACAAGGTCCTCAACATCGACGAGAAGGCAGCGACATGTCTCCTCCAGCCCGGCGTGACTTACATTGAGCTGTACGAGGAGCTGAAGCGACGCGGACTCGGCGAGAAGTTGTGGATTGACGTGCCCGACCTCGGCGGCGGAAGTGTCGTCGGCAACGCACTCGACCGCGGAGTAGGCTACACGCCTTACGGCGACCACTGGGCGCAGCATTGCGGCATGGAGGTCGTCCTTGCGAATGGCGAGGTGGTCCGTCTCGGCATGGACTCGATGGTGCGTCCGCTTTTTCTCTTTCGAAGGAGGTCCTCTGCTTACCGGTCGGATTGCACAGCCCGGCTCGAAGACAGGACAATGCTTCCCGTACGGATACGGCCCCTTCCTCGACGGCATCTTCACCCAGTCCAACTTCGGCATCGTGACCCGGATGGGCATGTTCTTGATGCCGAACCCGGGCGGCATCCTGCCCTTCATGATGTGAGTCCCAGCACGTTCATATTCAGCCACAGCGCTGACTCGGCACGACACCCGCAGCTCCTTCATGCACAAGGAGGACCTGCAGCCGGCTGTCGACATCTTGCAGGAGCTCATGGTGTCTCGCTTGCTCGGCAACGTCCCTTCTCTGCGACTAGGACTGTGGGACGCCGCGGTCTACGGCTCGAAGGATCAGTACTGGCCTGAGAACGCTGGACGACCCGTGACGGACGAAATCGAGGCGGAGATTCTCAAGAAGGCGGACCTTGGGGCATGGGTCTTCTACGGCGCCTTCTGTGAGTTTTCTTCGTCACTCTTTGCGGCATCGCCGAGCTGACATATGCCGCAGACGGTCCGGACGAGCTCACGAGCGCGCAGTGGAAGGTCGTCCAGTCCAAGTTTGCCGGCATCCGCGACGTCCGTTTCCAACTTCGCGAAGACGTACCGGAGAACAGCTACTTGCACGACCGAGCCGCCGTCTTTGCAGGTGTTCCGACGTTCAGGGAGCTCGCCTGGCATCAGGTCCGTACCGCAGGTTCTCCTGAGCTTGATCTGCACTCTAAATGCTGATGATACTCTCTACAGTGGATTCCGAACGCTGGCGAACTGTTCTTTGCACCTATCTCCGGCGTCAACGGGCGCGACGCTGTCGCACAGGTCGACATGTGCAAGAAGATCTGCACCAAGCACGGCTTCGACTACCTCGGCACATTCTACGTCGCTCAGCGTGAGGTGCGTGACGTCTCCTGCGCACAGTACGAGCGCTGCGCAGCCTAGTTAACCGCCCTTCGCCTCCTTCGACCTCCTTGACTCCACCGCCTCCATCACTTCTGACTTGCAGATGCACCACATTGTCACAATCTTGTGGGACCGCTCGAAGCCGGAGCAGCGACAAGCAGCCGACCGATGCATTCGCGAGGTTCGTCCACCTCTTCCTCCTCTTCTCTCGCCAACAAGGGAGGCTTACCCTCGTCCTTCGCCAGCTCATTCGCACGCATGCTGAGCTTGGGTATGGCGAATATCGCTGTGAGTCCTCCTTGAGCCATCCTGGCGGAATAGCTTGCTCATTCTTGCCCTCTCAGCACACATCGCGACGGCGGACGACATCATGGTGAGTTCGCTTCTGTCTGTCCTTCATTGAGGGCTCCTGCTGACGTTCCCCTCGATCTAACAGGCCACCTACAACTGGAACGACGGTGCTTTCCGCAAGTTGTGTGAGCAGCTCAAGGACTCGCTCGACCCTAACGGCATCGTGTGTCGTCTTACCTTCGTTTGTCCACCTCGCTTCTGACACTCCGAACCTCGCAGCTCCAGCCTGGTCGCTCCGGCATCTGGCCTAAGGACTACCGGGGCAAGGGATGGGAAATTGACGGCGTCAGTCCGCTCAAGCAGGTCAAGAGCGAGTCTGGCAAGTTGTAGATTCGTTTCTGGGCCATTCCAAGGGGTTTTGAACGGTGTGCGTCGTGTTCGCGAACAGGAAGCAAGGCAAGGAGAGAAAGGAGTCGACGAGAGGTGATCCGCGGACTGTCCGGTCGTCGACCCTCTCCTTCAACTCCTCCTTCCCTTCCTGCGAGTCGCTCGACACCGTTCGCTGACTTGCCAGCTTCAGCTGCGATGCCCCGCGTCCCTCCTTCGACGGAAGACGAGCCCACCTTCCCTCGTCCTCCTCCTCGCTGGAACGGCCGAGGTCCCGCCCCTCCGATCCAAGCCCTCCCTCCCTTCAGCCCGAACGATGTGAAACACCGCCGTTTCTGCTGCTTCATTCCCGTCCGCTGGGGAACCATCATACTCTCTCTTACCGCCGCGACGTTCTCGTACATGTACGCCTTGCAGTCAATCAACAGGCTCATGTCGCCCGACGGTCCTATTGGATGGATGACTTGGGTCGACTCCGCGTCGACTGTTCTCTGGTTCATGCTCCTCGCACTCTCGCTCTTCGGCGAGTCCACCCTTCCTCTCCTCCTTTTCCTCTGAGTGCTGACGGCCAATAACCTCTTCGCAGGCTTCTCCGGCGCGATGATGCAGCGGCGAGCCTGGGTACAGTGGTTCTCAGACCTTTGCTGGGTGAGGAATCTGCTCCTTCCGCCTCTCGAACCGTTGCTGACCCGGCCAGGCGCGCAGTGGCACATCTGGGCGCACGCCATCGTCGGAATTTACGGCATTATTCTTCTCGCACTGCCGCTGTCGAAGGAACGGTCGGTCCTGATCTGGTGAGTCCTCCCGTTTGCTCCTCGCTTCGTCAGCTTACGACCCTCGACGCAGCGTCGAGACTGCTCTGCTCAAGTGGCAGTCGCAGCACACCAGCGATACAATCTCGCTCGACTTGGCTGCGAAAGCTGGCGAAGCATGCGCCAAAGCGGTTCAGAGCGGACTGATCATCCGGGCCGTCGTGCGTGTGAAAGCTATGCCAGGCGAGCAAGACCCTGACCACTTACTTGGCAGATCTGGGCCATCGGCCTTCTCGTCGAGCTCTACCTCGTCCTCATCGTCAGCCACTACATCGACGAGTTGGTGGATCGAGAGGCAGCCCAGCTCTACGGCGTCGACATCGAGAACCCCACGCCACCGTACCGTTTCGGAGCCGCGCCGGAGGTGCAACAGGAGAAGGCGAGGGCGGCAACGTGGGCGAATGTGCGCAAGCAGGTCCTGTAGGCCTCAGGGGAGGAAAGATGGTCGTCGTTCCGTGCTCCGTCGCTCGGGTTCCGCCCGCCCGTCGCTAGCATTCGAACTCCCTTTAGTATGGTTCTGTCGTCCCCTCCCAGCCCGAGGAGCCCTGCCTGAGGAGAGAGCGCTTCCACTGATGAAGTTCGGAAGAGGGTGCAAGCAAGATGAGGCGGGCAAGCGGGATGATACGAAGCTCGTCAGGGCGTCAAGAGTACTAACGCAAAGCACTGGGCGGAAGCTCAAAGCCAATCCAGCGAGTGTGGGAGCGAGACGAAGACCAAACCCATCCTCGACGGAGAAGGTCAATCCAGCACAATGAGCTCGACAACAAGCAGGCGCTCCAAGCCGCCTCCCTATGAAGCCCATGAGCCGCCAAAGCCGCCAGCACGGCGCTGGTGGCAGCTCGACCGCGCCGAACGCGACCTCCTCGCCCTGTCATCCGCCTCAAAGGTGCTGCTGTTTCCAGCGTAGTGAGTCTCGCTCCGCCTGGCTTGCGACCGCGCTGACACGAAACTCTACAGTCGCTCAACCGACTTTGAGGTCCACCGCAACTGGTGAGCGAGTCTAGGGCATGGGAGGACCGGTGCTGACATCGGAAGTGGGGCAAACAGGCTGGCGGTGACACACTCGCTGCCGCTGAGTCGATGGTACTACGACGTGCGTGCACTACGGCTGAAATCAGGTGGCTGGACGGCTGACGAACCTCCCTCGCGCAGACGACGTCGGAGTGGACGCTCGACTATCCTCCCTTCTTCGCCTTCTTCGAGCGCTTCCTCTCGTCCTTCGCCTACATCGTCGACCCCGAGATCGTGCGATTAGACAACCTGGGCTACTCGGGCGGGGCGGTCGTCGCGTTTCAGCGGACGACGGTGATCGTGTCGGAACTCGTCCTCGCGCTCGCTGTCTTCCGGTTCGTGGATCCTCCTTCACATCTTGTGCCGCCGCAGCTAACCCATTGCATTACCCAGATGGGCACGAACGTCGCAGAAGCCCGACTATCCGACAGCTTCCGTCATCGCCACCTCCGTACTCTTCCACCCAGGCCTCCTCATCGTCGACCACACCCACTTCCAGTACAACGGCTTCCTCCTCGGCATACTTCTTTGGTCTCTGATTGCCGCGCGGGATGTGAGCCGAGAGCAAGGTGCTTGTCGTCACGCCCAGCTCACCCCGCGCGTTTGTCGCAGAACAACCTCTACGTTTGCGCCGCACTCTTCGCGACGCTCCTCAACTTCAAGCACATCTTCATCTACCTTGCCTTGCCCTATTTCGTCTTTCTGCTGCGAAGACACTGCTATCCGCCGGGCGGCAGTACGTCTAGCACCTTCCGCGCTGTCAAACCTCCGCTGATCACTGCACGTTCTGCAGAGTTCCAGATCGATCGCGTCGTCGAGCTCGGTCTCATTGTCGCCTCCATTTGCACCATTTCGTTCGGTCCCTTCGTGGTCGCAGGCGGCTTCTCCCAGCTTCGCCAGATCTTCTCGCGCCTCTTCCCTTTCCAGCGCGGATTGAATCATGCGTACTGGGCGGGGAACGTGTGGGCGCTTGTGAGCACCATGGATAGGGTGCTCGTCAAGTGTGAGCCGTGCGGCAGTCTTGACGAACGCGCGTCGCTGACCCGGTTGATCCGCAGACCTCGTCGCACGAGGATGGCCCATCTCGACCGAAGCGCTCACCTCCTCTTCCCGCGGCCTCATCGGCTCAACAACCTTCGGCGTCCTCCCCAACATCACCCCTCGCCATACCTTCGTCCTCACCTTTGGGTTCACCTCCGTCTTCCTCGTCAAACTCTGGTTCGACCCGTCGTACAGGCGCTTCCTCAATTCGGTCGTGTTGGCGGCCTTGACGAGCTTTCTGTGGGGATGGCATGTGCATGAGAAGGCGGTCTTGCTCTTCCTCGTCCCGCTCAGGTGCGTGTCGAGCGCCGAATCCTTCGGAAGACAAAAAGCTGACGAGTGCGATCACCCGCAGCTTGACCGCGACGGACGACGACAACCACTACCGGGCTTTCCTCATCGCGACGACCGCGGGCATCTACGGCCTCTTTCCGTTACTGATCAAGCCAGCCGGTACGACACTGCGCATCTTTTGCTTCATCAAGCCTGCTCACGCCTCATTGCGCGTAGAAACGCCCATCAAGATCCTCTTCACGCTGTTGTGGTCGGCCTTTGTCCTCCCGCAGCTGCGCAAGGTCGTCTATCGTCCGCTGCCCAACCTCTTCACAATGCTCATCGACAAAGCCGAGACGCTCTACCTCTACGGCTTTGTCTTCGTGCAGATCTGTGAGCCGGTCGACGTTCGTCCCAAGCCGCAACTGACCGCATTCGCGTGAGCAGACACGACCTTCCTCCACTCCCTCCTCTTCCCCTCCGCGCCAGCCGCTTCCTCCGTCCCCGGCGTTATTATCTGCTCCGCCTCAGCCGTCGCGAATGGCACCTGTGTCGACCCGGCAATCGCACAGCAGGCGATGGAGGTCAGCGAGGCGAGCATGGAGTTCCTGCCACTCATGCTGACGAGCGTGTATTGCGCGGTTGGGATCGTGTGGAGTTGGCTGAGGCTGAGCTGGGGGTTCATGACGAGCTAGTGGATGTAGCTCAGCGCATCGAGCAGGATTTGTCGCGCAACAAGGAGTTTTTGCAGCTAGTCACGATAGCCTAGAGAAAGCACAACATTCTATTTCCTCGCTCCCTCCCCGCTCATCACCCTAGCCTTTGCCCGCCAAACCGTCGGGCAAGCCGCTCCTCCTCCTCATCGCTACCCTCCTCGTCCTCCTCATCCTCCGCCGCATGCTCGTGATCGCTCTCGACCATGTCGTCCTCCCCATCTCCCAAAGCGACGAGACGGTCGTTGATGAAGACTGCGCGCTCGATGCGCTGTGATCGTAGCTCGACCACTTCGGGCGTGTCGTTGTCGAGGAGTTCCAGGTCGCAGTAGGTCGCTTCCAGCTGAGGATTCGAAGGCGTCAGCGAGAGAGCGCCGAGCGGGAGCCGCAACGAACGCACCCGTCGGAGCAAGCGAAGCTCGAGCTTGCGCCGTCGGGCGGATTGCGGCGCACGAAGAATCGAAGCGTAGGCGTTCTCGAAGAGGGCGGCAGCTGCAGGAAAGATTGAGGTCGGTATGGCCACCCTCGGCGACTATCTCCGGCGCTCGAGGTACACCTAGCGGATCTGCGGAGGGGAAGCAACGCACCTCGAATGAGAACCTGCCTCGTTTCCCGCACGAGGTCGTTCTCCGGCACCTCGGCAGCATCCCCATTCTCCTCGTCGTCCGCGCCCGGCACTTCTCGCCCTTCTTCCCGCTTCCGTCGCTCCTCCTGGAACCCTGCTGCTGTCCGGCCGAGATACAGCGCACCGATCGCATCAATCATCGTCCGCGCCAACCCGAGCAAGACGTTGCCCTGCGTCCGCTCGAACGGCGCGATCTTCCTCAACGTCCGCTCGACGACTTTTTTGACCTCCTTCCGCTCGGCATTGCTGATCTTCGGGTCTTGCAGCTTCTGAGCGGACGAACTGGCCACGTCAACGAGACGAGTCGCGGACATCGACGCCGAGACGAAGCGGACGTCGGCAACGTGTGTCGCCCAGGCCAGTCGACGCTCCCATGCGGCCGGAGAGGTCGTGTAGGGAAGGAGGGAGGCGATGTCGCGGATGAGACGAGCGGTACCCATGACGGTGCTCGCTTCGGCATGTGTCATGTCTTCCGGCGACGAGAGGGGGTTGACGGGCGTAAAGAGGGCTGCGAAACGAGAACGTTAGGGGAGGCACGACACCTGAACAAGAACAAACGGCTCACCCTGGACGTTGCGCTTGCAAGCGAGGTCGAGAAGGTCGGCAAGCGCCTCCTCCTTGACGACCGTCTGACCCTTCTCGTCGATTAAGCTTGCGAATGCGAGTGTCGCCTGCGTCTTGGCCCATTCGGCGAGCATCTCGGCTGCCCAAGGGTGGACCATCGGGAGGTCAAGCGCTCCGCCGTGTCGTTTCGAGTCTTGCGGGCGGGTCACGCTCGGCGTCGACTCGAGCACAGGCGGAGGCGGGATGCATCCAAGCAACTCGGCAGCTCGTTGGTAGTGCACGAGCGCCTCGTCGAGTTTCGCCGGCAACGCAGTCGGCTTTGTCCCGTCGAACTCGCCTATCCGACCCAGTGCCCACGCCAGGCAGAACTCGCCTCGTGCCTCGTCCTCTGCGGTGCATTTCCCACCCGCCAGCCTCGTCTTCCACTCCTGACCCGCCTCGACGACCTGCTGGAGAGCAACCCGCACCTGCTCCGCGTTCGGCCCCGCTGATCCCTGGGCGAGCTCGGCGCGCAATGCAGACGAGTGTAGGAGACTATCCGCCTGTCTGCGCAGCTGCACGAGCTGCCTGAGCGGCGGCGGGAGGTTCTCCCCGCCCTGCTGAGATATTGAGATAGGTGTCGAGTTCATCGGCAGGGACGGCGAGGGTGTAGGGGTATCCCGTGCAGCTGTACACGTCTAGCACGATTACAGCGAGCGCGGTCCAGCTGGAAGCGAGCAGCCACAGCGAGTTGTCCTGCGGTAACCCTTCTCTCGCCGCGTACACTTCCCTCTGCTTGCTCAGACGGCTGCAGAGCGATGGCTAGCAGGTCGAGGGCAGGCTCGCGACCAGCTACAGCGCGCACCGTCGCCACCAGCTACGAAGGAGCCGCGTCCTGGGTCCTCGCCATTCTCCCAGGTCGAGGGACGGGCAGGGATGTCGGCGTCGTCGCGCTCGACAAGGAGGATGGCCAGGTTGTCGTGACGCAGGTACGTACAAGGCCATATCGTAGACCGAGCGAGGCTGATCAGGCCCGTCGTCGCCCAGTTCACCGACTCGACGACCTGGGTCAAGACCCTTCATCTCTGCAGGAACAAGCCGCCCGACGTGATTCTCCTTCCGCAGAGCGCTCTCGCTACTCCTCGCTATGCCCTCGCTGCCGAGAGCGAGGCGAACGAAGCTGCCGGCAGCGCAAGTCCCGAGGCCGCCATGCTGGTCAAGGGTTTGCAGACCGAGTTCAAGGACGTCCCGTTGATCGGCGTCGCACGCAAGTACTGGAACGAGCAGGCGAGTTCCTCGCTAGGCGCGGAGGAAGCACGCACTGACGCCGTACCGACTCGCGCTTGCGCAGGCTGGTCTGCTCAGTCTTTTCGTCGAACTTGCCATGTCGACCGCTCATCCGCACCTCGCGCAGGCTTCGAATTCCTGACGCAGCTCATTGTGCACGATGAAGACCGCCTCGGCGTGCTCACCGCCTGCAAGCCCAAGTACTACGCCCTGTCTGCCATCTGCGCGCTTTTCAAGTACCTCGAGACGAGCTACTCGCTCTCCTTCGCTCCGAAGACTCTCAAGATCGGCTACTCTGCGCTTGAAGGCACATGCTTGATCGACGCCGACTCGGTCAAGAATCTCGAGCTCGTCTCCAATGTGCGCCGCCCAAGCACGATGCCTCGACAACGAGTCGTACTGACTGACACATCCTTGACGGCAGATGCTGAACAAGAACAGCAAGCAACACCTGCTCGGAATGCTTGACAAGTGCTGCACTGCGATGGGGACGCGTCACGTACGCCCCGATAGCCCGACTCTCGCACGCGGTCTAACCTGCTCGCTTTTAGCTTCGCTCGAATATCCTCAGCCCGCTTACCGAACCAAGCGTCATCGACGCTCGCCTCGATACTGTCGGCCTTCTCGCCAGAACGCCAGGCGAACTTTGCTGATCCGCGAGTAACAGGTCGAAGAACTTGTCAAGTCGGAAGAACGCCTTCGCGCGATCCGCAAAGCTCTCGAGCAGTACGCTACCGTACTCTGTGGCTGAGTGCCGTGGGGTGATACTGACTGCTTCTCCGCCGCAGGCTCAAGTCGGTCGACCTCGACAAGATCGTCTCCCGCCTCCTCGCCGCCGAGAAGCGCCCATCTACCGGCACTCGCTCCACCTCCCGCGGCTCCATCTTCCCCTCCTTTCAATCCAGCACCGACCCCTCCAGCCAGATCGCCTCCAAGCTCGACTACCTCCTTTCGCTGCGCAACTTCCTCTCGACCCTTCCGACCCTCCGCTCGAGCGTCGAGAACAGCGACTCGATCATCCTCATGCAGGTCGAGAAGGTTCTACAGGATGACAGGCTCGAGCAGATCAGGGCGGTGATTGAGGAGAACGTCAATCCCGACATCTGGAAGAAGGGCGATGAGAAGAGGTCGAGCGGCAGGGACGCGAATGGCGGCAGGCATGCGCGTCTCTTCGCCATCAAGGCCGAGAAGAAGCGACTGTGCGTCCGTCATCGCCCGCCTAGTACGTCGGCTTACTGACAGCTCGCGCGCTCGCAGGCTGGACGTCGCTCGCGAGACCTGGCGCGAGAACACATCCGACGTCAACGACCTGTGCGACACGCTGCGTGACAAGTATGGCCTCGAAGGCTTGGCGTTGGTGCAGGGCGGCAAGGGCTCGGCGTACGTCTTCCAGCTGACCAAGGAGGAGTGGGAGGAGAAGAAGGGGGAGATCGGCAAGGCTTTCACGAACGTGGTGCGCTTCGCGAATCGACCCCATTCGACCGCATGCTAACTATTGCTCGCTCGCAGAACGTCCTGAAGAAGCGCGTCGAGTTCTCGTCGCTCGACCTCCAGAAGCGCAACGCACGCCTGCAAGAGTCGGAACAGGAGATTTACCTCATGTCGTGCGTGTCGCTCGTCGTCCTTATCTGATCAGCGTGCTGAACTTGCGCATGACAGGGAGGAGATCCTCGAGGAGATGTTCCAGGAGATTCGTGGCTGCGTTGCCTGCCTCTACAAGTGCTCCGAAGCGATCGCTCTCCTCGACATGCTCGCGGCGTGCGTAGTTTTCTCGACTCCCTGTGACACTGTAAGCTGACGACTTCAATGATAGCTTCGCCGACCTGTCAGCAAAGGAGGACTACGGTGAGTTGGTCTCAAGGCTCTCCTCCTTCGCGCCAACTGACCAAGTCGTTCAGTCCGCCCCGAGTGGACCGACACGCTCGCGATTAAGGCTGGTCGTCACCCGCTTCACGAGCAGTTCCGCCTGTCGGACGGATCCTTCGTGCCAAAGTGCGTCGCGCCCGCTTCTTCCGCCTTTCCCTCCGCTCACGCTTCACCTCGCGCAGCGACACCTACGCCAGCGACGCGGCCTCCTTCCAGCTCATCAACGGTCCCAACATGTCAGGCAAGTCGACACTCCTCCGCCAGATCGCCCTGCTGCACGTCATGGCCCAAATCGGCTGCTTCGTCCCTGCGGCCTACGCGTCCTTCCGGCCTATCTCGGCTCTCCTTACGCGCCTCTCGAACGACGATAACCTCGAGTCGAGCTTGTCGACGTTCGCGAGCGAGATGGCTACTATGAGCATGATTTTGGCCGCCCTCCAAGCGCACGAGGGAAGGAGGTGTTTGGTCATCGTTGACGAGCTCGGGAGGGGCACGAGTCCGGAGGAGGGGGTCGGGATTGCCTTCGCCATCGCGGAAGAGATCATCAGGAGCAAGGTTCGTTCGCCATCTCGCTTGCGGGCACTCGTCCGATCTTTCGCTCACCCCGCATCCTGCCAGGCCTTCTGCTTCTTCGCGACGCACTTCAAGGTGAGCTACAACCTCTGGGTCTGCATACTGGCTTGAGCTGACTCGGCGTCTTGCAGGAACTCTCGATCGCCCTTCCATCCCGCTATCCGAACGTCGTTGCCCTCCACCTCGAGACCGATGTGAGCCCTTCTCGATTCATGGCGACTCATCAATCTGACGATCCTCGCCGCAGGTCGACGAGAAGCAGCCCGACTTCAGCTTGACTTTCCTGCACAAAGTCCGCGACGGCGCGACTCCGCACACGCACTACGGTCCGTCCGCCCTCCCAAACCTCTCCAGAATCCCTCACTCAGAATCCGCGAGGTGATGCAGGCCTCGAGCTCGCAAAAGCCGTCAAGCTTCCCTCGCCCGTCCTGTACAAAGCGCGTCTCGTCTCGCTCACGCTCGAGTCGCTCGCCGAAGACGGTCGCAAGCGCTCGAGCGAGGGGAAACTCGTGAGGAGGCGGAGGGGGCTGCTTGAGGTGCGTTCTTAACTTCGCCTCTCTCGTGCGAGGGGAAACGCTGATGAGTGAGGGAGACAGCTCAAGACCCGCTTGCGCGAGATCGCGACGGGCAAGACGGACGATGCGGGAGTCCTTCTTGCTCAGCTCAGGCAGCTGCAGAAGGAGACGATCGAGATGCTCGACGAGACGATGGACGCTGCGCAGGATGTCGATGTCGATGTCGAGGCGGAGGCGAGCAAGACGGAGGACGCTGAAGAGATTGAGGAGGTCATCCCGAGCGCCGCCGGCTGGAGGGTGACGGAGATCAAGCCGGAGGACCTTTCGCTGGCGGGAACTGCTGAGGAGGGAACGGTCGACGAGGAGGACGAGGAGGACATGCTTCCCTTCGACTGACGGCGCGAGTCGCCTGCTGTGTCGCTTGTTGTTGTCGGTCGCTTGTGCATGACAGTGTTTGCCTAGATCTGCGTTGTTGGCGGTGTGAGCGAGCGAGAACTGCGAGGTTGCGAAGGTCAGGAGGGAAGACGTCGCCTCGCTCACTCGTCTCGCGCCTGGTCTCTATCCTAAATCTTCTGCGACTCTAGAAGCAGTTCGCAGTATTCCACAACCCTTGCAAGCCCGTCAAAGTCGAGTTCACTTGTTGTTTGCCTGCTCGTCGCGTTCGCACGCGCGGTTGCGAACGTCTCGCTCGTCCTCACACCGCTTGCACCTCTTCCTCGCCGCTGTGCACGCTAGAGACTGTCGCTTGGAAGTACTCCAACACCCTGAACGACCCAGCGAACCGCCCTCGCTTTCCCACTCCCTCCTCACCCACTCCCGCCGCGTCCTCATCTTCGCGCGTCCCTCGCCCTCGCAGTGGCTCGCACGGGCACGATGGAGGTCCCAGCATCACCCACGGGCGACTCGACGTCCCCGTCACGCATCGCAACCTCGCCACAGCCCGACACTGACGCCTCTCGCGCCCCTCAAACCGAGACGCGTCTCACACCTGCGACGGGCGCACCTGCGCGAGCGCGACCGGTCAAGCAGTATGGGAGGAAGAAGGAGGAGCAGCAGCCTATCGAGGCGGGGGAGGCACCGGCGCGTCCGCTCGAACGAAGGTCCACAGAGGTCATTCCTGAAACCGACTTTCCCATGGAGCGGACAGAGTCGCCTGAGCGGGAAGAGGAGGACAAGACGTCGCCCGTCAGGAGGGGGTTCATGACGAGCTCGCCAAGTTCGAGGCGCGCCGAGCACTCGACTGACCCGACAAGCGAAGACGAGGGGTCGCCTGTCAAGGCGAAGCCGACTCGCCATGCCGTCTCGTTCAAGGACGGCCTCGATGCACTTTTGGCGTCCTCCGACGCCGAAGACGTGTCGGAAGCGGGCGGTGACGACGAGGCGGACGACCCCTTGGCCGCCTTTGTCCGCGGGAAGAACATCCAAGCTCTCCTCGCCGAAGTCGACGACGAGTTCGACAACGCGGAACTCAATTGCACGCCTCTCGCCAAGCTTCCCACCGTTCCCGACCACATCAAGCTACAGACGTCCTCCTCGCTACCGACTCTCACGCCTTCCACCCTCTCACCTTCGAAGACGTCCACAGTCAGGCGCGCCAACTCGCCTTCGTCGCCTTCGCACGCGCTGGACGGGATTGAGGACATCCTCGGCTCACTTGAGAGCGAAGAAGTCTTGCCGACAGCTCAGCGAGGGAAGAAGGCTCGCCGGGTTATTGACTCGGACGAGGACGAGGACGATGAGGAGGCGCCAACGGCTAAGTCGAAGCATCGCTCTGCCGTACCCGACTCGTCAGACGCCGAGCAAGACGAGCCAGCCGCGCCTTCGACCTCGACCTCGACCTCGGCCAAGCCCGCTTCGACAGCCCTATCAGCTCGGGACCGCTTGCTCGCTCTCGCATCGAAGAAGCGGACGGAGAAGGAGGCCAAGGATGCGAGTTTGAGGAAGAAAACGGTTTCGCCTGCGCCGAAGGAGGACGAGGATGATCTGATCTTGAGTGAAGAGGAGCGTGAGAGGGGAAAGAAGGGAAAGAAGGCGACGCAGCGTAAAAGTTCGAAGCTCAAGGTGCGTTTCGCTCGCCGCCTTCTCGTTCGTCGTGCCGTGGCTGATAGTGGCCAACCTCCCGCAGCCGCTGTCGAAGAAGGAGGAGGCCGAGATGCAGAAGATGACCGAGGCGATCAAGCGACGTGCGTTTCACTCCTCCATGCGACATCACGGCGCATGAACTGACAGCACATCGACCCCGCAGAGCAAGAGGCGCACCTCGCTCCTTCGCACAAAGCCGCCCCTTCGGTCGCCGATATCTTCAAGCGCACTCGCCAGCTCTCGCCTCCTCCAGCCCCGATCAACCGCATCCGCAACGCATCAGTCGCACCCCTCTCTGCCCTCACCCTCTCCTCCTCCGACAGCGACGCGATCGTCACCTCTTCGCCTTCTCACATTCCCGCAACTCCGCAACCTGGTCCTGCGGGCCTCTCGCTCAAAGCGCTTGGCAAGCAGTGCGCGACCTCGCCTATCGACGATGCGGACATGGCGACGCCTGTTCCGCATCGCGTGCGCATGCCGAAGCCTCCGCCTGGCTGGGGAGTCAAGAAGGTTGAGCCTGTCGCTGCGGAGGAGGACGACGAGGAAGAGCTCCTCTCGCTTGACGAGATGAACCGGCGGGCGGACGAGAAGCGCAAGAAGGAGGAGAAGGCGAAGCGGTTGCGGGAGGCGAAGATGGCTGCGCTCCGAGCGGCGAAGGAGCAGGCCCAGCGTCAGCAGGCGGAAGACTCGGACTCGGATCTCGACATTGAGGGTGCGCCTGGCGCATCTAAGAAGAAGAAGGCGGTCGGCAGGAAGGTCGACCCGCGCCACTTGTCTGCTCAGACGCCCGTTCGACCCAAGAGCGAGGCTCTTCGCGTCCTCGCACGCTTCGGCGGCGTCAACCTCGCTCACCCGCCTTCTGACGACGCCGACCCGAGCGAGAGCCAGCTCGTCACCGCAGCCAAGACGTTCGGCTCGCACCTCGACCCGAAGAACGAATACCGCCCATCGCCTGCCAAGCGGACTTCTCGTCGTGCTGCTACTGCCGCTCCGCCCACCATCACCCTCGACGTCCTTGGCGAAGGCTTGCTAAAGAAGAACGCGATCTACAACGTCAAGCTACGCACGATGAAGCAGACCAAGTACCGACAGAAGCAGCTCGAGGAGCAGGCTCGACCGGCGGAGCAGCCTCAGATCGCCTCAGTGAACGTCAAGGAAATCCTCGAGAAAAAGCAGAAGCAGGCGGAGGAGGATGAGGAGATGGAGGATGCGGAGGACGGTGACTACCGGGAGGACGGCGCTGACGCGGAGGAGGCCTACGACTCGGCTGCGGGCGCCTCCGACAGCGACGATCCCTTCGGCGGTCACGACTCGGACGCACCTATGCAGCCGACGCGATCGCGCAATACCGGCGTCGGCGATGCCGAGGAGGACGAGGGCGAGATTGACAGCGAGGGCGAGCCCGTCATGCCTCGCTCGTCGCAGAACTCGGAGCGCTTGCGGGGCGCGCTGCTCGACGAAGATGACGAAGAGGAGGAGGCGCCGGTCGGTGCAGCGGACGAGGAGAGCGAGATGCCACCTCCTGCGGCGACACGACGGACGGTCAAGGTCCGCATCATGGATGATGACGACTCGCAAGACGCAATCGCCGAGCCTGCGCCGACTGAAGTCGTCACGACTGCAGCACCGCCAAAGGAGCCGAAGACGCCGGCAGGAGGACGCTTCGCCTTGGGCGGCTTGCTCGGCGACGCAGGCGATGCTGGCGGTTTCTCGCAGTTCTTTGACTCGCAGTTCTCGCAAGGCGGTGACGATGAGGTCAGTCCTTTCGTGCGACTTCTCACGGTCCTTCGCTGACTGGCGTCTCAAGGAACAGGGCGACGGCTTCCTCCGACCGAAAGACGGCGACTTCGACGCCCCTGCACCTACGATGTTCGCTGCGCAGCCGCTCATCAGTACTGCCGAACGAGCTGCCGACGCTGCCCGCCTCGAAGCTCGTGGAGGGTTCAACGACTTCGAGCCCGGCACGCCTCGTGAAGCGCCCGCACCCCGGCAGTATATCAATGACAAGGGGTGAGAGATCGGCATCGTACTACCGCTCCGAGTGGCGACTGACTCGCTCGCGTTCGCAGCTTCCTCACCCAGACTCGCCCCGCCAACCTCTTCGACTCGCCTTCCGACTCACCCATGCAGTTCTACCGCAACTCGCTCTCGACGCGCGACTCGCAGTCGCAGGCTCTCGACGAGACCCAGGTCGCGACGGCGCAGACGCCGACGCAGGCTCCTCGCGATTCAACCAAGTTGCGTCGCACGAACGCGCTCGTCGCCTTCGACAGCATGACCGACATCGCTCCAACCGAAGTCCAGCTTGCTCCGACCGAGAACGTCGGCTCGCGCTCGACGGATGACCAGACCGTCGAGACGCAGGAAACGCAGGACGCGATGCCTTCAGCCGCTCAGCCTACGCTCGCCTCGACAAAAAACGCTTTCGACCTCTTGCGCGCTGGTGCAGCGCAAGACCCTGACACTGTGGCGCCTGCTCTGCCGAAACGCCGCGAGCGCAACCAGTTCGTCGACGCCGAGGCAAACCTTTCCGACGAGGAAGAAGCGCTTGGGCTGGGCGGAGTCAGCGGCGACGAAGACGAGGATGGCCACGACGCCGAGCTCGAGTCGCTCGTCGACAACGAGGAGGTTGACCGCGAGATCCAGGACGAGCAGGATCGCCTTGCGGCTGAGCGCTATGCGTGAGTCTCGCTTCTTCCGCTCTCTGGAAGCGGTGACTGACCATCTCGCAATGCAGCGAGGACCAGGCGAAGGCTGACGAGGCGGCTCAGCTGCGAGCTCAGCGCATTGTCGACGGAAAGGAGCGCCAGAAGCGCAAGGGCTACCTCTCCGACGACGACTTTGACGACGACTACATCAACAACCGGCGACCCCGCGAGAAGCGACAGCGTGTCGAGGACATGACGACCGCCCAGCTCAGTGCGTGCTGACGGGCGCTTTTTTGCTGGCAGTCGCTGACATGGCCATCCGCTCGCAGAGGAGAACGAGGAGACCCAGGCTTTCGGCACCACGCTTGAGACCGCCTGCGTCCCGACCGCCAAGCCTGGCGAGTACAACTTCCTCGAAGCGCAGGAGCAGTCGGAAGGGGAAGACGACGACCGCGACGAGGGGGAGGGCGGCATTGTCGATGTCTTCGGCCGGAAGGAGTCGCCTGTGCCGGTTCGCAGCATTCACGAGGCGCGGGCGATGGCAATCCAAATGCAGAAGGAGAAGTACGGCGGTGGGGAGGACATGCTTGCCATGGAGGTCGAGGAGGAAGAGCGGTTCCTGCGGGGATTCTCGCCGGACGTCGGCTCGAGCTCGCCTGTTGCGCCACTCAAGCTCAACAACCGCGTCACGGCCAAGCTCTCTACGACCACCGTCGTTCAGGCGACGCGGACGGACGACTATGACGAGCTGGATGTGCGTTGCCGCTCACCTCTCTCGACTGGGTGCCTAGCTGACCTGTCCTTCCTTTGCAGTCTCAATACTCCCTCGTCCGCATCGAGTCGGCGCAGCTCAGCATCCAGTACAAGGCGAGCGATGACTTGCATGTGGCGGGCGTCAACGGGAGCCGCGGCGGTCAGGCCATGTGCGTCTCGTCCTTCTCTTCCGCTTCTTCGCTAGCTGACGGCAAGTCAATGGCAGCACGAGCTTCAAGCAGAACCGTGCAAAGCTCGCGGCGAAAGCTGACGGCGGTGTCGCAAGCAAGACGAAGGCGCTCGGTCCGAGGGCGAGCAGGTTGGCAGACATCCGCAGGGGCGGATTTGCATAGATTGGCGGGCTTCTAGCGTTTCTTTCGTAATTCTGCAGGTCTCGTCCCGTCTGTTGTCTTCACAACGCATCTTATTGCCTCGTCCATCTACTCGTCTCGTGCTACTCGCTTCAGCTCGTCTCTCAGCGCCGACCGCCAAACTCGCGGCATCCCCTTCTCAATGATACCGTTGTCTCGCGTCACGTCCTTGCCGAGCTCTTCCAACAGCTCGTCGAGCGCGCCATTCTCCCTCGACGCGATGTACCGTAACTGTTGCGGCGAGTCGACCTCGATCGAAGGTCGGGCGAAGAGGTGGACGTGCTTCTCGATGGGGAACGGGCAGGAGAGCGAGCGGAGGAAGTCGGCGAGGTCGCTCGGAATTTCAGGACGTTTTGGGTCGGCAGTCTTGCCGCTTTCGTGCACGTCTTGCGCTGCAGCGTTCCCTGTCGCTTCTGTTGGAGTAGCAGGTCCGACTTGGATCTGTCGAGAGCTGCGTCAGTACGAGACTGGGAAGCGAGATGAGCCGCGACGCACCGCCGGCTTGACATCCTCGCCCTCGGAATCCGAGTCGCACAAGTCGATGACAACCACCTTTTTCTCCTTCGGTGCCGCCTCCGCACGGTCATCTTCTATTCGCGGTGTCTTGCGCTCGGGCTATGTGCAAGACGCGGGTAAGCTGATGAGCTGGTTCGAAAGCATGCCCGACTTACTTGGCCCAACGGTTCCGGGGCTGCTTCACGCTTAATGCGAGCGACTGGCGACGTCGCTGACGGAGATTGGTATGCGACTGGCGTCGGCGTCGGAAGGTCTTGTCGCGGAGGAGTGCGCTTCGGCGGCGTGACAGGCGGAGTCCGCAGGATGAACGTATCATGTGAGCGCTTCATCTGAGCAAGAGCTGCCGCATGCTGTAAGGCAAAGAGTCAGTGGCGTACTACGCTGATAAGATGGCGTGAGGCCTCACCTCATTCTGCGTGAACAGCGAAAGTTTTTCCTTCGCCGCCTCGACTAAGTCGTCAAAAGACGCCTTCCCGAACATCTTCTCCCAGGTATCGAGAATCATGTTCTGCTCGCCGAAGGCAGCGTCGAGCTCCCAGCGAGTCGGTGGATCGACAGAGGTGACCCGGAACGACCACGACTTCTTGATGTGGTCGAGGCGGTCAAGGGCCCTGTCCCGCACCTCCGCTTTGCGCTTCTTCAGATCCGTCTCCTCTTCCAGCTTGTGAAGCATTCGGTCCAGGTAGCCCAGACGAGCCTCGTGGTTATGCTGAGTGTTAACCCGCGTTACCACCGTCCTGGGGATGCCCTCGACGACTCGGGGCTCGAGGACCACGCGGAAAGTGCAAGGTGGTGGTGCAGTCGAGTCTTTGTCCTCGTAGCAGCAGCCGAAGTGGAAAGGCCGCCCGCGGCCCAGTCGGTTCCAGTGAGAGTGCTCGGTTGGAAGCGGGAGATCCTCGACGGGAAAGCCTTCGTCGACTGCGAGAGCGCGTCAGCTAGGAACGCAGCATGCGCATGGTGGTCCACGCACTTCCCAGCTGCATCAGCTTGATGCGTACGAGGTCGTACTCGTCGTATCCAGGCCAGACAGACCCAAGGATGAACGAAAGCGGTGGTGGGGCGTCTGCGGCCATGACGGATAGGCGACGATGCAGCGTGTGGCAGCAGGCGCAAAGGAGACAGGCGAAATCGCGAGAAGCGGGAGGACTTGAGGAAGGAAGATGCGGGACGAGCAGGAGACGCGACGCGCTCAGTTCGCACGAAGCGACGCCCGGGGGCCTAATCAGTTCCCGCGAGCTCTGCGCCCCGTTCAGACTAAGTTATGCCCTCCTTTGGCGATAGAAAGAAACTCGTAAGCGCGAGAACGCCAGCAAAAGGACTCAGCAAGGCGGCGCAGAGAGATGACCTTCCCAAGTTGCCGACCCTCCGTACGCGCAAGCGACGCCGCCGTCCTACTGCTCTTCCTGCACCCTCTTCAGCAACTCCGAATGAAGCATCATCCGCCAGAGCATGGGCATCCCCTCCTCGATCGTCCCATCCGCCTTGACCTCATCCTTGCCGAGCTCCGTGCTGAGGGTGTCGAAGCAGGGCGGCACGGCGGTCACAAACTTCAGCAGCTGCTGCGAACTGTCGATGCGGATCGTGCGGCGCGAGAAGAGGTGGGCGTACTGTTCGTACGGGAAAGGCGGGAGGGAGGTGAGGAAGGCGACGAGGTCGCTTTGAGCGGGCGCATCGGCCGGCGGCGCGGCAGGCGGCTGCTGCTGGTTGGCCTGCTGTTCCTGGCGCGACGACCGCACCTATGGCCGCGGTGCAATTGTGAGAGTCAGGAATGAGCATGAACGGAGATGAGATAGCAAAGGCAGACGCACCTCAGGCTTGACGTCCTCCTCGTCCGACTCGTCGAGCACGAGGACCTCCCGCTTCTTTGAGACCTCGCGTTTGACGCGCTTGTCTGAGGGACCAGCCACAGGGGTGGGCGAAGGCGATGGCGGCGCTCGCTTCTTGTCCTTCTTCTTCGCCTTCCCTTGCGGTGCCTGTCGGAAACGAATGTCTACGTCATGCATCGAAAGGGATTGCAAAACGTACCGGTGGAGTCGCAGATGGTGAGCGAGCGGGAGGCGAGGCCGCAGACAGCTTTGCGATGCATCGCCCGCCTCGCAGAGACCAGACTCGCTGGCAGCGTTGACCGGGGCGTGTCAGCATACTCATCAGTCGAAGAGCATAGTGAGCCTCGTACCTCTGAATCCGCCTCGTTGCCCGTAACTGCGTCCACTTCGCACAAGATGCCCGCCTCCTTCGCCGCCTTCCGCAGTCCTCCTTCGCCTTGTGACCGAGGATCTTGCCGATGTTGTCGAGGATCTCGGTCTGCATCGCGAACGTCTCGTGGATGGGAATCGTGACGGCGGAGACGAGCTGGTAGTCGTAGCCTTTCTTCAGCTTCTTGAGCTGCTCGAGTGCTCGAAGACGAAGCTTCTCTTCAGACTCGCGGACCCATGCATCGAGGCGATATCTGGCGTCCTCTTCGAGGACGAGAGGGTGGTTGTGCGCGAAGCTCGCCTGTACGATGGTTGCTCGAGGATCCTCGCTCGAATTGCTAGGTTCGAGCAGCACCTTGATGCCACACCCTTTCTCTGCGCATTCGAAAGATTGACGTTCGCCGGAGCCGTGCGGTCGAAGGTCGAGTAGTGTATCCGCAGTATTCGAATCCCTCATGCACTGCAAAAGGTTCGCCGTCATCGAGCCGGGTCGCATCGAGGGATTGCTAATGGGAGCGGAAAGACAACGCACAAGCGTGGCGGAAGAATCGCAGGCAGAACGACCAGTTGTCGTCCCATCCAGGCCACCTCGACCCAACGACGAACTGGAAAGGCGGCGGCGACATCGCAACCTAAGTTCCGGAGGTTCCGCGGGACGATGTAGGAGAGTGAGGAGCGGCGACGGCGCGAGTTGCGTGTGTGTGAGGGGCTGAGGCAGCACGAGGAGAGCAGCCGCACAGTCAGCGTGCTAGGCGAAGCGCGAGCGAGCGAGCGAAGTGAGCGGGAGGAGGAGAAGAGAGGTCCTGATGGTCCGACCGCTTGCGATCTCCCAGCTCTCCAGCCGCACAAGTTTGACGGCACTTCTAACGTTGTTGCACGCCTGCTCTAGTAGTACGCGACCGTGTGCAACAGTTCGTGCGGATGTCGCTCCTGCTGCCGCGCGAGGATATCGTCGATCTCGCTGTCCAAGTCCTTCGATGCTTCGATCTGCGCGTGTAAGAACGTCAGCACACATATCCACTCGAGCGAGGGGATGAAGAGGCGACGCACCGCCGAACACAGCTCGAGCATCGCCTTTCCTGCGATGAGCGCCTCCTCGTGGTTGTCCTTAATCTCGACGTTGATGACGTGCACAGGTCGGTTGAGCTCTCCGTTCTTCGACAGCAGGTCTGTCGCGCGGGACAAGCGTCAGCACGACAGCGTGGAAGACGAGTCACCCGAACAACGAACGCACCGTCAATCACCGCATCGTAACACCGCTCCTCGCACGTGATGACGACGTCCGCAACCTTGCTGCTTTCCTGCCACCGCTCCGGCGCAGTCTTGATCTTGCGATTCCGGTCGAGCATCGTCAATAACCCGTTCGCCGTGTATCTGCCGTCTCAACGCTTCGTCAGCCGCGCTCGAAACAACAAAGGGGAGACTCGGGTCGCACAACCGCTCGTCTTTCTGCTTTAGGTCTTGGTACATGTGCTCGTAGGGCGTGCCGAAGGCGTAGATGTTTGGTCGGTCGATACTCGGTCCAGGCAGACGGACGGCCGATCCCGTCCCCGCCGAGATGACCTTGAAGTTGGCCTTCCTGCGCGCGATGGAATGAACAGCCACGTCAGCACTCATAGAAGGGGGGGAGAGCGGAACGCCAGCGCACGACAAGACGTTGTGAGCCTCCATCGAGCGGTTCTGGTTACTCGCGCACACAACGCAGAACGTGACCCTCTTCCCACCTCCCTGCCTGTCCTTCTCGTTCGTGGCCGACGCAGCGCGCATCGCACTTGGCGGAGGAGTAGCCATCGGAGTCGCCCTCGAAGGAGGGACGACCGTCTCGAGTCCCCCTGCGGGCGGAGGAGGCGGACCGCGGTATTGCTGTGTGTAGGAAGGGTACAATGACGAAGGTGGTGGAGGGGTAGGTTGGCCATAGGAAGCTGGGGGTCCGTTGTATGTCGCTGGGTAGGATGAAGGTGCTGGAGCGGGAACGGCGCCGGGTGGAGCGGGGACGGGCGGGCGAGGGGACGCGGTGCGGTTCGCGTAGGCTTCGCGCATCCGCAGGCGTGGGTCGGAGGACATCTTGGGCGCGGTGTTGTCGAGTTGTGTTCGGATGGTGATGAAGTGATGTCGAGGGGGAAGGGGACGGCGTCGGAGGGTGCAGGGAGGGCTTCAAGGGCTCGTCAGACCTGTACAGCGTTCTCCTCGCTTCAGCAAGGCTTCTCCAGCAGCAGCGCGGTGTTGCGGACGAGGTTGACCTCACTCGCTCGCGTCCCCCTCCCCTTGACCTTGGCCACCCACTCGTGCTCCTCCTGAGATGCCAGTCAGACGCGTATTGGCACGATTCGTCGCTTGTTGTGCCAATGATGCCCGCCCAGCTACCCGCCAGCCTCGCGCGCCCTCCTACTCTTCCTTCTGCAAGACGGCTCTCTCTCTACGGTACTGCTGGCGCTCCCGCTGCCGCTGCTCGAGGTGGGCCCATGACGCTGCCATGGCTGGGCTTGGGTCGGGTGAACGTGGCGGAACAGATATTGGCGATATGGACCGACTGTCTGGCGACCGCTCTCCCTCCTCCCCTCCGCCTCGCTACTTTACACTCGTTCAGCCAAACCCGCTCTGACAATACCTCCGACACTCGACTCGCTCGGCCGCAGCCCCTTCTCTCGGCGCACCATTTCGCGAGGCTTAACTTACCCGTCTTTCCTCGCACGCCTCGTCGCTCTCTCGCGACCTTTGCTGCTGCTGCTGCTGCTGCTGCTGCGCCGCGAACAAGCGCGAGCGAGAAGCAGCAGCGGGAGTGATCGATCGCCTTCGCTCGAACCGCTGCTGGAAGGAAAGGGATTCGCGCAACAGAAGCGTTCCAAGTACGGACTCTGCCTCGCAGACTCTGATTAAGGTCGACGCTTCGAAGACTCTGGCTTGCTCCAGTTCGCTTGCGATTGGCGCTTCGTCCCGCCGCTGGAATGGTGTCGATTGAGCGGGTTTGGCGACGTTTGCTTGGCCCCCGTCGACGGACATCCTCACTCGATGTCAGCGGGTGGGCAAACTCGCTCGCTGCGAACCGTAGTTCCTCCTGGCTCGTTTCAAAAGGCGCTCTCATTGACACCGACGTCGAAGCTGACGACCACCAGCGCAACGGTCTCGTCGCGGCAAAAGAGCGGCAGCAGGGAGGACGAGGAGAGGCAATGACTTGCTGAGGGACCGGCTTCCAACGCACTTGGTCCCGGGCTACTGTATTCAATCCTCCTGCGCGTGATCTCACCCGACTCGGAATAACTTGCGCAGTTGGCGCCAGAAGCGAAGCTCGCCCATGGCCAGGTCCGCCGTGTCAGCTGCTGTTGGTCTTGCGAAAAGAGAGACGAGGTCAGTGGGTCGCCCTTGTAACGGCTTGGTTGACGGAGGCTGCATTGTCGACGACTCGGCCGCTCTGCGAGTGTCGATCGTGAGCTCTCGTCTGCAACGAGGACGAGGGAGAAGTCGTCGTGCAGGAGGGATTTCTTTCACCAGGCACCCCCGGCTGTGTCCCGGGTTGAAATTGATGGGCAGTGGTGTTCCGAGAGCAGTGTCTCGGTTGCGAGTGTGCCTGCTTTCGCAAGTCCCCGTGCAAAGCCCAGCGAGGCGGTGGGGGCGTGAGCTGCTCGACCACCAGCGGGACAACTCGACTCGTCCTCGTCCTCGTCCTGCGCTCACTCTCGCGCTCAACGACGAACGACGTCGAACTGCTGCTCGCTGCGACTCACACGCGCGGCTCACAGCTTGCAGCGACGCGCGCCAGCCTGCACAGCGACGTCGAGAAGGTCGCCTGCAAGTCGATGACCTCGCACCGCCTCGACTGACACCACCTCTCGCTCGAGGCGCGCCACGCGCACACTGCGACCCTTGAAACACACTCACGCATCCCGGCTGTCCCTCGCCAGCCCGCACGATCCCCTGGATCAACCGCCAGCGCCGACAAACCCCCTCGACACCCCGCCGGCAGTCCTACACCTCGTCCCCTCTCTCTGCGTCCGGTTTCGCCACGCACGACTCGTGAGAGTCACTCACTGCAGCGCACGACTCTGCCCAATCCCCGCCGACGAGCGAGGAGCGACAGTTCGGCCCCTCGTCGCCTCCGCAATGTCGGCCGCCGAACCTGTGCAGACGCCCAAAGTCAAGCGTTCGCAGTTCATCGACAAGCTTCACGAGTGCGTCTTTGCGCTGTCACTTTGTACGAAACGTCAGAGGGAACGAGCTGACCCTCGTCTCGCAGTCTCCTCGAGAACCCTCACGACCCCGACTCGCTGCGCTGGTCGCCCGACGGCGCCGCCTTCGAGATCACGACACACGAAGCAAAGGCGAGAGCGGCCTTGTCGCCAAAATGGGACTTTCGATCGTGCGTAAAAGTCGAGATGCGCCCACTTTTCGCGAGACGGTCGGATTGACGGTTTTGCGGTTGTACAGGCTGAGCAGCTTCATCCGCCAGCTGAGGTGCGTTGCGACGGTGTAGAAACGTGGAGAGCGAGCTGACGTTTCGGTTGTCCGACGTAACAGCTACTACAACTTCAAGTACGTCCGCGTTCCTCCTCCTGCATCCCTCAAAACGAGCCTGACCAGCTTTTCCCTACCCAGGCGCCTCAGTGACCGTCGACGGTCGAGCGAACGTCGCAGCTCGACGACAAGCTACATCGTTTTCCAGTAAGCCCTCTCGCTCTCCCTCCTTCGCTCCCTGAACTCACCCTCCGTATCCCCAGCCACCCCTCCGGCTTCTTCATCCGCGGCGACAAGTCACGACTCGACGGCATCATCCGCAAGACGCGACCAAAGACGCAGCAGAGTCGGAGGCAGAGCATCGCCTCGAACCTCTCGACCGACGACTCGCTCTCCTCCGCTCCGGCTGCCGCGGCGTGGTCGACCGGCGTGGGCGAAGCAGCGCAGGCGGGTCCTTCGGCCCTTCCCTCGCCGTCGAGCCCGTTCTCCTACACGCCTGTCCCCGGCCTTGCCAAGTCGTACCAAGGTCCGCCTGCGACGAACGATCCCGCCTGGCGACCCTACCATGCGTCGGGCTGGCCTCCTGCAGCGAGTCACTCTCCCTTCGTCCAGCAACAGCAGATGTACAGCGTCGCGCCTATGCCAGGCTCGCTCCCTCCCATGGGCTTCGACCCAACTCTCCCGCCGCTCGACCAGCAACACGCCCTGCGCCGCTCGAGCCTGAGCGAATTCAAGATCTCCCCCGAACCAAAGGTGCACGACTTGCAGACCAACGCGCACGGTCAGGCGTACCTCCCGAACGTCGCGCAGATGCCGCCGCACCAACCTCCTCCACACGCAACCTTCGCCTTCCCCGCTCAGCCATTCCCTCCTAATCCCGCTTACCATCCCCACGCACCTCCCTACGACGCCTACGCCTCGCACCTTCCCACCGACTCGCACCCGCACTCGCCCTACCCCTCCGGTCTCCCCTTCTCCTTCGACCCCACCCAGCCTCGCGGATCAGGCTCGTCCTACGGGACCGGCACATCCTTCAGTTCGCGCTCGTCAGGCCAATCGCTCGTCCCGCCTCCTCCTGTGCATCCGCATCCGCATGCGCAGAGACTGAGTATAGCGGGCGGAGCGGTACCCTCGCCGCCTTATTCGTATTCGTCGGCCGACGCGGAGGAGGATGGGTCGGTTCCGCCTCAGGGACAGGGGTCGTATCCCCCTTCGAGGCAGGGCGAGTACCCTCCCCAGCAGGCGCAAGTCGACTATCGAAGAGAGAGCGTACACGACCCGTCATCTATCGATCCTCACCAGCCACTCGACCAGCACCCTCAAGCGCATCACCAACTCCCTCCGCTCCCGCTCCAGCCTCATCAGACGCATCAATTCAACCCCTCGCCCGCTGCGATACCCCCTCCGCCTCCGCCGCCTCAAGCCGAGACAGGAGGACCACAGCTCCTGCATCCGCAACCGCAGCATCAGGCGTTGGTGGATGTGGAGTGGAGACATGACGGAGATGGAGGAGGAGGAGGCGCGGATCTGGCGGGCCAGTTTGGGGGTTGGGCGGCGGGAGGAGGGGCGGCGGGAGGAGGGAAGGAGGGAGGGCCTGAGGGAGAGGAGGTGGCGTGATTTGGTGAGGGGCTTGTTGTAACTTGTCTGGGTTAAGGGAGTGTAGGGACGGGTTTGCAGTGTGGGCGTGTTGCCTTGAAACTTTCCTTCGATTTGCTCGACACAACCGGGTATGCGCGAAAGCTAGCGAGCGGGTCGGAGCCTGCTTGAGCGCTTGTTGACTATCGACAAGCAAGCGTAGCGGCATGAGTGCGAAAGCGTCCAGCCGAAAGCAGCTGCCACCGTCGAGGGAGAGAAGGTTCGCCAGGAACAAGGACTCGAGGTTGGAGCCCCTCGCAGACTCGTCTGATAAGCTCGTCTCAATCTGTGATCCTCCAAGGGCCCCCGGCATGCAAGAGCAGGCGGGTCGAAGGGGTCGAGGGCGATGAGGTGGTCGGAAGCGTCCAAGCGAGCTTTCGACGCAGCAGGCGCCCGAACGCGCGCGTCGAGAAGAACGCAGCGCAGTCCAGCGCAGGAAGCTCCAGCAGCAGCGGGCGAAGAAGTCTGTTTGTTGCGCGAGTCGACGTGCTGCTCCTGGAGAAGAGCGGGGTCGAATGACGCGGTGTTTTGTTGGCGACAACGAGACGCTGCTGCCTGGCGAGGGTGGGCACGGTGTGGAGCGTGCCCCTGTGCTCCCCGTGAGACTGCCCAGCCGACCCCGCAAGCCGTGGGCGATGCATGAGAGCTCCTCATCTCCTTGTCAAGCCGAGCGAGTTGAACGAGGCGACGACGGCGTCTGGGAGGGCGAGAGCTGCGCGGGCATGGTCCGTGGACGTGTAGAACCTTGTCAAGCACACGTTACACCCACCCAGCGCCCTGTGAGCGAGCGAGCGAGATGATGAGGGCCAACCCCCGACGCTCCTCGCCTCTTCGCTCCTTCAACCGCCGCTGCAGCGCTTCCTCACGGGCAGAGGGCCGCCAGGGCCACTCTAGCACGCCCAACCACTCGCTAGAACGCTCCTTCACACGCTACCCGCCCGCCGCGCGACCACGTCCGCGCTCACGCCGCGCCTTTCTCTTCACTCGGCACCGACAGGCGTTTCGAGCTCTCGCGCTCGCTACAGGCGGTCGTGCGAGGAGAGGACACCAGGTGCGTGACCAGCGAGGGCTATTCGAGGACCCAGGGACATCGCTGACCAGCGCAGGGTCACTCGCTCGCCGGTTTTTCCCTCCAACTCCCCACATCCTGCCTCCTCTTCGCGGTTTTTCACCCGCTCGTCCGACAGATCTCCCTCGCCAAGCGCGCTAAGTTAGTCACTCGCTGTGATGGCCGCCGTCGTCAGCCCCCTTCCCTCGCCGCCGCTTCCTTCGTCCCCAGAGTCGCTCTCGTCCGGCTCGTCGAACTCGTGTCCGCCTCTGCCACCGCCCGCTGCGCCTTTCCCCACCTACACCAGCTTCGACAGCCCCAAGACAAAGGCGTTCCCGCCACACTGGTCGGCGCCGACTGCCTCGCCAGCGGGTTCAACCTCGTCGAGACGGCACGGCAGGACGAGTCACCGTACAGCGCAGTCGATGAGCCAGCCGCGCGAACCGTCATCCTTCCTCGCGAACGAAGAGGCGCACGAAGAACCGGCAACGAGCTCGCCTCCGACGACGCGCCGAACCCACCGTTCTTCTCAGTCCGTCAGCCCGTCGCCGATCTCGAGAACACCGTCGGCTGAAGAAGTCAACTCTGACGAGACGCCGAAACGTGTCCCGCCTCGACGTTCGAGAACGCTCTCGTTCTCGGCTGCGCAGCAGGCGTTCGTGCCGGCTCGACCAAGGCTCTCGCATGGTGTCGGAAGTGCGGGAGCGTTCCCCTTTCCTCGGCTCGAGGAAGGGAAAGTCGCTTCGTCCGTTGCGCTCGACCGCACATCGTCCACGGGCTCGTCATCTTCGGTCGTCGTGCGGCCGCCACGGCGATCCCGGACAACGCTGTCGACGCGGACGGTCCCGACTTCGCAACGGCCGGCTCGACCAGGTGCAGCGACCGACTACTTGGAGGCGAAGGTGGTGATTGGTGCGTGCACGCTCTGATCGAGGTGAGTAGACGGTATTGACCGCCCTTCGTCTCGCAGTCGGAAGTCAAGGCGTCGGCAAGACCTCGCTCATTCACCGCTCGACAACCGGCAAATTCAACCATTCCCTCTCCTCCACCATGGGCGCCGGCTTCTTGACCAAGAAGCTCACCATCGCCGACACCAAGGTCCACTTCCAGCTGTGGGACACGGCGGGAGGCGAACGATTCCGGAGTTTGGCCAAGTTGTATTATCGAGGCGCGCTGGCCGCCATCCTCGTCTACGACGTGACCGACGAGTCGAGTCTACAGGACCTCAAGTTTTGGCTGCAAGGTGCGTGGCGATTGACCTACTCGGTCGACGAGTCTGACTGCCCTTTCTCGCACACGTAGAGCTCCGGAAGAACATGTCGGAGGACCTCATCATCCTCGTCGTCGGCACGAAAGCCGATCTCGCAGGCTCCTATCCTACCATCCCTCTCGCCGACGCCCAGCGCTACGTCGCACTCTGCATGCACGAGCTCGGCGAATCTTCGCCCGACTCGACTACCTCCTCTACTCCCGCTCGATCGCGCGAAGCTACGCCTGTCGCTCGACCACCACAAGTCCGCAACTCGTTTCCTTCTCAGCCTCTTCCGACTCGTACTCGTACCTACTCCTCGCCTTTACTTTCGAACGCCGAAGTCCCGACTATCACGACCACCCCGCCCGTCTCCAACGCGAACGCTCCTCCCGCCATGACCGCCTTCGACGACGCACTCATCTCGTCCCGAGGACGTGCCGTCAACCGCCTTGCCCAGTCGACCGGCCCGTCCTCTCATCCGCCCGGCCAGCCTCCGCCACCTCGCTTCAGCCAGCATACCCGCCCCGCCTCGCTCAGCTCGTCCATGACCCTGCCCGACCTAAGCGCGTACACTCTCTCCGGTCTCGTAAGCCAACCCTCCGCCGCGCACGACAGCCTGACCATGGTTCGATCCGGCTCGGCAGGCGCTTCTGCGACCAGTACCTCTCCGACTTCCTCCTCCGGCTCTCCAACCGCCAACGGCTCGCAGATCAGTCAGAACGCCGGCATATCGCATAGCACGTCCGCGTTTGGGCTGATGAGCTTTGGCTCGTCGCTCGGAGACTTGGTGGGCGCTTCGGCGCTCTCGTCACGCCGCAAATTGCAGCAAGACGACCTGCACCGTTTCCTCCAATGGCCCGCGTCGTCCGCCCTTCCCCCGCCTTCGTCATCGTCAACGAGCCTCGCCGCGTCCCGCGAAGCCCGCGCGCTCGAGTCGGCCCGTATCCAGCAAATCGTCGACGACTGCCCGATCGAAGTCGTCGAAGTGAGCGCCAAGGACGGCTTCGGTATCGAGGAATGTTTCTGGACGATCGCAGAGCGACTCATCGAGCGGAAGGAGGAGATTGAGCGCAGGAGAGTGCTGAGGAGTAGGGATAGCATTGTCTTGCGGGAGGACGACGCGGCTGCAGTAGCTGCAGCAGGTGTGAAGGGCGGAGCGGGCGCCTGCGCGTGCTAGACTCGACGCCTTCGATGTTGATTTGACGCCTTGACTTTCTTACAACCTCCGGTTTGCGACTCCCGACCCGGCTAATTCTCGACGACCCACGCATTCAAGATTCCCCTTCTTGCCTTTCTCTTATTCGACTTTCGTTCGCTCCTGTCCGACACTGCATGATTGAATCCCTTGTGCGTCGCGCTGTCTTGCGCCGCCGTCTCTCGCCAACCTCGCTAACATCGTCTTCGTCGCGCAGATCCATTCCCCTCTTCTGTCTATCGATCATGTCGTTATCTCCATTTTTTCGCCCTTTCGTTTTCACGCGCTATACCTCGCTTACCCTCCTCTGTACTGCCTCCCACTCTGTGTGTCTGTATGTCCCTACCATTCCCCGCCGTTTTACGCATCATTTCGCCTCCCAGTCTTTCCCCATCTTCCGCACGAATGCCAACCCCGCTTTGCAGCCTCCAATTCAAGTCAGCGAGCGAGCGAGCGAGGGAGAGAGCACGAGTGAGGCGGGAATAAGGAAAAAGCAAGCATTGCGTGGATTGGGGGATCATGCGACTCGACTCTACACACACACACACACACACGTCGTCCTCCGCTCTACTCGAGAGCGACCTCTGCGCCGATGCCCTTGAAGAGCGCCTGGAGCTTCTCGGCCTCCTCCTTGTTCGCGCCTTCCTTCAGAGTCTTGGGGAGCGACTCGACGAACTTCTTTGCCTGCTCGCGCGAGTTTCCGTCTACGTCAATCACTGCGCTTCGCCCCACGGAGAAACAGCCTGAAGAACAGTACTTGGCAAACGCACCTCGACCAAGTTCATCCCGGGCATGATCGCCTTGACCTCCCTGATCGCCTTTGCCTTCTGCGCCGCATCGATCTTGGTCAACTGGACGTTGAAGACAGTCTTCTCCTTTGGTGCGGCGGCTTCGGGCGCGGGCGCATCGGCGGCAGCGGCGGGAGCAGCGGCGGGTGCGGCGGCGGGGAGAGCGATGTCGACAATGTTCAGCCGGGACTGCGCGCAAGAGCATGTTACGATGGTCAGCGACACTGCACGGCAAGCATGAGTCTGTCAGATGAACCGAGCGATGCGCACCTTGAGGGCATCGACGAGGTCTGCTGCCTCGAGGAGGGTGAGTCCAGCGATCTGGTCGACGATCTGGCCGATTTTGGGGCTCAGTGGGGGTGCTGGTGCTGCAGACGACGATGCTTCGGCTGTGGGCTGGGCGCGGTGGACGGGCGAGGACGAGAGTGCTCGGACGGCGGAGGGGACGACTCGGCTGCGACGCGGGATGCGGGCGAGCGGGTCAGCGGGGGTTTCCGACACTGCGCTTCCATCCTAGACCAACACTGGCGCGCAGACTGACCGTGCGGGGCGAACGGAGCGCGAGGCGAGCGAGATGAGGGACTGCACGGCGACGAAGGGGTCGCGGAGGGCGCGAGTTGAACGCGAGTGGGTCAGCGTGAGCCAGCGAGTCTTTCTCGCATGTCAGATGCACGCACTGCCATGGTTGAGCGGGTGAAGCGGGCCAGGTGAGGTCGCTCTCTCGTCTCCCTCCTCGAACAAGCCATCGCCGCTGTTCTCGCTCTTACATTCGCTTTGGAGGGTTCTCGCTGGCTGGACTGCACTCGCTAGACCCTTACGAACACGCACATACCGCACACAAGCCACCGTGGCGCCGTCTCTTCACACCCCGTCCTCGTCCATCTCGACCTCCATCCCGCTCGTCTCGCCCACGAAGCGCAGGCGCATGTCAGGGGGCAACGAGCACCTCGCACTTCCCGCCTACACGCGCCTCGACGGATCCCACTCGCCTCACATCGCGCCGCCGTCAGCGTACAGAGACTCGCAGCGACAGGTGGGGCGGACAGCGGTGGGCTGGCGCAGACTCGCAGCGAGGCCGGTCGTCTTTCTCCCGTGCATTGCGCTCGCTCTCGTCGCTGGCCTCACTTGGCACCGGGCGGGAAGTGCAGAGGGTAGAGGCGAGAGAGGAGTTTCGGGGCGGCTGCAGGACTCGTTCGACAGGCTCGCGGCAGGGTGGAGCAAGGGGTCTTTCGGCTCGAGCGGGAAGCAGTTGGACCTCGAGTGGGTGTGCAACCCGTTCGAGGCGAACGGGCGGTTGGTGGTCGACGAGGCAGACCCGACGAAGAACGTATGGGTCCCGTTCGACTCGCGCTGTCGACCTTCGAACCTGATGACCGCCCTGTATCGACCACCAGGCGACACTGCTCCTATCATTCCGCCTCGCCCAACGTCGAGACAGGCCGGCCGGACGTTCCTACCCTGGCTCATGAACCGCACAGTCGTCCTGCACGGCGACTCGATCGACCGATTCCACCTCAAAGACTTTTGCGAGTTCGTCGGCGGTCGACTAGAACTCATCACGCCCGACCACCCCGCGTGTCCGCCTATGTGGCGGGATCCTCGAGGAGATGCGGAGCGGAAACGGCTGGAGGACCAGTGGGCGGGTCGGCCGAGGGAAGGGTGGGAGTTGACGAACCCGTGGGTGTGCGATATCGAGGAGTACGGCGCGACGCTGGTCAATGTCTTTACGTGGGGACTTGAGGGAGCAGAGGAGTTCTTCCAGACGGAGCGGTGGTATTATCCGCCAGGTGCGCGTGCTCTCCCGTCTTCTGTGCTTGCTGAGGCTGACTCGTTGTTCTGTAGCCCGCTGGATGGACCGGCTGGACCATATCACGCTCCCACTGCTCTCGGGCCTCGCCAAGTCACTCGACCGGCCGCAAATCGAGCACCCTGACCTCGTCATCCTCAACTCGGGCTACTGGGATCTGCGAAAGTACACTGAGGGTGCGTTGCGCTCGATATGGTTGCTTTCGACCGCCTGCTGACCTCGCTTGCATTCGCAGAGGACTTCGTCGCAGCCGGCTTCCTCTCCCGTCCCTACCCCGAAGACTCGCCCATCCCCTACACGAACCTCTCTCCCGCACGCGAGAAGACCTGGGAGCGAGAAGCGAGGTTGGCGATCAAGCATACGGCCGAGCTGTTCAGGGGAAAGGAGGGCAAGGCGAGGAATGGTCCACCGATTTTGTGGAGGACGCTGCATCATCCGCCGAGGCACAACTATGCGCCGTTCCCGGTGCGTTCCTTGGCCTCTCTGACGTCCTTGTGAGCGTGCTGCTGACACGCACTGCCGCACCCGCAGCGCGTCTTCGCTCTCGACTCGTTAGCTCGCAAAGTCATCTCCGACCTGCGCGCCTCTCAAGACCTCCCCTCCTCCTCATCGCCCTCCTACCACCCCTCCACCTCATCTCCTCCCCTCTCCTCTTTCTCCGAACCAAGTTACAGCGAAGACCTCGGCCTCTCGCACCGCCTGCGAATAGATGACTCGGGGCGCATCATGTTGGGACAGGAGCACAGGTTCAGGGATCTGTTGCATCCGTTGCCGGTGCCGGGGAGCTGGGTGTGGGCGGACGTGATGCTGTATGAGTGAGTTGGGCGGTTTTTCGCTTCTCGGGCTCGATGAGTCGGCGGACATCGTGTTTCTGGCGTGGCCGCTGCCGCTCTGCACGGACTCTCGGAGGCAAGAGACTGACTCTGATCTCTCTGTGCAGACTGAAGCGCGCTGTCGAGGGAGTAGATCGGTGATTGGAGGACTCGCAGGCGTATCTATCGCTCGTAACGCCGTTGCCACGTCGTAGACTGTCATTCGGACAGCCTTGTCGCTACTGGGACCTACAGTGAGCGCTCTGTCGCCTGGTCGCCTGTATGGCCAGCGTGAGCACGCGCTGATAGCTCGCTTTGTCGCAGCGCACTTTCGCTTCGCTTGGGAAGGTCAAGTCGAGACAGCGCCGCGAGCGCTTCCACGACGAGCTGCTTGCGTGCGTCGCGAACGTTGCTTTCGCACGGCTGTACTCGAGGCTTCTGCCCCTGCGAGGAGCGCTCCGCTGTCGTCTGCGGATCAGCCTCCGCTCGCGCCTCTTGACCTCCTCCACCTCGCTCGCTCACTCCGGACGCACTGCGCGGTCTGCAAGCAGCTACATCCTTGCTCAGTCACGGTCCAACTTCACGCCTCGCACCTCCCGCACGTCGTCTCCGCATTCCCACACTCGACGATGGTCGCCCCGTACACCTTCGAAGTTGGATCCGAGTGGCCGGAATGGGACAAGGGGAACTTCCTTGCCATGCGTTTCATCCAGAAGTGCAGTGCGTCTAGGGATCAGAACACATCCCGCGGGATCATCGCTAACGGTTCGAAGTGCCCGCAGTCAACGACGGCTTTGCTCGCAAGGAGCTCTCCCTCGCTGGCAAGCCGCACCAAGGCGACGCTCCGCCCTTCAGGATGGTCTGCAACTACCACGACTTCGTCAAAGACGACCCGCTCGTCCCGACGCCCGCGAACAAGACCTGCACCTTCTTCGTCCAGCTCGAGCCGGTCGTCGACGAAGAGCGCAATTGCGTCACCGCGAGCAACCTCGAGCACAATCACCGACTCGAGCTCAAGCGCCACTGTTTTGAGCACCTTCGCGAGGAGGAAGGAGCGGTCATCGACGAATGCCGCGAGGCTATCAAGAAACTCGCCTTCGAACAGGCGGAGCGGTTGCGCAAACGCTTCGACAACTGGTTCCCGACTGAGCCCAAAGCTGTGCTCTTCGAGCTTCAAGACCAGCTCATCCAGGATTACGGCGCAGCCTTCTCGCGGAATGAGGCCGATGCGCTCGTCGTCGCGCTCAAGCACAAGAGGCTGTATCTCGAAGAGCCCGTGCATCATCCAACGCTCACCGGTCCAGTCGAGGCACTGTTGACATGCATTGTTCACAGGAGACCGACTTCTCGCCCACTCCTTCGCCGACAAGCACGCCCATTGCGCGAAAGCGTGAACTCCCCGAGCTCGACGGTCCCGCTTCATCAGCAAAGAAGAGGCGGCAGACTCAGGCGGAGGACGCAGTAGACAAGCCGATGGGGGACAAGCAGGAGGGGAAGAAGGCGAGCGGATCGCAGGCGCGCAAAGGCAAGAAGAAACCCGTTTCAGAAGGTGCGTCCCCCGCGTCCTTGCGCTGGTCACCAGCTCATCACAATTGCCTCTCGAAGGCCGGCGAGTGTGAGCCGCGTGACAAGGGCAAGGGCAAGGGCAAGCAGGCTGCGCCTCCCACCTTTGCCAACTTCCTCTCCAGCTTGAGCGAGTCTTTCGACTTCTCGCGCTATGAGCCGCACTTCGCCGCACTCGACATTACGTCCGAAGCACAATTGCTCGAGGTCGCAACGGGTGGAGCAGACGAGTTAGGCGCGCTGTTGAACGAGTTGGAGAAGGAAGTCAATTTGCCGGATGGGACGAAGTTGAGCGGGATGAAGAAGCCCTGGAGGAGCCGCTTGAAGAAGCTGTTAGACGAGCGGGCGGAGGCTTAGGCAAGACGAGTGTGCGGCGCGGTCGCCGCTGGAGGACCTGCTGGGCGAACTCGCTTGGAATCGAAGATACGAATCAACCCTTCGCCGACGAGCTGCACCCGCGTGAGATCTAATGACTACACCGTCCTCCCGAGAGCAAGCAACACCTTCTTCGCCTCCTCGAGCCTTTTCTTCCGCAAAATCAGCTCGGCCCTCTGCTCCGCAACTTCCGGCGACTCCGACACGAGCCGGCGGATCTCGCTGTCGCCGCCTGAGACGAGGCGCTCGAGGAGGGCGTGCGACGTGGCGGAGGAAAGACGGCGGACGACGGAGAAGGACGAGTGATACGACGACCCAGGCAACGAGTGTGAGCTGTATGGGCGCATGGGTCTGCCCGAGGTATGGTGCAAGCGGCTGGAGACTGTCTACGGAGCAAGGCGGAGGAGCTGTACGAGACGGGAGGAAGTGTGCGTCGCGCACTCCCGCAACTTGAGAAGGCCGACCCATTCCCGCTCCCCTCGTCGCGCACTCGCTTTCTGCTGCGCGACACTACTCGAGAGAAGACGCTGCCTCCGCACAGTGCCGCCGGCAGGAGCCAGAGCGACGTCGACGGACCCGTTCACGCTCCGTACGCTTCCCCTCGTCGCTTTCCCTCGAGTCTTTCGGCAACGGCCAGTCCGCTTCCGCCTTCGCGACCTTGTTCGACGTCTCCGCGTGCTCCAGTCGACGCGACACGCGGTGGAGACCTTCAGAAGGGGCGCAACGGAGGGCGAGCGGCGCACCTTCGCCCGCTCACACGAGGCGACACTGGGGAAAGTCGACGCTAGCAGCTCGATACCGGCCTCGCTCCGCCTGCTAGCGCATATCTGCCGGGGCTCCCTGCGCGATCAGGCCAAGTATCTCTCCAGGCATGCGGGTTCGACTGTCACTTTGCGCGCCTCGACGGGTCCCGCTTCCAAAACAACCCTTTGCATGGCTCGCGCTGCTCTCTCTTGCGCTCGTTGGACTCGGTAGACTGCCTGGACTGCTTCTGAGACTCGTATCACCCACCCACCGTCGCTCGTTCCGCCCCAAGTCGCTCGTTCAACTCCCTTCTCCTCGTCCCCCACATCCACCTCGATACAGCTCGTGTGACCCGCTCGACCAGCTCGATACCCATCTCACCCTAGTCGCTCCTTCCTATACACGCCGCGATGCCAATCCCTCGGCCACTTGCGCCCCTCTCGCTCCTCTTCCTCGCACTCCTCGCATTCGCCCAACTCGCATCCGCCTCGTTCGCCTCGAAGAAGGCTGCGCAGGATAAGAATGGACAGGAGGTCACGTATGCTGGACAGCGGATCGTGCCCGGAGCTTTCTTGATCGAGGTTGGAGGAGGAGGACTGGGTAAGAGGGCGGGAGGAGCTGCTGTGAGTGCTTTCTCGTGCTCTAGGACTTTGCAGGAAAAGCGAGAGACTGATCATGACTACGAGGCTGCGCAGGATCTCACCCAAGTCCTCACGCACCTCGCCTCGCCTCCTACATCCGGCAAACCCTTCTCCCTCCCAGCTTTCTCGACCTCCCGCACTCTCTCCGCCCGCCCCTCCGTCTTCAACGGCGCCGTCGTCAAAGTCACCGACTCTACCGTCCTCGACGCACTCCAAGCCGGCAGCGAGTCGACGGTCAAGCAAGTTCTCGAGGGACTCGCCGGCGTCGATGGCATCCAACGCGCTTGGCCGCTTCGCCTCATTCCCCGTCCTGGTCCCGTCACGCGCAAGGATGACGGCGGAGGAGTCTCGAAGGGCTCGGCACTCACAGCCTCGACTCTCGCTTCAACACTCGCCAAACGCGACGGAGTCTCGATCCCTCCCGCGTCCGCTTACGCCAACGACAACTTCGACCCGCACGTCATGACCGGCGTCGACAAGCTTCACAACCAAGGCGTTATCGGCTCAGACTCGATCAAAGTTGGAATCGTCGACACGGGCGTCGACTACCTCAATCCCATCCTCGGAGGCTGCTTTGGCTCAGGCTGCCACATCTCGTTCGGTTCGGATCTGACGACTAGTCCGCCTGGTCCGACGCCTTACACCAACTGCACCGAGCACGGAACACACGTGACGGGCATCGTTGGCGCGCTTGCGAACTCGAAGGGCTTCAGCGGAGTGGCGCCGGGCGTCCAGCTCGGCCACTACCGCGTGTTCGGCTGCGACGAGAGCACTACCGAGGACTTGGTGCGTTTCTCTTACTCCAGGCCGAGATTCTCGAGCTGACTGCCACGAGCGCAGGTCGTTGCCGGTATCCTCGCCGCGGCCAACGACGGCGTCAACATTGTCACCGCCTCGATCGGCGGTCCCGCCGGCTGGCTCGGCGCTTCTCCCTCCCAGATCGCCGTCGAGCGCCTCACGACGCAAGAAAACATCGTCGCAACCATCTCTGCCGGCAACGACCGCAAAGAAGGACCTTTCTTTGCTGGATCGCCGGCATCGACAGTCGGCGGTATGAGTATCGGCAGCGTCGACGTCGAGCAGCTTCCCGCTTACCCGGCGTCAGTCATCCCCTTCGGCAACCTCCCTTATCTCTCCGCCGCACCACTCGACTTGACCGGTATTCCGGCGCAGAAAAACGGCTATCGCGTCTACTTCACGAGCACGAACTCGAACGTCACGAACGATGCGTGCAATCCGCTGCCGGCTAGCACACCCGACTTGAGCGGGATGGTCACCGTCGTCCGCCGAGGCACCTGCACTTTCGTCGAGAAGGTGCGCAGCCTTTCCCTCTTCTCCCATGACTCGCTTGCCGTTCGCTAACTCGGCTTGATGCGCTCCAGATGACAAACGTCGCTGCCAAGGGAGGGTCCGTCGAGCTTCCCTTCGTCTCCGCTTCGTGCGGAGGAACTGACTTCGCCTTCTCGTTCTCAGCAAGGTCGCCCTGATCTACAACTCGCCTAACACGAACAACATGATCCCCTACCTGACGACCGACAGCACTGGTCTCGCTGCGGTCGCATCTTTGCGCTACGAGGAGGGCGTGCAGGTGAGCTCTCGCCTGTCTTGCCAGACAAGAGCGCGTCTAACGGAATTGGCGTTGCGCAGCTGCTGAGTTGGTACAAGTCGCGCCCTCGCGGGCTGTATATGACCTTCCCGAGCGACGTTGCTGCGGTTGGCGTCCCCGACACAATCGCTGGCGGACTCATGTCGTGCGTTCTCGCGTCGACCGCCTCGTTTCCATCGAGCGAGTTCGCTGATGCTGAGCTCAAACAGCTACTTCTCCAACTTCGGCCCGACCTTCGAGCTCTTCGGCCAGCCTTCGCTTTCCGGCCCGGGCGGCAACATCCTCTCGACCTTCCCGCTCGACATGGGCGGCGTTGGCGTCATCTCCGGCACGAGCATGTCGTGCCCCTTCGTCGGTTAGCCGTCTCGCTTCATGAACGACGGGAGGAGAAACCGCTGACTCTCGCTCGTCCAGCTGGCGCCTCCGCCCTGCTCCTCTCGCAGCGCATGGCGGACAACCTCAGCCCGGCGGACGTTCGCGCCTTGCTTTCCTCGACGGCTAGCAAGCGCGAGACAACGATCAACGGCACGACATTCGAGACGGTCCTCCTCCAAGGCGGCGGCCTCGTCCAAGTCGACAAGGCCATCTCGACTCGCACGATTGTCTCGCCTTTCGAGCTGATGCTCAACGACACAGCGTTCCCTGCGCACACTCAGAAGATCACGCTTCGCAACACGAACCCGTTCCCGATGCAGTACAGCGTCACGACCTCGTCGGCTCAGGCGTACGGAACCTACGACAACGGCGCCTCGACCGACATCCTCATCTCGACAAACCCGAAGCCAGTCTACCCGCAATCGGGCGTGGCGGCCTTCTCGACGCAGCGACTCAGGCTGCAGGCCGGCCAGAGCTACTCGTTCGAGGTCACGATCCCTCAGCCTCGTTACAACGCCATCGACACCGCTCGCTTCCCGCTGTACTCCGGCTACATCGACATCAGCGGGATCAGCGCCGACCGCAAGCACACGGAGGAGCTGCACATCCCGTACTTTGGGGTAGCAGCTGCGATGAGCGACATGCCCGGTGCGCTTGAGCTGCTCCTCGTGCTGTGTCGATTGAATCTGACGAAACACTTCGCGCAGTCCTCGACTCGACGGCCACGATCTACGGTGACGTCGCCTACCCATTTATCGCGACGCCGGACAACAGCATCTTCGACGCACCTGGCTCGCTCAGCAGTTCCGGCGGGTTCGACCTCTACGTCCGCCTTGCTGCCGGCACCCGCTTCATCTCCTACGACCTCATCCTCTCCTCCAACGCCCCGAACACGACCATCCCTACCGAGCGCCTCACTTCATCCGGCGGTGCCCGCATGCGTCGCCACCTTCGCCGCTCAGACGCTCACCTCCCCTCCATTGAGCGCTCTGTTCGTCTCGACTCCCGCTCCCTCTCTTCCTCGGAGTCGCTCGCTTCCCTCTCGCGCCGCGACATGCCCTCAGCCTTCTCTGATGTTCCCGTCGTCGGCAACATCGGCACCATGACGCTGCTCCCTCGCGACTACCTCGTCGACGATTCGTCTTCCGGCTACACCGAGACTATCATTACCTGGGTCCCGCAGGCCGCCGGCTTCCAGACGCAGGCGAACACGCAGTACCGCGTCCTTCTTCGGTGCGTTGTCAAGGTGCCGCACGATCTGGGGTGTTTTCTGACCATTGCTCGCCCTCGCAGCGCTCTCAAAATCACTGCCGACCCGTCCCTCGAATCCTCCTACGAGTCGTGGGTTTCCTACCCCTTCACGCTCACGCCCTGAGACGCCATTCCCTTCGCCTTTCACTGTCTGTCGTCTCTATCGTGTTTTTGAGTGGTGCAAGGTGGTTGAGTATAGCACAGCAAGGCTGGTGGACAAGGCAAACTTCCGAGGCTAAGAAGGTTGCGAGCTCCTTGACGAACGCAGGCCGCGACGACACAAAGATATACATAGCACAAGGTATTGAGAGCGCCAAGAAGCTACAGACTACCTACCGTAGGCGAACAGGACCTTCTTGGCGTCGTCGAGACGCTTCTTCCGCATGTTCAGCTCGGCACGCTGTTCGGCCAACTCCGGCGACTCCGCAACGAGACGCTCGAGCTCCTGACTGCCGCCGCTCAACAGGCGCTGGTGAAGCGCTTTGGAGATGGCGTGAGGGAGCGGGCGGATGACGGAGGCGTCGATGATCAAAGGGACGTTGTCGATGGTGCGCTGCGACAGTAGCGAACGGGGTCAGCTAGGAATGGACAACGTCGCTTGTAGGCGACCTGCGAAGCTAGTCTGTCAGTCGCGCACGGCGAAACGAGGAAGACATACGTACCTGCCAGTACGCCGCGGTCTGTGCTGCGGCTTCAAGCTCTGTCTCGTAGGGATCGGCAGCAAGCAGCTTCTTCAGGTCGTCCTCCTTCAGGCCGTAGAAGCCCATGGCGCTCAGACCGGCCAAAGCGGTCGAGACGGTGTCGGGCTCAGTTGAGGATCGTACGATCTTGGCCCCGCCGTTCTTCTTCGCTCGCGCACTCCGCAGCTCAGCGAGGACGGCGTCCCGAGTCGAGACAAAGTAGTGCTGGTTTTGCGTGTAAGGTATGTGGTCGAGCTTGAGATTCTCGTCGAGACGAGCTGCTGCCGTTACGAACAAACCCTCGAGAACTTCGGCGGCGGTCACGCTGCATGGCCGTCGCCACGTCAGCTTCGTAGCACAAAGTGAGAGGCAAGACGCACGAAGCGATGCTGCGCAATTCTTCTTTGAGGGAAGCGCCGAAGTGCTGGCCAACGAGCTGGTTGACCGACTTTGAGACCGGCGTGCGCATGCGCTCAACGGTGTCGGAGATGATACCGCCCCAGGAGCGGAGAGCCTTCGTCATGAGGGAGGCTTTGGCGTCGTAGGGCGTGTTGAGCGGGACCTCGCGGCCCTTATGCCTGTGTCGAGGGAGATGCGTCAGCAACGGTGATAGCGGACCATGACGGGAGTCAACACACTCCTCAATATGGGCACGGAGCTCGTCGAGGGTCATGCGAAGCGGCTTGGCAGGCAACGGCAAGGCATCGGCAATCTGCGGAGGCGGCGACGCCACCTGCGAGTCCCAGGTCTTGATCTCGTCTTCCTCCTTGGCCTCGAAGGGAACAAAAACAGGCTTTGTAGCTCGGATAGCCTCCATGAAGCGGCGATCCTCGCGGTTCTTGGCTTGGATGAGATGCGCGAGAGCCGACGAGCCTTGCACGAGCTGGTTGAGGTCATGCTGGAGAGCGGCGATGCGCGTGCAGATCTCGGTCGTCGGGTCGGACGAAGGAGGCGGAGGGAGAGCGTCGATAGCGGCCGTAACGTGCGAAATCGACGTGGCGAGGTCTGCCTGGATCATCGGCAGCCTGACGGAAAGGCAACGATCAGTCGAGTGAAAGCATGAGACGGCGGCGAAACTCACTTGTCCGCAATGTAGCGACCGAGTCGGTCGCTGAGGAAACTCGTCAAATGTGCTGTACCCAGGTGTCTCCTCGTGCCAGCCTCGAGCGACTTCCACGGCTCGTTGGTCGCGAAGAACTGCGTCTCCGCTTCGCGAGCCTTCTTGTAGGTGAAATTCTTCTTCAGGTCTTCTGGTGCCGGTTGTTTGGTGACGAAGTAGCCGTTCGATAGGTGGTGACGACGGTTCTCGAGAAGGTCGAGCCAGGAGGGGTGTTCGCCGTTCTGCAGCGTGTCGGGCTTGGTCAAGACGCCTGTAAGGATACGGATCAGCATTAAAGAGCGGCAAAGAGAGTGAGGATGAGCGAAATGCACCGATCGTACGCTTGCCGTCCGGGTCTGCCTCCTTCGCGAGCAAGACCGCCTTCTGGTTCTGAAAGTCGTCTGCGGGCACAGCTGTGAGTCAGCACCGACTAGTCGTATAAAGGAAGCTGGGAGCTCGACGCACCCCGCATCGTGATGGTGAGGAGGATCAAGCAGTTTCCGGTGATGGACTGGCGAACCATGTTCTCGATGAGCGTGATGTCGTCCGGCTCCTCCGAGTTGGCGATGATGCCCTGAGCGCGGCGCCGGGTGGTCAGAGAGGCAGTTCGATAGGTGAGGGGAAGAGGATGGACGCACAGGCAAGTCGAGGAAAGCCAAGTCCGTGACAGGTCCCGTCACATCGATGCAAATGAGATTCTTGGAGAACGATAGCTGCTTCTCGAGACCTGCGGCGGCAGGGTCGCTCTTGGCCTGCAGGACCTCGTCGTCGGACAGATTGAGAAAGAACTTCTTGTCCGAGTTCTGCGGATTGAGGATGGCGAGTTGGGCGCGACGAAGAATCGCCTCGACGGCGTCGGGGTTGGTCACGGCGTCGCCGAACGGGATCTCACGGACGGATTCGACGGGACGGCCGGAGATGTCGGTTTCGAAGCGGAGGAAGACGCGGCAGGTCCATGCGCCAGGCGACGAGCGAAGGCGGATCTCCATCGGGCAGCGCGTGCAGGTGCCGGCATCGCGAGGGACCTTGATCTGCGAGACAAATCGGACCTCGGTCAGCCAAGTTGGGGAGAGAAGCGAGCGGGAGGGACAAAGGGCTCACTCCGCTGATGGCCTCGACGAGGGACGACTTGCCTGCGCTCTGGTTGCCGATGACAGCAATCCTACGAGTGTGTGCGTCAGGAACGGCGGTCTGCAGTCGTAGAGGAAGACGAGCTCACCTCGGGAGGTCGATTTCGGTCGAGGCGCCGGCGCTGCGAAGCTGGTCGACAAGCGAGACGAGCTGTCGCCTCTTCACAGAGTAGCAGAAGCAGAGATGCCATTCGAAGCTGGAGCTGTGCCGTTGACGGTCATGGCAGCGGCGAGTGATGGGAAGGAAAGCAAGAGGCGGCGGAGCGAAGGTGAGGAGGGGAACCGGCTGGAAGCGGCAAGCGGGA